AAAAAAAGAAAGAAGAGAAGGTGAAGAAGAAGATGATGAAAAAGGGCTGGACAACAAGTATTTTTTTTTTCAATTTTCTTTTTTATTTCTCTTTCTTTTTTTTCTAATCTGTATTTTTTTTCCCTAATTCTTTTTTCTTCCCTAATTCTTCCTTGGGCGGTTGCAACCAACAACACAGGTTTTTTCTTTCTTCTTAGATTGATTTCTTAAATTTTTTGGTTTGGTAAAACATAAGAAAAAATCGATGACTTACGCATTCTTGTCTCCATCTCTATGTCCGTCGATTAATTGTATTATAAATTTGAGATCGATTTCAAATTTGATTGTGTTTAATGGATTTAAAATGAAAAAAAAAATTGAATTGAGATTAAATTCTAAAATTATGCAGAAGAAGAATGAAGAAGAATAAGGTAGGGTATTTTAGTAATTTTATGCAAAAATATATCAGTTTATGAACAAAAATCGCATTTCATGTGTGTGATATACAACCGTCGTTAAATCCTAACGGAGGGGGGATTTTTTGCAACATTTTGGAAACCAAAAATAAGTTTTTTGGAGTTTTAGAACCACGAGGAATTTTTAACAAATTCGGAAAATCACATTAGAATTTTTTGCTAATTTGCCAATATTTTATATTAAAAATATGTAATGAAAGTGTTGTTTTATTTATATATATACATGTATAATATTGAATTGTAAAAATTGTTTGAAATGGCATATAAACAAATCCTAAATTTTTTACATATGATACCAATTGTATGAATAATTATTTAAGAACTTTTCTATTTTCTCGATGAAATATTAGACAATTAAAAGTGAATTATAATCCAACGAGAGAAAAAAACATTAAAAAAAAATATAAGCTAGTCATATGTTAAAACAAATATATATATATATTGAAGATGAAACAAAATAATAAAAAAAAATTAATATTTTTAGGAATGACAATTAGATCGAGATCGCGTAGCACTATCAATTTTATTTATTTATTTTTTAAATTTTATAATGTGGAAATCCGCAGCCGCTATTCGAAAGTGCGCACGGGGTAAATCCCCTGCCGAACTTAATACCTTGCAAATCAGGTTCGACGGAAAAGTCACGTTAGGCGAACTATGTGTGTGACAGGTGACCAATTTTAATAGTTTGGTTTGGATCTAAAATGTTACATATAGAGATAAATTATATGTGACTAATAGAAATCTTCTCAAGTATGTTTAAATTAATCATTTAAAAAATTAATATAATATATTTATATAACTAATTATGGTGTATAAGCTGTTTTTAATTGCGATCTTCAATATTTAATTTTTTATTATATTATATAGTATAATCTTTTTAGGTTGGCCTCAAATTTAAGGAGGGGAGAGTTTTAATATAGGATAAAATGAAATAGACGAGTCGTGATATCTTATGATTTTTTGAAGAGTTTGTTCTAAAGTTCATAAAATATATCTCAAACTCACCTCTAACCATGCTATGGTTTGATAATTGATTATTCTGCAAAATTGCCTGTATGATTTAGAATAAAATAAGTATTTTCATCTCAAGATTTATGATATTTTAAGGTATATTCGGTTTATTAGAATCTGAATGTATAATTGAGTAAGATTGCAGCTATAAATATGAGTAATATATTGAAATTTGTATATTTTACTAGCTATCAATCTAACTAGGCCTGTTTGTTAATGGACTTGAAACAATATGATTCAACTCTTTTTTTAATAAAACAGAACAATAGTTTTAATTTATTTTGAAGATTCGTTAATTTTACGTACGAGGTTATTATTTGTATATTGTTTAAAAACTCAATTTTACGTACGAGGTTATTATTTGTATATTGTTTAAAAAATCAATTTATAAAAATATAAGTTTTTACCATTTTATATATTAAAAAAAAAAAACAAGTTTTAATTTTCTTTGATTTTTTTAATTTTTTTATACAGTAAAATTTTTAATTTTCTTTGATTCTTTTAATTTTTTATACAGTAAATTTTTTTTTTCAATCCAATTCCTCAAGCACTGCGGCCTTCAGTATTTTTTAATTTTTATTTATTAATAATTTTCTATTAAAATATATAATTTATTCTAAAAAAGTATTATACATAAATACTATTTAAATACAAGTACATAATATATATTTTTTACTTGTAGATTTGTTTTTATTAGTATATATTATTATTAATACTTATAAAAATAATTGTTCAGTATATTATTTTAGTATAATATCTTTCTATAGATTTTTAAGTAAAATTGTTATTAATGTTATATTTTATATAAATATAACTAAATATATTTTCATTGAAAATATAAAATTATCTAATAAATTTTTAGGGAAAAATCCTAAAAAAATAAATAATAAAAGAATATTATTATCTAGTTGTTTATATATAAAATAATATATTGGAGCTTTAATATATATATAAATGTTATTCCAAATAATTTTTTATTCATACAATTTTCAATATATAATATATATTTCATTTTTTAATAAAAATTCAGTACTTAACTCAAAATATTATATTATGTATTAACGATACAATTTTTCACACATCATTTTAAAAATTAGCTCATATTAAAATAATAAACAAATACATTCAAATTACCATTCAAGCTATTGATACATAATCTCAAACAAAATAAAAAGGAATGACTGCAAGAATAGCACATGATATATGTGAAGGGAAAAGTTCAAATTTGATCATTTTTATGTTGGATTAAAAATTCAGTTATCAATTAAATATAAATTATTTTGAAATATCAATCAAATTAAACTTAAAAAATAATCTATCAAATTTTATTGGAGTTATGAAACTAATTAATAATAATAATAATAATAATAATAATAATAAATTAATATATTACAACTGGGATTTTAAGTCTAGACGTCATAATATTATTTTTTCATATCCCGTTGTAGAGAAAATGACAGACATAATCCATTGTTCTTCAAAGAGGTTGTGTTGAAGAACACAATATCTTCGATCAACTTAAAGATCCGAATTCGATTACTTCTATCCAATCATGTTATATTTATTTTTCTATCTTAATTATGTAATGCAGTAGATTTTGATTTAAAATTGAATTTCTGACACTCCCTTCGTCCCAAAATTATAGTCTGAGTTGGGTTTGACACGAGATTTAAAAATTATTGATATTATATTGATAGTGGATAAAAAGTACGGGTACAAGATTTTTTTGCCTTTGTGAGTGTATTAGTGTAAAAAGTAGTGGCAATTGTGTAATCATAATGAAAAAGCAATGGTAGTTTTACAGTGATATGATTTTTTATAGAAATGAGACTATTGTTTTGGAATGAATAAAAATGGTAAACATGACAATTGTATTAAGACGGAAGAAGTATATTTTAACATTTTATGTCTATTTCAAAACACATGCACAATTATAAATGTAGACACATTCGAGATGACATATGATTGCAATGGTAAAATAAACAATGACCATGAATTCAACTATATTAATATATGCACATGAAAGAATCATACAGTAATAAAATACATTTATATTTGAATCAATCTAGAATGCAACTTTAAGTTGTTCTTATAATATGTTGATCTCTTAACATATAAGTCATTACACAAACAATTTGGAGTTTGTTTATTTACATTGAAATCAACAATATTTATCATATACTACATCCGTTCAGCTATTAGGGTTTCATTTATTTTTTACGTGTTGATATTTAAATATTAATTATTATATCAAAACGTAGTACAAATTAAGAAAAAATTGCAAAAATACCTTCATTAGTGTCTTATAATACTAATAGAAGGACATTTGTAAAATATATATATATATATAAATATAAGGATATTTTTAATGTTAAGTACAATAACGCAAAAGATAAATGTGACTTAAAAACAGACGGAAGGAGTATCATTTTCAATAAAAGTATATAATTTTTTTCAATATATTAAATCAAGATACCATTTAAAAAAATATTCAAATCAACATTATTTTTTAAATCAATTTTAAACTACAACTAACAAATATTTATAATATATTTATATTGAATGAAATGCAAATATATAGTTTGATTTTGGCCGATCAAGTCAGCACATTCTATATCTATATAATATAAATAAAAGTTCAAAGCTTTGTTTAAAAAACAATTTTAAATATTTAGTATTAATTAATTTTTTTATTAAATATATATTTTTAAACAAAATTTTCATATAAATTTTTAATTTTTCGCAAAACTTCAAAAATCTCTATTCAATAGAAATTATGATTTTTCTTTGATAAAAGGTAATAATTCTTCAAAGATAATTATACAAATATGTATAAAGAAACACATTAAAATCCAAAATAAATGTTCATTTTCTTTTTTTAATTCTGGTTTGTTCACATAATTTCTCATTCTTTTTTTTCTTTTTTTTTTTTTTTTATAGAAATATGATTATGTATATTAATCTTATTTCAAATTTATTATTTAATTATTTTAATTTAAATTTTTAATTATTTGCTAATTACAATTTTATCTAATTTATCGTATATAAAGTAATATAAGCATATATTTCGGTTTTAAAAAAATGATAATATGTGGAGTCGTGTATAGCACGAAATGGATTAATGAATGAATAGTCAATAAAAACCAACGTTTACTTATTACAGCGACAAAAACAGGGTGCCTAATATTTGTACTAGTACGGGAAAATATATTCGTATGTAACTACAGAATCTTGAGTGTGACAATCAAATTATGAAATTAAAAGTATGCGAATGGAAAATGACATAAATATATAATTTAATTATTACAAGCAATAATGCAGGAATTAGGTAAATAAAAATATATATTGGAAATTTCATTAGTGTTGAAATAGGCCCAAATTCAAATATGGACATTATAGTAACTCAATTAATTTTTCAGATACGTTACACTTTCAACGGTAACCACTGACCAAATACATTTATTGAGAAATTATAGAAAATCAACCCACCATTATATAAATTTATTTGGAGAATCTTATTCTTCTATATATGTTGAGAAATAATATTGTAGTTAATTACTTGCTTAAATATTTATGCTAAGATTAAGCTAAACGGCGTCGTTTTGAGGTCTCATCGAAATCAAGATCAAGATTTGTCCGGAGGCCAAAACCACCACCGAGTCCACCGTCGGAGGTTCTGATTTTCCGATCGATTTCTCTCTTAGTCGCTATAATCCATGGGGAAAGGCGGCGGATGCGTTCCTAGCAAGCAGAAATCGCGGAAGTCGGCCACGTTAGATGCGGCGGAGGATGAGTCTGCCGTTCCAGAAGCATCGCAATCCGCCGTCGCCGCGGCGGCAAATGAGGCGGTGGGAACTGCAATTGCCTCCGAACCTGTCCGGAATATCAAGCTTCTGATAGTGTTCTACTCGATGTACGGCCACGTCGAAGGACTCGCGAAGCGGATGAAGCGTGGGGCTGACTGCGTCGACGGCGTTGACGCCGTAATCTACCGTGTTCCGGAGACGCTTGACGACGACGTGCTGACGAAAATGCGCGCGCCGCCGAAGGATGACTCCATCCCCGTTCTGGAATCGGTGGAGGAACTGGCCGGCGCGGACGGTTTTCTGTTCGGTTTCCCGACGAGGTACGGATGTATGGCTGCGCAGATGAAGGCGTTTTTTGATTCGACCGGACAGCTGTGGAGAGGCCAGAACCTCGCCGGTAAACCTGCCGGTTTTTTCGTCAGCACCGGAACTCAAGGCGGCGGCCAGGAGACTACTGCGTAAGCTCCTTCTTTCCCCTAATTATGCTACCTTCCATTGCTATATTTTTAATTGATTGAGCTGCTTGTTAATTGGATTGAATTTTTTTTTATCAATAATTGTATCATTGCTATGAATTTCTTTGAACTTAGGAGATTGCCATGTACCAGTTGACAGATGCAGCTTTGATCTCTGTATTATATGGTTTTGATTATGGTTTCATCATCTATCTGTGATACATTTCGAATAGCTGAAATTCCAATGCCTTTGTCTGCCATTGTCGTGCCATTTGTTATGTGTTTCGATCTTTATTTGTAGTTGTGCTCGTCTTTGGCGCGTCAAGTTTGTATCATTCTGAGAAATCGCTGTTCTAGTGACTATTTCTGCGTTGTTTTGTTAAATGTGTCTGTGATCATTGCAAATCTAACTTCAAAGAACACTGTGGATTGAGGCATTGTATTGCAAGTTGCTTCGATTTCCTATTTTCACTTCTTTTTCTCCCTACCCTTTTGATAAATGTGTCGATTGACTATCTTCGCGGGCTAAGATATTGCTTTGCGCCACAAAGAATACGTCGAATTGGGTGTCTAGACATCATTTGTTTGTGACATAAAGAAGTTATGCTATCATTTGAATCACTTTGTATCACATTAGATTGGACTTAAATTCTGTCGTACTTTTGAAACAATTGCATATGATATATTTTGAAATTTTCGAATGTATTCCAGGTGGACGGCGATCACTCAATTGGCGCATCACGGGATGCTGTTTGTTCCCATCGGGTACACCTTTGGAGCCGGCATGTTTAAAATGGATGCTGCCCGAGGGGGCACTCCTTATGGCGCCGGAGTCTTTGCCGGCGATGGCACCAGGGAGCCGAGCGAAACTGAGCTGGCGCTGGCAGAGCATCAGGGCAAGTACATGGCGGCCATTGTCAAGCGGCTTGCCCTCGGTTAAGATGGCCGGCCGCCACCGGAGATGGCATCTCCGGCGGAATTAAGTAATTTCCTGAACAGAAGCATCCTTGATTGATTGTTTGAACATTTGTATGCATTGTTTTCTTCCTTTTGTGTTCTCTTCTGAATGGCATCAAATTCCATGGTTGTTATTGTTGTTGAAATTGAACATTGGGTATAACTATTGTTGTTGATATTCAACATTGAAAATTATTGTTTAAGTTTTTAAGGCTGAATTTGTTGGATTTGTTTATATATTAAAAGATATATAGATTATATTTAAAAAATGACTTGTTTGAAGAGAAAGTATAATTAAGTTTTGATTATCCAAGAGTGTTTTTGTTTTCGAAATAAAATAATACGGACTATATTTTTATTATAAATTGTGTTTTTACTTAAATTTAAATTTAAATATAATATTTTATAAGATAAAAAGATTTTTTTTTTTTTTTTTTTAATTTTTTTTAATAAAGTGAACGGGATATTATAGAAATCGAAGTAAGATTTTAGATATATATAATCATTATATTTTATATTTAAAAATAAAATTTAAGAATAATATTTTAAAAAATGATAAAAACAAACACATTTTTTATATTTTATTTTATTTGTTACTCTAAATAAAAAAATATATTGAATGTTATCTTTAAAACAAAAAAGAGATTAAATAATACTAAAAATATATTGAATGTTATCTTTCAAATATTTTTGACATCTTGAATGAAAAACAAATGTTTTATGGTATATATATATATATATATATATTTTTAAAAAAATGATAAATTCAATAATAAAATAAAATAAACTGAAAAAAAGTCATAAAGCCATGATATTTTTTAATTTTAATTGTAAGTTGAATAAGAAATTCAACACTGAGTTTGTTCAATTTGATTTTTATGAAGTTTATATGTAATAATTATTTTATTTTTAAAATATTGAAGTAAAAACAAAAGCTAAAAACAATCACCTTCCTTCTTTATAGATAAAATACCTTATTTATTTATTTCTTTCTATTTCTGTTTATTGTTTACCAAAAACATGAAACCAACACGCATCTCAAACCTTTTGGACTCCTTTCAACTAAAAGCGCACTTCCAACATATCCGGGCGGATATAGCGTGTTTTTAAATACGAAGAAGTCGCAATTCAAAGTCAAGCAAGCGTAGATTAAATAGGCTGAGAAGTCGAGAGAGGAGCAAAGACGCTTGCGAAGATGGCGGAAGAAACATTGGCTGCTCTGAGGTCTCTGATGGCCTCTCACTCCCCACCACTGGATGCTCTGGTAGTTCCTTCCGAGGATTATCACCAGGTATATATGTTCGTCTCTCGCTGTGCACTTTTTTGAGTGACTTTAATTTTGTTGACTAGTGGACTTATGTGCAAATCAATTCACGATTCGCGTCTCCGAGTGCATTGGAGCGTCTGGATCTTAATTGCTTTGATACCGATGTTGGAATTGTCCGTTTTTGTACTATTTTTTTAATGTTTGAATGGACGTCTGTGCAGTAATGGATTTTAATCCCAATTTTGGTGTGTAAGTGATTTCTCTATTACTGGTGTGGCAGAGCGAGTATGTATCTGCGAGGGACAAACGGCGGGAGTTTGTATCTGGATTCAGCGGCAGTGCTGGTTTGTTTCTTTCCGTTATATTGCTTTCACGTGCTTGTTCGATTAAGATGGAGTTAGAATATTTATATCTGCTGTCCTATAGGAGAATGTTAATCGTTTCCGTTTGTACTCTAACCAGTTTGACATGAATGTGGTCCGTGATTGAAACTGGCTGTGGATGCCATCCCTGCTAACACATTTAATGTTGGATATTATATTTGGCTTGCCGAGTTAAATCATTAGAGGTTGGATATTGCAGGTTTGGCACTTATTACTTCGAATGAGGCGTTGCTTTGGACAGACGGGCGCTACTTTTTGCAGGCAGAACAGCAGCTTAGTAGCCAGTGGAAGCTCATGCGTATGGGAGAAGATCCAACAGTTGATATCTGGATGGCTGACGTGAGCTTTCTTCTTTATGTTACTATGTACAATAGTAATTCTAAGTATTCAATTAATTGATGCAGTGTGAGATATGTGATCATATATTTTATGTGCATTGGTAAATTATGATGTTCAATGTTAGAAGTTTGAAACTGGATCTTCCCACACGGCCACACCATAACCCCAACATACCAGAAGTGCTTCTTGTTATGGCATCTTCTAGAGCTTAATAATTTATTAGACAACCTCAAGATCAACCAAAAACAATGCACACTAGATTTTTCTGTGAAGCTCATACTCTGGAGGATCAATGCTCCAGGTATTATATGACGACAGTCATAACTGAAGTTTTTATGACCTAATGGAATCCAAATTAAGCTTTTCCCATGTTTTTCCCTACAATTAATTTATACCCTTATTTAATGCTATGGCGATTCAGAATGTAATCTCATCTGCTATTTCTTCTAAGGACTTTCTTAACATCTCTCTTCAATCCATTTTTCTGAACAGGTGACATTATTTGTTTATGGATAAAATGTTTCAACAACTTTACTGCGCTTATTATTTTAAAGTTTGGACTATGCTTCTTTCGCACAATAACTCTGTCTCGGTATGCTGTACTAGAATCTGTCGAGTGAGGCTGCAATCGGAGTTGATCCTTGGTGCATTTCAGTTGACACTGCGAATAAATGGGAGCAGGCTTTTGCTAAAAAACAACAAAAGTTGATACAAACGACTACAAACTTGGTAGATGAAGTTTGGACCAGTAGACCACCACCTGAAACAAATCCGGTTATTGTTCATCCGCTTGAATTTGCTGGTCGCTCTGTTGAAGATAAACTGAAAGATCTAAGGGAAAAGCTTAATCAAGAAAAAGCTCGTGCAATCATAGTTACTACCTTAGATGAGGCAAACACGTCATTTCATTTCATGTTAATAGTCAATATAGTTTGATTTTATGGTATTCACATATTTTTATTCATTTTAAATTTACAATTTCAGGTTGCATGGCTATATAACGTTCGTGGGTCAGATGTTTCTTATAACCCTGTTGTTCATGCATATGCTATAGTTACCTCAGATTCGGCTTTCTTTTACGTGGATAAGAAAAAGATGTCCTCCGAGGTCTGTGATCATTGTAATTACATTTTTACCTTAAAACTGTTGATTACTTCACCATAAAATTCCTGGATATATAGGCAAGCACCTACATGGAGAAAAATGGAATTGAAGTGCGAGACTACAGTGCAGTAAACTCGGATGCGGCATTACTGGCAACTGACCAGCTTGCTTCTACCTATTCGAAAACAGACAGCATTAGTACTGGTCCTGTTGGCGATAATCCTAGACAAGAAGATAGCACCAACAACCTCGTATGGATTGATCCTGCAACATGCTGCTTTGCTTTGTATACGAAACTGAATCTGGATAAAGTTCTGCAGCAGTCATCACCTTTGGCCCTAGCCAAAGCCTTAAAGGTACATGCTATTAGATATACCAGGGATGCCATTAATGGCTATCAGAACCACCTTGTAACTTTTGTGGCTATCACCAAATATAAAGAACTTATATCATTAATGGCATCTATGGTGTGTGTTATTGTATTGATATATTGTGTTCAATTATTTTAAATTGGCCCTCTATTATGCGTTGAACGGTTAGGTTGCCTTTTAGCTTTTCTGTGATCATTTTTATTTAATTTTATTGGTAACATTTTTTAGTGTTATATTAATTGGTAGTGAAGGTGTATTGGAACTAATGCGAAGGATGGTTCAGTCCGTTGTTCCTTAATGGGATAAGGCTGAGCATCTTGTGATGGTACGATGTTGGCACTTTATGTGAGTTAGGCTTGTGTGTATTTTTATTTTTATTTTTTTCTGGTTTAATGATAAATTGTAGAAACTTAATTAAAAACATAAATTAAAGTACTATGGCATTGATATGATGTTTATTGATCATTCCAAATTTTCTCCTGAGGTCTATAGTGTGACTGATGAAGTTGAATTGCTCGTGTTTACTTTAGGACCTTGCATCTATTCTGACTTGTTTACTCTTGAAGCTGGCAATTTTCTGATTTATTCACATGCTTCATTCGGTGAATACTTAAAGTGAGATGTCTACTTGGAGTTGATTTGCAAATATAGTGACCTCAATTTTTTCAGGATTATTTTTCTATTTCGTTCAATCACAATTCATTCAACTTGTATTACTTGAATTGGACTCCGTCCGATTAACTTTTTTAGTCAGACTGATGAATGCATGTTTAGAATGATTTGAGAATATCATTGAAGCCATGAAGTGTGGATTATAAACATCAAAATCTTCAACAAGTTTTATGATAAATGTTGACTAAACAGCCTGCAGTTTGTTTAAAAAAGGAGATGAATAATTCTATCTGATTATTAAAATTATTCCTTCGAATCGATTTAGTTTTCGACTTTACTAGTATAATTTCAGATCTTTTGAGCTACCTTTGGGTTTGTTTATTTGTGATTTTTTTGGTTTTGTGGGTTTTTATATTTTATTTTTTCATTTCTATGCAATAGTTATTGAATTTGATGTTTTTGGGGGGGAATTTGATAGGCTAAATAGTAAAAAATTAGTATAGAAATCACAAGTGAACAAACCTTTTGTTTCTTCATTCTAAACTATTTAGTAAGTGGCATTTCAGTATGGAACTGAAGTTATATCTAATTGTGCATGAAACTGTAGCAAAAATATTTCATGTTCCTCATGACGTTTTAAAGTTCATGTTTCTCGGGATTGTTGCGTGAACTAAAACATTTTCCTGTGATGTTTCTATGTTGGTTGTCCATGATGCTATCTTTAACTTTGTTATCGCCCATATCTCAGAATCCTATTGAGATGGAGGGGCTGAAGAATGCACACATTCGGGATGGAGCAGCTGTGGTTCAATATCTTGTTTGGCTGGACAAGCAGGTATAAGAATTATATTCTGTGTATTGCCTAGATGAGGATCTACCTCCCATGACTATGCCAAATGTTTCTTAGTGTGATTAGTCCTATTTTATATGCTTTTCTGATGTACTTGCATCCTAAATTGAAGTTTGAATGCAGATTATTTGCTCCATTATTGGATCCATTCTTCTACTAAAATTTAGCAGAAAACTTGTTGTGCCATTTAATCATATAAACTGTTCCATTGAAATTCGGAAGGGAAATTAGTAAGCCGTATCAGGATCAAAAGTAATATTCTATTCATGTTTCAGAAGATAATAATAATTACAACAATATTGACACATAAATAATGTAGTTCATTGTTTCCTCCTAGTCTTGTTCTGCAGTCTATGAATATACAGCCACCCCGTGGCCCATTACGTTCTTACGTGCTCGTTTTCAAATGTGCTCTGTCAAAGTGACCACTGTCAAGTATTGCTAATTTTCATCTTTTGTATTGCCTCCAAAATGAATTATTCTTTTTTGTTTTTCCTTCCCCAGATGCAAGAAATATATGGGGCTCCGGGTTACTTTGTGGATGGGGAGGTCAACAAGAAGGACCAACTGTGAGTTTGTTTGGTCAAATTATATTGAATGATCACCACCATCAATTTCCACTGGATATAGGTTTTACCTTGTCAAACATGGTGTTGGAATTGTTTTTCCTTGGTTATGAATCTGTTTCATGAAATGTTATGTTAATGCAGAATGATAAATAGTTTATATTTTGAGCACCCACTAATTTCTCAGATTTCTATTTGTGTTTGGCTAAGCATTACCCAGCTAAAACACGGTTTACAAGCATTTACTTGGATGTCCTTGTTCAGAAGCATATTAGTATATTACTCTTAATGTTTTCTTTGTTTTTCTCTTTTCTTTGTAAAAAAATTCAGAAGATCGACAAAACTTACTGAATTGTCTGTAAGCGATAAGCTTGAGGAGTTCCGTGCATCTAAAGAGGTATTTAGTGTATTCACTCATAATAGTCCCAAAGAACTATATGGATTTGTTTATATTTTGCTATTTACATAACGAAATGTTAATAGTGCTCTTGTTTGACAGGTAACATTACATTAGTTTTTAAGTTTGTATAAGTTCTCAGTAAAACTATCCTTTCTTCACTTCCCTCTAGCATTTTTACTGGTTTTAGTTTTGTAGGAAATGAATCAGGGATCTTGGGGATGTAATGCATATTTTGTTTTTATTGTAGTGTAGCATGAGGCCTGCTATTTTTTAAAGCTGTCCTCCAAACAAGTTATTTCGATTGTTAACTTCATTCATATTTGTTTAACAGCATTTTAGGGGGTTGAGTTTTCCTACCATCTCTTCAGTTGGTCCAAATGGTGCCATAATCCATTATTCTCCAGAGCCTGAAACATGTGCTGAACTTGATCCAAATAGTATGTACCTATTTGATTCAGGAGCCCAGGTTTGTTGACTATCCTTTTTTTTTTCTTTTCCTTTTTCGTTACTAATCCTCCATTATTTATTATTATTTTTCACTCTCGCTTGGTTTCCATGACTAATCTCATCATTATCTCTGAAGTATCTCGATGGAACGACTGACATTACCCGGACTGTACATTTCGGAAAGCCTTCTTCACACGAGAAAGAAAGTTATACTGCGGTATGGTTCTCTTTCGTTCTTCACGTATGTATGATCTTTTGGTCAGGGAAAGGATATGGTACAAATCTAGATTCATAAGGTAAGATGGAAGGGGCGCACGTTTAGCTTATTCTAGTACATTAAATTATTGTGTTGATTGTTTGGAATGAAACTGTAGAGTAAAACAAGTAAATGATTAGGTGCATCTTGCATTAATAATGAACTTGCTATCATTTTTCGTTTTCTGTAAATTTAGAATTAGGAATATGATATCATATTAGCGTGCTTTTAATTTTTAGTTGTTGTAGGTGCTCAAGGGACACATTGGCTTGGGAAATGCTCGATTTCCAAATGGAACTACTGGTACTTAATTAGATAATTATGAATGTTGAGGGTTTCATTACACTTTGGAGTGTTTGGCTAGGTTCCTTAGTTCAGTTTAATTTTTAATTATTCAGTTGAGAATATAAAGCGAATTCCTTGTAACTGTTACATCCCGTGTTCAGGTCATGTTCTTGATATTCTTGCACGATTACCTCTGTGGAAGGATGGTCTTGACTATAGGCATGGTACAGGCCATGGCATAGGGTCTTATCTAAACGTTCATGAAGGTGAGTCAAGATCATTGTAAGCATTTGCTTATTTGCTTATGCACCATGAGATTTCATGCAGCATTATAAGATTCTACCTGATGTCCTTGATTTCTATGCATTCTAATATCAAACCAATTAGCAAATGCTGTAGAATTCTCATTCAACATTAGCTATCTGTTTAGTTATATCAACACCATTTTGGTATAGAAAGCAAGTTCTTTCTTCTTTACATTCTGAGGATATGTGATTTTGATGGACAAATAGAAAAAAGCTTATGCTTTTATGAATTGTCTCTGTTGAGCTACTAGCAATATCCTTACATTAGATGTTTATAGGTCAAGAATTTGTCCATTCATTTACTGATTTACCACCTAAAGGTCATGCTTCCCTTTTGCCTTATCCACCTTTCAATCTTGTCAAAGCTGCAATCCAGCAGGAAATCTTGTCAGCATTCTAGTTCAATTTTTGGTATTAGAAAGAACTCATGTTTAGATGCAAAGTTGTTTCCTGCACATTTGATTGCAACATGATTATTTTGGGTGTTTCTTCCCTCCTAATATACTAATTTTTATTGATTTGATAGGGCCTCATCAAATCAGTTTCAGGCCAGCAGCTCGGAATGTTCCGTTACAACCATCAATGACTGTTACAGATGGTATTATTTATAAAAGTTTCATCTACTTATGAATACGTGCACTGCTGAATTATTTGCCTTCACTAGTTAATGGGGGCTATTAGAGTTGACAAGTCAGATAGCATGCAATTTGTGCGCTTGATATTTTTAAGGTTTATTGCCAATGATCTAATGGAATCCTTAAAATCACTGGAAATAAGCACCACTATCACAATTATAATTATTAAACTTGTGAAATATTCGGTTTCTTTCGAATTTTGAAAAATGATTGAGCTATTTAATACTTTATATGTGTATATATTTGAAATGTTTTTCTTCTACTCTGGTGATTTAAGCTACAACTCCATTTTGCAGAACCTGGATACTATGAGGATGGAAATTTTGGTATAAGATTGGAGAATGTGCTTATTGTAAAAGAAGCTGACACAAGGTTCAATTTTGGTGACCGGGGCTACTTATCCTTTGAGCATATAACATGGGTAAACTTCACCTCCATATTAACATGCATTTAATTTTTTGTCCCTTGTATCGTAACATGTTGATTTCTATTTAAATTTGTCAAAGTGAACAACTGAGTACTTTCACTAAACCATTACCATGATTAGTAGTACTTTTGTTGGGCTTCTGGCATATGTTTGTCAGTATACTAGATAAGTCATGAACATGGAAACATTGTTTTCTAGGTTTACTTAAGACCATGTTAGTAATTCTTGATTTTTTTCCTATTTGTTGGCGACATTAAATCTCCCCTACCATCCGCTATAAACTTTTTGGTTGAAGCTCTTTTTACCTTAGGATATTGGTTCATCTTCGATGTTCGGGGCATCAAAAATAGAAATTATATGTATTGCGCTTTTCTTGGAATGATTGGACCATCCCGGAGAATGTGGTCCTGTTGGTAATGATGCGTCTTTAGCATATGATGTATATTGCCTTAAATGTACATGGTTATATAAAGTTCATTACAGTTGGAATCTCCCTCCTTGTCTCTGCAATGGCAAATATATTCATATTAGAAAAAGAGAGGGATAGTGAAAGACTAATTTTGCTTTTCTGTTTGAGGATGACTACATTGTCTGTGGTCCATCCCACTAGTTGATATGTATGTATGTTGTCTCTAGCCGGCATATAAAATCCAAGCTAATGAATTTATGCTTTCCCAATTCAGGCACCATATCAGAGAAAATTGATAGATGTGAGCCTCCTAGTGCCCGAGGAGATCGACTGGTTGAACAACTACCACTCCAAATGCAGGGAAATTCTCGGTTCTTATCTGAACTCTTCAGAGAAGGAATGGCTGAAGAAGGCTACCGAACCCATTGGCACTTGAGTCAACCTTTACTATGGTCCCTGCACATCTATATTTCTAGCTTCAACATGGTACCCCCCTTGCTGCCCTTTCCCCATATTTATCTCAACATTTAAACCTCTAATAATCCAAAAATCTGTCTGATTCACTTTAACATTACACACTCTTATGAATAATTCTACAAATAAGTATAAATTATATATTTATTATCCCTCACTCGTACACGCCCTATTGGGCATGTGCGCAGTGATGCTTGTGACAATATTGCTTATGTTAATGCAGAACTCAACTATTTATTGATTCATCTTTTCTGCTTCCTTCTAAACAATTTTCTAGTGAATAATAGGGCTTTTAGGATCCATTTTTGCTGCATGGAATAAATAACTGGACAGCTTGTTTTTCATAATTTAGAGTGGCCCTATTGCTGTCTGAGCAAAAAAATAGTTTCATAGCAACTAGACTTGTTATCTTAACAGTAACTATAAATAGGTGTAGTTGGTGCAGCACTCAGGAGTTCTGATAAGTGAGAACTACTTGTCAAAGTGCCTACACATGTTTTTTTCCCTGACCACATGACACCATAGTTATACCTAAGTTGGGCCAGGTGCACGTGGAGCAATAGCTTCTAGTGATTAAAGTATTTGTAAAAAAAGACTCAGCCATTGATAGGATGGATTGGAGTCGCTATAAATTGGTTGTCACATGATTAATGGCAAGCGTGGGAAGGCTTTGGCAGTTTGGTACCAACCCCACCACCATATATTAGTTTAGCTGTCATCACTGGGTACCTTATCCAACATGCCACATGGGGAGGCCTGAGGGGGTCCCCCTTTACCAGCACCCTACCTTTGACTGCAGTGAGTTTTGGTATTGGATGGCACACACTAGGCCAAGAATTGGTGAGTGAGAAGTTGTCTAACCAATCTATGTTGAAGATGGGTTTACAGAAGATGAGATTTATTTAGCTTGAAAAAAGAACAGTGATATGAACTAGATGGATGGATGTTTTGTACACAACAACAACATTGCAGAAATTAGACATTTTCTCCACATTTTTAAGCCTGACGGTTACCGGAACAGGGATGCTGAAGACTTCGGGTAACAAAGGATTTGTTTCTGCGATCCATCGGAACTAAGTTGAAGTGTAAAGCTAATGGACATTGCAAAAACTAAGCACCGGGTTTTCCAGTTCCCAGTGTGAGCTCCAAATCTTCCATTCCAACTTCATGGATTCTTTCACCCTCCCATGCGTTAACTGCACCGTTCTCGAACTCAAACTCAGGCCCCCGGGGCCTCTTCGCTGCTGTTGCTTCCAATCCAAAGTTTGCACAATTGCCATTGCTTGTATTCTGGATAGAATCCTTCATTGCCATAGGTTTTACCAAATTGTAAGTAGGTGAAGCTGGCACGGTCTGGAAACTGACCCAACCAGCAGAGTTCACAGTAGGTACATCAAATTCATCACATTCTGGTATCGGCACTGGCATAAATCTTCGACGGCGAGTAGGACTAGCTGGAGCAGAGGCGGCGAAAATAGGGTGTAGGTAGGAGTTCAATGACCTCTCTGGAATAGGTTCCCATTGAGGTTTCGGCTTTGAATTTCTAGTCGGAGAGGACAGAGGGGGAGTTACTGGAGCACTATTGGATATGCGCAAGCGAGGCAACGAAGAAGGGATTGAAGTCAAGTTATGAAGGAAAGGAAGGATGTAGGATGTCGGATTCCCATCCCCGCGAGATGGACTTGGAAATGAGGAAGATGTGGGGCTGGCATGATATGAAGGCGCAGGACTGGGGAAAGCCGACGAATTCGGGCTCGGCTGTATCGACGAACACACACTCATGTTTCTCGATCCAGCCGGAGGAACCTCAACAGGAGGTGGCTTACATCCCTGTTTGGATACAATTCGCATTAGAAGTACTCAAGCAGGAATAGATTGAATCAAAAACACAAGAAGCAGGGACACTAAATCAGTTACTAAATTAGGGAAACCGAAGAGAAATTGAAGACCTAAATCAAATTGGGGATTTCAGCAGATGCTCAACATAGATCAGATCCAACAACACAGATCGATACATATATATACGAATACACGAGCACAAATCACCTACTATGAATCAATTGAAAAACAGCTCTTAGCAGCAACTAATCGAGAGGAATAAACCTACCTTACGATAAGTGGTACCGTCGGCTTCAACAATCCAACCAGCTTCTGCACATAGCGCCTTCAAAACCTCGTTGTTGTCGCAGTGTTTGGGGAGTTTGTAGTTTCCCTGAGCTCGAAGACCCGCGTAAATCTTAGCAGCGATGGCTCTCCTTCTCCTCTCCCGCCGCTTGTTGTTCTCCCTCTCCTTCCACGTCGGAAGTCGTCCCGTCGTCGAACCACCTCCCACAGTTGTCATTGCAAGATAACCACTTCACTCCTCAAGGCTCAGATCTCCTGGAGTTAAATAGCTGGACTGATAAATTGCAGCAACGTCGTTGGAAATGCTGCACAAAAGAAGAAGGAGAAGCGACAGTGGCGACCACTCCAATTGCCAATAGCCTCCCACGCTTTCTGTATATATATTATTTACTTATTAATATTTTTTTCAATTAAAAAATAACATATTTATAAAATTAATTAAAAAAAATAGATTAAGACGATTCATACATTCATCATTCATGCATTTATACATTTATTTATTTATTTATTTATGCGCACATGTGGTGTCGGATTGTGGTCCAATATGCATCATGCATTTGAGCTCTCCATACATATATATTTTTATATATATTATTTAAGGGATCAATTATTTAATCAGACATTTTTTTTAAATATTTTATTGAGGGAATTATTAGTTGATGCGTCATATTTAATCCAAGTCAATTAATAATAAATTGCAAGGATGCAATTTGTTTATATAATTAATAATCCGGTATTTAATACTTGTTCATTTAATAATATTTTAATAGTAATTTTTGTTATAATCGTTAATTAAATAAGCATTATTAATAATGATAATTTGATCAACCGATCTTATTTTAGACAAGAAACACATTGTTATTATTAATTAGAACTAGACGTTAGCGTGTTAGATGGACCAGGCATGATTTTACATCTATGCCTTTTCTTTTTTTCTGGATTTCCGTATTTGCCCTCCCTGTTTTTCCTTATGCATTTCTTGTGAGTAGTTATGTGAAATTTCAAATATACCCTCAATAATTCCATTTCACAATAAAATATTTCACACTATCAATGTCACATCTTTTACTATTATATATACTATTTTCTTTTTTATTTATTTGCTTTTTCACAAAATTTAAAAAAATAATATTTGTATAATATTTACCAAATAATTTTTTATCCAATATATTTTTAATATTTGAACCAAAGTATTAAATAAACAAACCCTTTTGTTCGATTGTATTCTCAATCTACTATTTCTACTATTAGTTTACAATACTTTTTTTTCATTTTTAAAAATATTTATTATATATATTTTTTTTAACAAAATAAAAAATACAACATACAATCACACAATGTCTATAATATAAATTATATACATATTCACGTTCAAAAATTTAAACACATCAAATATATTGGATTTGTTTGGTTGTACTTTGAAATTAATTTGAAGGAATTATATACATATTCACATTCAAAAATTTAAACACATCAAATATATTGGGTTTGTTTGGTTGTACTTTGAAATTGATTTAAAGGATATTAATTTAAATTTTTGTTTTAATAGTATCTTGATGTGATATTTTGTAAAATAAAATTGTATATTTTTATTAAAAATAAATCGAATGAATAATGTTAATTTTAATTTAAAATAGTAAAAAAAAAATCCATTATTTTCTATAATACTATCATAATTTTCATATATAAGGATAAAAACATCTAAAAACACATGCAGAATCAAAACTAAGAAATGTAATGGACAGGTTAAATATAATTTTGTCTTAAAACCATTCAAATATAAATACCATTATAAAATTTTAACTTAAATAAAGATTGTATTTACCTAAATAATTTTATATTATAAGTATAATTTTAAATCCTTCCCTTCGTCCCAATACAATAGTTCTGTTTATCGTTTTTGTTCGTCTAAAACAATAGTCTCATTTTCATAAATAATTATATCGCTATAAAACTATATTTACTTTTTCATTATTATTATACAATTGTCACTACTTTTTATACTAATATACTCACAAGGACAAAAAAGTCTTTTATCCATACTTTTTACCTACTATTAATGTAATATCAATATTCCTCAAATTCCGTGCCAAACACAACTCAAACTATAATTTTGAGACGGAAAAAGTATATAATACAATATATATATTTTATTTTTTAACAAAAAGTTGAAATACAAAAAATTTTCTATATTACTAATACAATTTAATATACATCACATAAAAAGTACCTCAAACTAAAATATTACTGTTAATTTAAATTTAAAATGAGAAATAAACAAACTTCAAAATAAAAATGAATATTATTGTTTTAAAGAAACATTATTATGATTTATATGTAATAAAATATACACTGCACGTGCGCTGCTACCTTCGTCAATAAATAAGCTGCGCCATTTATAGTTCAATTATTATTTTGTTTGCTTGGTTTTGGTGTGTGTTGATTATTCTGGGGGAAAAAATATATATATATATATTTAAATAATACTAATAAATACTTAATATTGTGGAATTGTTTGTTTTTATTTGAATGTGAAGTTTTGATTTAAGTATTAGTTTAAATCTTATTTTTCCTGTTTTCTAAAATTGTGCACATTTATTTTTTTTTTGTCTCTTAAAAATATTATTATTTTTTTATTTAGTAAAAAAATACACTATTTTTATTAGAAGAAGTATAAAATAAAAAAATATTAATTAAGATTCCATATATTAAATTTTATGTCTTAAATTTTTGAAGTACAAATTTGAGAGAACGATAAAATATTTTAAAATAATATTGTATTAGTAACATTAATACTTTTTTCTTTTTAATTTTGTATTCATTTTCTTTGCAAATTACAAATAAAACGGTCATAAAATTTAAGAGATGAAAGAGATTATTAATATAAATTTGAAAACCAAACTAAATACAATTACATTTAAAAGTTATTAATGAAAATAGCGTTTGTTTGTGGATTTGATTTTGAATGTGATTTTTTTAATAATAAAAGTTTAAATTAAATAGTTATTTAATATAATATTAATATAGGTTGATTTAATATTTTTAATATAAAATTAATTTTTAGTATAATATAAAAAAATAATTATTTAATTTAATATATTTAGAGAAAAATATAAAATAAATAATATAAATCTTATAAAGTTTTTTCAAAAGAATATAATTTAAATAATAATTAATTTATCCTTTTTTTTACCTCACAATTTATTATTATTATTTTTTTTTATCAATTACTTAATAAAATATCTATAATACTTTATTTTACTTTTTATCTGTATATTTTCATATTGAAATATCATTATTTTTTTAATATTTCTACCAAATATAATTTATATATTTTCTCCATTTCATAACAAACTATCCATTTATTAATTTTAGTATGTCTCGTAACAAAGTATCAATTTTATTTTTTTTAATATAGACTATTTTAGTTATTTTTACTTTATTCTTACTTACATTCCAATATAATATTAATATTTCTAAAACTCCGTGTACAAAATAATCGAATACGTAGTTAAGGGAGGAAGTGGGCATAATTTAGTTAGTTTGATGTAATAAAATAAATAAACATACCCAAATAAGTGGATCCCATTAATATTTATTAATAATTTAATACGAAGCGTTGACTGTTGACATCAGCCACGTGTGCATTTTCACACGTGTTTCCTACTTGACATTTTGTATTGAGATGTTTTTCCCTTCGATTTTTAAAACCAAAAGAAAAGGGTTTGCTTTTTGGGTTTCTATGAATGTTATTGCTATTGATCTTTATTATTCAATACAAATATATTTTTTATTTTAATAATATATTATATTAAATAATTATTTAAATTGAAATTGAAATACTAAGCATAAAAGTTTCCGAAAAAATAAACGCAAGCTCTAATGAATTCCAATATATTTTAGACTAACAATAATTACCTACTACACATTGAAAAACCTATAAAAATTCTCACCCAAACATGTTTATGGGCATTCTTTTACAATTTGATCTTATTTTTTAAATAATAATTTAAATGTAATATTTTATTAGGATTTTTGTTATAAAATGACAAATTTATCCTTAATCTTGTGTATCTAAAATGAAAGAGTAAATAAAGTAGGGATAAAAGAGTAAATTTTGTGTATAAAATTAAAAAAAGGATATAATTATTGGACATTCCAAATAGGAAAGTAAGACGTTAGTTTGTGGACGGAGAGAGTATTATTATATGTTTACCATAAATCATAACAATTGTATAATAAAAAAACATAAAATCAAATTAAAAAAACAATACACCATTCACATGCTTCAACAATAAAATTAGTAGGAATTATTGTTTTAAATTTGTAAATTATATATATATTATAATGGGAGAAGCCGCCGCCACTATTCCGCCACTATTCGATGAATATGTTCCGGATAAATATCCAACCGAATATAATAGCCTGTAAACTAGACTCGACAAGACAAGTCACACTTGAACCTATAACTTCACGGGCACGAGTCCACCACTTATGTGATGATCATTGCAATTGCAATCTTAATTAGTCCAATCGATCAATGATACTTGGCAGCGATTTTTGTAAGAGATTCGGAAAGCTGTTGGGGTGTGGACAACATGGCCATGTGGTCGGCCTCGTCAATTTCGACGACTTCATCGACTCCTCCATTGGCCTCGATCATCCAACGCTGGAACCACGCCACAATGACGATATCCTTTTCGCACAAAATGTACACTTTCTTCACTGCTCCATACCTTTCTTTTGAGAATGGCTCTTTTTGGGACACATCTTCCACGAACAACGACCCCGGCCTTATCAGAATTGTTCCCAATGCCACATCCTATGGACATACGTCTTAATTTTATTGATCATCACGGTAATTATTGAGATATTTTAAATATTCAATTTTATATTTAATAGATTTAAATTTTTAAATTTGTATCTATCGAGTGTGTTTTATATTGTCTTACCGTTATTTTCACTCATTCGAATTATATCACAAATTCAAAATTCTCTAGAGAAAAATTGTACCTCCGGAGAACATAAACTGTAGAGTTGGTCGGAGATGAATTTAGGACCAAAAGTCATCGAAGTTAAGGGACAATCCGGCGTGCCGAAAGTTGAGAATTTTGTGTCCTCCCAGTTCTCTGCTAGCGGAGTTTTCTCTACCAACTGTATATATTAGATATATGGTCTGTTTCTTTAGTTAAATTTTCTCAAGTTTAACTATTTGGACAAAAAAAATATATATTTTTTCTTTTCTTACAAAATATTTTATCAAACATTATTTTAATATCAAACACAAACCAATTTTTCTCAAACTCAAACTAAAAGAAACACACTCACATATTTTTGTAATAAAATGATTTTATTTTATTTTTTAATTTTAAATCGAAATTAAAATTTATTAAAAATTCCACCTGTTCGATGACGTAGGAAGGCTTATGTTCACAATCAGGCAAGAAAGCCGTCACGAAAACCGCCACGGAGATCCTGTCGGGGTACCTCTCCATCGCCGCCGCCAGGTTCATCCCGCCGAGGCTGTGCCCGACCAGGACCACCTTCTCCGGCGGCGGAATAGCCGCCAGAATCTCCAGCAACGGCTGGTTGTAGTCGTCGAAGGAGCAAAGGTCATGCAGACACCTCAGGTCGGTGCCGGCGGCCGCCAGGTCAAAGGCGGTGACGCGGTGGCCCGCCGCCTCCAGCAGCGGCTTCAGCTTGTACCAAGACCACGCGCCGTGGCCGGCGCCGTGGACCAGAACAATGTGCGGCGGCGGCGGCTGCTTTCCCGGCTCCATCGCGATTTAAAGCTTCTGGTCTGACTGCCTTTCCAGCTTAATTAATTGTTTATATAGAAAAGAAGGGTGTGTGTGGATGATGCTGAAGATCCTCCCAGAAAAGAAGATAATAAATGATGGGTCGAATATTTTTTAGCCAAAAAAATTAATTACATATTAAAAATTGAAATTAGTGGTCCAATATTTGGAGGTTTGTTCCTTTATAATATTATTACAATCCCCTCGAATTCTATATTCCAAAAATAAATTCTATCCTTTTGTCTAAAAAATAAATTTTATCCCCCTGTTCCTCTGTATATATATTATGTGGTGGGATAGGGACATAGAGTGTGTTAATGAGACAAAAAAAAAAAATATAAAAAAATTAATTTGAATTATAACATATAAATTAAAAATAAAGTACTTATTCTTATAGGCTGTGATTGTTTGAAGGATTTGAGGAAATTTATATTATTCATACAAATTTTTTTTTAAAAAAATATCATATCAAATATTTATTTTTTATTTTTTATATTATATTAAAAATTAATTTTACATTCAAAATATTATATCAATATTTATTTATATCACATCATACAACTATTCAAATTCAATCGCTTTACTATTCAAATATCAATTCAAAATAATCAACTATCATTCTATATCAAAATTACAATTAAAACTTAAGTTTTTTTTTTTAAAAAAAAATACGGTGATTATATATATATATATAAGTTTTATTTTATTTTATTTAGATAATTATGATTACACAGAAGAACGGATATTTGAAAATGAACCAAACAAGTGCAAAAGTGTGTTTAACTCAAAGCCAACTGCTGCTTTCTCTTTTCCCCCACAAAACATTTTATGAGAGTAAAATAATTGTATTATACCATATCTCTTTCATTATTCAAATATATGTCTTTTTTATAAAAATAAAAAATAAAAATTTTTCATCAATAAAATATTTTTATTTTCTTGTCAGAAAATTATATTATTTTTCGTATTTTTTTTTTCTATAAAAAATAAAAAATACAATGAAATAATTACTATCAATTTATAATAATATCATACCTTAAATATTTGAACATACATTGGAATAAAGAATGAAATTTTATTTTGTAAATCAAATAAAAAATTACATATTAACATATGAATTATATATATATATTTGTCCATATCTAATATATCAATTTGTTTTGTAGTATAAAAAAATAATAGTAGTATTTTATTAATTATTTGAAGTATATAAGAATATTTTAATATTCTTTTGGTATTCTGTAAATTAATTATATATAATAATATATTTATAATTTATATAAATATTATATATATTTTAATATTAATTTTTAATTATTACTATAATTATAATAGAAATTAATGTTAGAGACCGAGAAAAATCATAAAAATAACATATTAGATAGAGGTGGTAGAGTATATATCTACATATAATACACTATAAGGGTGTGTTTGTTTGGGGGTTTGAATTTTGGATTGGGATTTAAATAGTAAAATTTTTGAATTTGAATAGGTGTATGATGTGATATAAATAGGTGTTGATGTGATATTTTGAATATAAAATTAATTTTTAGTATAATATAAAAAATAAAAAATAGGTGTTTAATTTGATGTTTTTGAGGGGAAAAAATAGAATGAATAGTAGAAATCCAAACAAATCCCTCAAACAAACACACCCTAAATAACAATTCCTAAATTAAATAAATTTTCACGGAGTAATATATACAATATATTTTGTGTGGATATGTATATAAGAATATTCAATTATGTCCAAAAAAAAATTTGTGTAACACACTTATTATTAGATAAAAATTTAAATTAACATTCACATCAAAATTTTAATTATTTCAAAAAATTTCTACAACTTTCTTGTTTTTGATTTTTTTTAAAAAAATTACCATTCAAAATTATACTTCATCCGTCCTGCACAGATGACCCTATTTCCTTTTTGGTACGTCCACAAAAGATGACCCATTTATGATAAATTTATTCATTTTAAAAATATAAAACAATTTAATTAAATTAGACCCACTTAAAACCCTTTTATTTATATCTTTCTTGAATTAACAAATATTTTTATCTATATTTAAAATTCTTTAATTTTTTATAAAACTAATTTATAATAATAATAAATAAATATATATTTTTATTAATTTGTTTTATATAAAATTTTATTGTCTACAAAATGATATGTATATTACATATATTTTATTGAGATATAATTTTAAAAATATTTAAAATACAAAGAACACTACAAATCATTACATTTATATCAATCTTAAACAAATCATATTTTCAATAAAAATTTAAATGAAACTCAAATCAATCTTAAAAAAATTACAAGAGTGTGTTTGTTTTTTAAAATAATTTAAAAGATAATTTTTTTTTAATATGTAAAGTATGATAAATTATATATAAAATATAAAAAATAATAAATAAATATGATATATTAATATATTTTTTTAAAATGATTATATAATTTTGGTTAAAAAAACACACCACAGTCCAATTCTTCGCAAACTTCATATAAATAAAGCAATGGATTCAATGGTATAAATAATTTAAATTTTAGTTTAAATAATATTTTCTAAATTCCTTAAGAATTTATAATATATTGTCCAAATCATTATATTTATATCATATAATTATTTTATTTTATTTTTTATTTATATTATATTTCAATATAATAATAATATTTTTAAAATTTTATTCAAAAATCAAATTTATAAATAAATATAATAAAGAGATATGAGACATGAGACGGAGAAAACTTATTTTGATATAATTTTTGTAAAAAAGAAATAATAGTATGTACTATATTTCTTTAAAGTTGAATTAATAATATTCCATTTTAATTTAAAATCAATTCGGCCCTTGTTTTGAACCCATCAAATTTATTACCCTAACCTCTCTACCCCTTGAAATGGAAACAAGAACAAGGGCTTGCGATTCCGATTCCAATTCAGATTTGAATTATACAGTATATTATATTGTCGTCGTGTCCTTTTTACGACAAAAACCAAACAAATGCTCGCAATCGCAAAGCAACGATTCGCCAGAGAGGAGGAATGGTTTTATTACACGTTTATAAAAGAGCACGCCTCCATTTTTCTGGGTCGGAGGTTGTCCTCGCCGGGTTGGTCAATGCTCAATCCAATTAAATCCATCCCCAACTCCTAGGTCGTAGATCCGCCAATCCTACCATCCATCGTGTCGATTTATGGGACTCGGCCTCCGCCCGCAAAGATTCCGTGCGCCTGCTGCTTCTGCTTCCGACAATCTCTTCGAAACAACTTTCGCAACCATGAGGTCTGTTTCTTTCTTTTCTTTCTGGGGTTTTGGCAGTCGAGTTAATTTGTGATCGGATTTGTAGTGTTGACTTCTTTAGTCTTGTGATGTTCTTCCCCTTCTTTGCTTGAATATCTTGATTCGTTTTTGTGGGCTTTGTAGTTAGAGAATCTTGTTTAGGGATTTAGGATTTCTTTTTTGGATGTTGAGGGATTGTTTGTTAACAGAATATATTCATTACGACTAATCTTTGTTCTTTTCTGGTTATGTATTTATTCATATTATGAATGCCCTGTTTTACAGTGATCGAACCACGTTAAATTCTCGATGTGTTTCAGGACAAGAACGATTTTCGGGATCTCATTGTCCTTGATCATCATCAACATGGCGGCGATTATGGAGCGCGCCGACGAGAATCTCCTCCCGGCCGTCTACAAAGAAGTCAGCGAGGCATTCGGCGCGTGGCCGTCCGACCTCGGCTACCTAACGTTTATCCGAAATTTCGTGCAGGGGCTGGCGTCGCCGCTCGCCGGAGTATTAGCCATAAATTATGACCGGCCGCAGGTTCTTGCCGTCGGGATCCTCTGCTGGGCACTTTCGACTGCGGCCGTTGGAGCCAGCAAGTATTTCTTCCAAGTCGCGTTTTGGAGAGCGATAAACGGCTTCGGATTGGCCATCGTGATCCCGGCGCTTCAATCGTTCATCGCTGATAGCTACATGGACGGCGTGCGCGGGACTGGGTTCGGATTTCTGAATCTCGTCGGCACCGTCGGAGGCATCGGCGGCGGCGCCATTGCTACTGTCATGGCCGGCTATGATTTCGGCGGCCTCCCGGGATGGCGATGCGCCTTTGTGATGATGGGAGCTTTGAGTTGCCTTATCGGGTATTTGGTTTTCAGATTCGTCGTGGACCCGAAGAGGATTAGTGATACTGGCAAGATATCCGATAGGTATAATTTCTTCGAACATCCTCGTTTTTCGACGTTGTATGATCGCTACAACGGCTTCGTTTTTTCTTTTTTTTGTTTTAGGGAGAATTTGATCGATAACAAAACGACGGTGAAATCGGCGAACACGATATGGCTGGAATCTTGGATCGCGATGAAGACCGTAATGAAAGTCCCGACCTTTCAGTTCATCGTTTTGCAGGGGCTCGTCGGGTCTGTCCCGTGGACTGCCATCGTTTTCATCACGCTGCGCTACGACATCTCGAGATTGAGCTCACCCTCTTTGATTAAATTCACAGGATTCGATCATAACAGCGCTGCGACACTAGTTGGCCTCTTCGCCGCAGGCTGCGCTCTGGGCTCGTTCCTCGGAGGGATAATCGCCGACGCGCTGTCCCGGAAGTACCCCAACGCCGGGCGGGTCATGTGTGCGCAATTCAGCTCATTCATGGGCATCCCGTTCTCACTCTTCCTCGTCCGCGTCATCCCGCAGGAGGTCGGCAACTACTACACGTACGCGGCAACACTCTTCTTGATGGGTCTAACCATCAGCTGGTGCGCGACGGCGACGAACGGGCCGATGTTCGCGGAGGTGGTGCCCCCGAAACACCGAACGATGATCTATGCATTCGATCGCGCGTTCGAGGTGTCGTTCTCTTCGTTTGCTGCGCCGGTTGTCGGCATTCTGGCAGAGAGGATCTACGGGTACGACCCGAAGTCGGTGGATCCGGTGCTGGGGTCGGTGACGGCGGCGCAAGCGCTGTCGAAAGGGCTGTTGTCGATGATGGTGGTGCCGTTTGGGCTGTGCTCCATGTTCTACACTCCTCTGTATTGGACGTTCAAACATGACCGAGAGAATGCCCGAGTAACCAGTATTAAGGAAACTGAAATGTTGTAGCTAGTTGTATTTTTTTAGTGTTTTTTTTTTTTTTTAAGAAAACATCCCTTTTAACTTTTGAGGATTTTGATATGGATTTTTGTCTTTATGAAAATTTCAATATAGATTGTTGGTTTTGGTTGATAATGTTTAGTGATGATAACAAACATATGTGATTTCATTTGATTTAAGCTCAATTTTCAGAGGAGGTCAAATTGTAGGTGATCTATTATCTCTTGATTTGGTTTCTAAATGAAAGTGTGCACTATTTCTGGATCAACTTAATATCCCGCAAAATCGGCGGATAAGTCGTACTAAGCAAATCATGTCTGGATTTCTGACTCAACTTAATATCCAAGATTAGGTGGACTGATAAGTCATACTAACCAAATCATATCTGGTAGTGTGTAATGAGAAATATGTTTTAGTTTTTCGTCCTTGCCCCTGGATTTGTTGGAATTTCGAAATGACCCCAACATTTTAACAATTTGCACACATTGGCGACTTTTTGGGAAGTCTTGGCAGAGCTGCTGAAGTGACGGTGCTGCGTAGTCTTAAACCCTCGGAGAGCTTGACAATGGCGGAAGCTAGATTCTTCGCGGTTTTCCTCTTGACGTTGAGTTTGATCTCGGTTCGGCCGTTCTCGGTTGTTTCATTCTCCCAGGACCATCCGACAGATCGTCAAATTCTCGTTTTGCTCGACGATTTATCCCTCAAATCTTCGCATTCTCTTTTCTTTAATGCGCTCCGATCCCGTGGCTTCAGCCTTGATTTCAAGCTCGCTAACGATCCATCGGTGTCCGTCAAGCGCTACGGCCAGTACTTGTACGATGGCCTCATTCTCTTCGCACCTTCTACGGACCGTAAGTTTATGATTTTCTTGAGTTTGTCTGTGTGTAGCTGGGGCGAATTGCGGCGACTGTAGGTTTGAATTACTGTTTGGCTTTGTTTGAGGTTTGATGGCTGTACGATTTGTGTAGGATTTGGAGGGTCATTGGATTTGGAGGGGGTTTTGGATTTTGTTGACTCCGGGCATGATTTGATTTTGGCTGCTGATTCTAATGCATCCGATTTGATTCGAAATATTGCTTCTGAATCTGGTGTAGATTTTGACGAGGTTTGGAGCATTGTTCCTCTTTGTTATAATTACTTTCTAGTTTTCTGCGATGAAATGCTTTATCTGTGGAGTTTATCATGTTGAAACTCGTATGTACCGTATTAAAAATTTAAAATAGCCTAAGCCAACTGCTCAACTGATTTTTTGCCCCAATACGTGCATCAAATGCCAATCTATTCACTATTTTGATGATGTAGTTGAAAGTGATCTAGTTTTACAAAATGTGAATCAGTTGAAAACCTTTTATGTTCTGTCTAGTTGTCCCTTGACAGTGTTTAGTTGTACAGGACCCCTCTGCCGTGGTCATTGATCACACTGGTTATGCTGTCTCAAAAGTTGAGGGTGATCATACATTAATTGCTTCTGATTCTTATATTGAATCTGATGTTATCTTGGGAAGTAGAAAGATTGAGGTAAGTTTCTCGAAATTTGTACTAGGCATTTTCTTTTTGTGCATACATGAATGAAACTTTTTGTGTGTGATCATGTGTGCCCAAAATCCGTCTCCTATCTTTAATTAAAGTGCCTTACAGTTCTCCATCTTTAGTAACATACAGTGAGTTTTAGCTTCTTAACTTCTTGTATCTTCTAATGCATATCTGATTCTTTGGTTAGTGGTGCCATTAACAATCACATAATGATTCTCTTAAATTTTTTGTAACAGGCTCCTGTTCTGTTCAAAGGGATAGGGCACTCGCTGAATCCCAAAAATAGCTTGGTAATATATGGAAAAAAAAAAAAAGCGTTATTTTCTACTTCTGTTATTTCTTATGCAGGATTGGGTGGTGACAATTTCTCTCTTTGGGAGAGGCTTCCTCTTATAGCCTTATCCGTTTCACTGTTTATTGATATGTAGGTTTTGAAGGTTCTCTCTGCGTCTCCTTCAGCTTATTCTGCTAACCCAACCTCAAAGTTACTGAACCCCCCGCCACTTACTGGAACGACTATCTCCTTAGTGTCGGTTCTCCAGGTTTGTTGTTATTTCTGTTTCATGTTCATGTGTAACCTCATTAGCTTAGCTGTGACAGTATTAGTATTTTCAGCACACCTACTATTGTCAATGGGTTTTTAGATATTTTCATGTGTAATCCCTTTAATGCTTAAGTGTTCTGGTACAATAATTACACCCTGTCATCTGTTTCCAGGTGATTTATTGAGGGGGAAAAAATATATTGAATATGGAAAGCTATTTTATTTATACATTCTCTAAACTGAAAATCACAAGCCGTGGTGTCTCATTTGTTTGTTAAGTTAAATGATACCTTCTGCCTGCCATCTACGCATACAGGTTGTTCAATGCAATAATTACTTCTCTATTGCAACTTTGTTTGATGTCTTTATATCTGATCGTATATTTATACTTTTCATCATTTATCTGGATGGTTCTTCTTCATATGGCTACACACATGCAAGTAACTTAAAAAATCTAATGGCATGTTTTCTCCATGCTTTGTGACTATCTTACGTAATGCATTTTGGCGCTGTCGGGGATTTGCCATAGGAAACTATAGGAAGAAGTTCGAGAGATATGAAACTATTTTTTGATTTTGTGTTTGTTTGACTTGTTTCTTGGTTCATTCTCAGATATTACTTTATGTTATAATTTAGATGTGGCTTTTTATTTATTTTTTAAAAATCAATCTAGAATTATATGTACTGCATTTTTCTGTATTCCTCTTGATTATTTATCTTTTCTTCAATTGAATTACAGGCTAGAAATAATGCAAGAGTTATGATCACAGGATCATTGGCCATGTTCAGCAACAAGTAAGTAGTATCTCCTTAAATTTTGGTGATACTTTCTCTGGCTTATATTTAAGAAATTACTGTCAAATGAGATTTTCCCATATCATAGGAACTACTTTTTTGCTTCACCAGGTTGTTCAAATCAGGAGTTCAGAGGAGTGGAAGCTCAGATAAGTGAGTGGATCTCTCGTAAAATTTCCTTCATTAATTGGCTGTGTGCTACATTATGATATGACTTCTTGTGTAGGGATGGGATTTTATGATATTATCAGTTCCAAAGAGTTATTATCTTTAGCGAATTCAAGATTTTGGGAACATTCTGTAAATTTTGAGCCGTTTACTGCTAAAAACTTCACTCTAAACACATTCTGATCATTTGAAAAGGTGTGGTGAAAATAGCTTGTGCCTGAAGCCGAGTTCTTGTTATATGTACTACGATACGTTTGATCCGAGATTTATCTTTTTTTTTTTTTTTATTCTGAGTAGCTACTAACTGATAAGATTAAGTGGACAGGTATGAAAATTCTGGTAACGAACAATTTGTCACAGAGCTCTCCAAATGGGTTTTCCACGAGCGTGGTCATTTGAAGGTGATTGATTCCCAGCATAGTATTATTTCCTTAATATTTTGGTTTACTTTATATTTCTATTCTTACGTTTCTTGACTTAACAGCAGTTTATCTAAATATTTAGGCCATGAACCTTAAGCACAACAAAATCGGTGAAACAGAAGAACCTGCGGGTTACAGGATCAATGATGACCTGGTAATGATCATTTTCAGTAGCAGTGATGAAGGATAAAAAAACAAATGCCCTGCATTCCTCCTACCCACTTAGCTTACAATATTAGCCGAAATAGAGCAATGTTTTTCATCAAATATATACTATCCTGTAGGAGTTCTCTGTGGAACTTTTTGAGTGGTCTGGTTCCAGTTGGGTACCATATGTTGCAAATGATGTTCAAGTCCAGTTCTTCATGATGAGCCCCTATGTCTTAAAGAATTTGTCAACAAACAAGAAGGTATGGTCATTTCTTGATTACCCAATTTATTATTTTTAAGCACACTTGAGGAACTTAAGAGATTCACTTTTCCATTGTTTTTTTATCCGGCAGGGGCTATACCACACTTCCTTCAAGGTTCCAGATATTTATGGAGTTTTTCAGTTCAAGGTTGAATATAAGAGACTTGGATATACTACCTTATCTCTATCGAAGCAGGTGAAACTTCACATGTGTTTGCATTCGGATGTTGCTATACTTCTTCCTCAGCGATTTCTTATGTTTCTAAGCAATATTTTAGCTAAATCTACAATCCCTTTACAACGATATTGCAGATTCCTGTGCGACCTTTCAAACACAATGAATACGAGAGATTTATCACCACAGCTTACCCCTATTACGGAGCTTCATTTGCTACGGTAAATCCTCTATGTCCTCTTTGTTTCAGCAGTGTTAAACCAAGTATTTAGATTACATGTCCACCATGGCAAAGCTAATCACAATAATTTGGAATGGCAGATGGCTGGATTCTTCATCTTCAGCTTTGTCTTCCTCTACCACAAGTAAACACATACTGTCCTTTTAGTATTTACTTTCTTTCATCTTGTATACTCAAGAGGATGTTATCTTTATCTACACCGGCATGATCACTGCTTAAGTTCAGTTCTGAGTACGATCAATTGTAGCAGCAACCCTTTTTGGATATAGGAAGTAGAGAGAGATACACTAGATTCAAGTTTGGGACAAAATTTGTTTATCTTTGACCCTGGTGAGAATATTTGACGTTGAATGAAGAGGACAATGCATATACTTCTTGCTTCCCTGATTTGCCCGGGTTGTTTATTTTCTGTATTTAGCTTATGTTCATTTTAAAATTATCTTAAGTTTTTCATGTCCAATTAAACTTATATAATTCTCTTGGATGGAAGAATATATTCTTCCAATTCAATATATTCTTTTTATCATTATCCTCCAGTCCAATTTAATATATTCATTTTCTTTATAAATTTTTTATATAAATTTTATTAATTAATAAAATATTATTATTTTTAATTTAAAATAAATAGATATTATGAATCGGGTACTTTTTATAATGTGTATTGTTTGCCAATATACTCAATATATTTAATCAAAAAATTAATATATTACTCTTTTTATAATGCATATAACTCTTTTTATTTATTTATATATATAATCTTGATCTTTTCAATTAAAAAAAAAAAAATTAATGTATTACAAAAAATAATGACAATCTTTCAACGGTAAGGAAAGTGTATTTAAATTTCAACAAAAAATTCAAACCTCAAACACGGTAGTAAGAAAAAATAACTCTAAAAATACATATAAATGGCATAAACGAAAAAACAATAATCCTTGACTTATAGTCATTGACCTCACTCCTGAGTGTGAACTCCCCCAACTACCAAGACCACGTGTCTTAGGACAATTCACAAAATATAGTCCATCGAACCAAAGGAACCACTAGCGTTGCAGAAGGAATTCCCGTCAATGGCACCTTCATCAACTGCTGCCTTCCTCAGAGCCGGCCTCTCTGCTTTTTCTCCGGCCAAGAAACCGCCGACGGTCGCGGCCGGAAAGCTTCTTTCTTCGGGAATGTTCGACACCACTCTCCTCCCACAAACCTTTCAGCTTTTCAACAAAAAATCCTTCTCCTCGAGATCTGGTGAGCTCTCCCTACACTCACACCAATTAACGAGTCGTTGGTAGTCTCCTTGCGGTTTGCGCCATTAATCGGACATAAATTTGTGGAATTTCAGATAAAGTTCAAGAATTGCATTTGTACGAGATCAACGAGCGGGATCGCGGCAGCCCTGCTTACCTCCGGCTGAGCCAGAAGACTGTGAATTCCATCGGCGATCTCGTGCCTTTCACCAACAAGGTCTGCTGATATTGATAGCGACACAATTATTTCTTGAGGAATGAATGAATTAACGATTGATTGGTCCACCGCCGCAGGTTTACACCGGAGATCTGCAGAAGCGCGCCGGGATAACCGCCGGAATATGCATTCTGATAAAAAACGAACCGGAGAAGAAGGGCGACCGGTACGAGGCCATCTACAGTTTCCACTTGGGAGACTACGGACACATAGCGGTTCAGGGGCCGTACACCACGTACGAGGACACGCACCTCGCCGTCACCGGCGGCTCTGGCGTTTTCGAAGGAGTGTACGGACAAGTCCTCCTCCGCCAGATCATCTTCCCATTCAAGCTCTTCTACACATTCTACTTGAAGGGCATTCCCGACCTTCCCTCCGAGCTGCTCGGCGAGCCGGTGGCTCCCACTCCCGCGGCGGAGCCGGCGCCGGCGCCGGCGGCGAAGGCTTGCCGACCCGGCTCAACCCTTCCGAATTACTCCGATTAGGGTTCTGGAATTTGTAATACAGACTGAGCTTGACGCGAATTCAACTGATCCTATAAGTGGTGAAATTGCAGAATCGATTTAATCGAACAGTGTCGAGCACTGAGCTACATTTATTGCACCAATGTTGTCTTTTCTAGGATGAGTTTCTGTATGTGTGTCTGTCTGTCTGTCCAATGGCTTCGAAGCCCAGCCCAAAGGGATCGACCCAAACAGAAATCCCTAATTCCAAATTGGGAATCCCTAATGCGCCAAAGATCCGATGCTAAATATGGGAAATGTGATGAAGATTTCCCGTATCGCATTCGCATGTCTTTCGATCCTTTGGATTCTGAAACCTCCCAGATTAGGTAAAAAATCATCCTTCTTTTATCACCAAAAATCTCGAAAGCAACTCAAGCAGGCATACCCTTGAAGTTTATCTGTACCAGCTACAATATACTATATTGCTCCGGCACCATAGCTGCCTGTTGCAGCTGTAAACACTTCCTGCCATGGCTTCCAGAACTGCCGTCATAGCTTGGTCTGCTTTTTCACACACTCACTGTTCTTATCTGTTTCTGCAGTGTTCTTATCACTTTTTTGCTTCAGGGGTTCGGGGGAAGACGGACAGTTAGGAAGAGGGAACACCGATGAGAAAGAATGGGCTTGCAAAGTACCGACACTTAGCTCGCAAAACGTCTGTTCTGTTGTCGGTGGCAGCCGGAATTCACTTGCCATTTCTGAAGACGGCAAGGTTTAGTTAAAGCTCTTGTTTATGTATCTGTAGGCCTTTTTAAAAACTTTATATGTGTTTTCTGTGGCCAATCTTTCTTGCCATTCAGTAATTGTTGTCATAGCTATGAGAATTTTGATCTGTTGTTTTGGGAGGAGCTTATGTTGTTTTCGATTATGTTGTGTTGTGGAACTTAGTTGTTCACTTGGGGGTGGAATCAAAGAGCGACCCTTGGGCATCCGCCAGAAACCAAACCTGAGAATGTACCTAGTCAAGTGAAGGCTCTAGCCAATGTCAAGATTGTTCAGGTAGTTGGATTTTTTTGAATTCGAAGTGGAGTTTTCGACAGGAATACGACAAAAACAAGTATTTTGGTGACATACTTATTGATTTGTTTTTGATGTTAGGCTGCTATTGGTGGTTGGCATTGTTTGGCTGTTGACGATCAAGGCCGCGCGTATGCATGGGGTACGTGGCATTTTTTAACACGATTCATCAATTTCAAAGTAGAGGAAATTGATTGGAGAGTAATCTGCTGATTAAACTACTTTTCCGTAATCAGATTACTTCACGATTAGTTTTGATCTTGAACTTAATTATCCTAGTTCTGTTGAATTTAGTTCAAATATTTTGGCTCTATTTTGTTTTGTTTTGTTTTAAAAGTTTCATTAATGTGTAAACTCACTGTTCCTTATGAGAACATACATTTTTTCCATGCAAAACATCAATCCAACAACTATTTTATCCAAAAAATTAAAATACAAACAGAAAACAAATACAAAGTAAACAAATCCTTTATGTTGCTGATGGATAGAGTTGTGTGTTGGAGCAGGTGGTAATGAATATGGGCAGTGCGGAGAAGAGCCCGGGCGCAAAGATGATAGTGGCAGACTTGTCAGAAGGGATATTATTATTCCAAAGAGATGTGTGCCTAAACTTTCAGTTCGTCAGGTGATACAACTTACATAATTTCAGTTTCCTTAAATGATAAGGAGCTGTACATATCTTTAAGCTTTGTTCTGTTGGATTGGGTGGTTTCTTTACAGATTTGATCATTCAAAATCTGATATTCGATTTGCTGGTCAATCATACTAATGTTTAGTTTGAGCTTAGCTGCGATCACGGATGGTGCTCAATAGTTGATAAGAACCATTTTAACTCTTGGGATGCTTAACCGTCTTGATTTCCATGTTTTTCAGGCCTTAAGTAGTAGTTACATAAATTGGTTATATCAGTTTGATGATTTACATTATAGCCTGCCGGTTTCATCTTGTCTTGATATACATTGTTATGACCTGATAGCAAATGTTTTATGAAGCCTTTTTTTTTTTTTTTTTTTCTCACGAACAACAGGTAGCTGCTGGTGGCACACACTCCGTTGTTCTGACTCAAGAAGGACATGTATGGACATGGGGTCAGCCGTGGCCTCCTGGAGACATGTATGTTGTGTGGACTGAAGTCTGGCATTTGTTTGCGCTTCTATATTCTCCTTCCAGTATGTCATTTCCTTTGACTTCATAAATATTCATTTATCTCATTTGCAGAAAACAGATTTCAACTCCAGTTCGAGTTCAAGGTCTTGATTGTGTACGGGTGATTGCTGTCGGAGCTTTTCACAACTTGGCTCTTCTGAATGATGGAACTGTAATGGCGTGGGGCAATAATGAGTATGGACAGCTTGGTACTGGTGATACCCAGCCTAGATCACAGCCCATAGCAGTCCATGGACTTTCTGATCTTAATTTGGTTGGTTTTCCTCTCCTTGCTTCATTCGGAGCAACACCATCTGTCTGCTTCCAGTTTCAATTCTATCTGTTGGTCATTACTTTGCTATAGTTTTGGTAGTACATGCCTTGTCCAATTTATTGCAGCATCTATAGCATCTCGTGGAGCTACATACTACATATAAAGATACATTGTTTATAACCTGAAACTCAATAGAAGTAATTAAGAGATCCTGTAAACATGGTGGTTTTTATTTATTATTTCCAATACAGCTTAGTTAGTGGAAACCATCGGGATAAATACAAAAACAAAGGGAACATGTGGTTTTTTTCAACATTGGAAATAAGATTTTGCCTTATTTGCAGGTTGATATTGCCACAGGAGGATGGCATTCTACTGCATTGACTGATGATGGAGAGGTAGCAATTTTTTTCTCCATCTCTTATGTGTGTTCCTTGGATAATTTCTTCTGTGTGCTCGTACTAATAATAGTTGCCTTGAGACATGGTCCATGGAACACAATGGCGATTATGCTTCTATTGTGTAACCTATCAGACTGTTTATAAATGTTTATGTCAACTCCATCTTTCTTGATAACTTTCTTTTAGCCAAAACTGTCCATTCTTGTTAGAGAAGCTTTAAAATCTCTTACTAGTTGAATTTGGCTTTCCAAAATTTTCAAGTTATGGAGAATGGCTTTTCTCTTAACATATCTGTTACTGTCAACGAATTAATAGTCCCATTTCAACATAAGCTATTCTTTTCCATAGTATGTCCAATTGTAGGCCCTTTCACTTAAGTTTGGTACTATTCATTTTATTATATATTTATATTTTCCAAGTTATCTTTCATGGGATGCGGGTATGCATTGAGCTTATCTTCACTTGTAGGTGTATGGGTGGGGCAGAGGTGAGCATGGGAGACTGGGTTTTGGAGATGACAAGAGTAGCAAAATGGTTCCTCAAAGAGTTCAACTTCTAGCTGGAGAGAACATTGTTCAGGTCATCATTTTTATCATCTTCACAGAATTGAATTATCCATACATAGCCTTCTTTTATCTTATATGGTGTATTGTGATGAAAGTGGTAAGTTATATTATAGAAGATACATTCGATTATTCTCCTATTAGCTCAAGATCCTTTTGCCAAATCCAGAAAGAAAAAAAAAAAAAAAAATCAAAATTGTAGCTTTGTTATTTATCTTTAGTACGTGTGTATATATATATATATATATATATTAAAGTGTTGGTGTGATGACCAGGCCAACAAGCAAGAAACCTACTTTACTTCTTGGAACCTGTCTGTTTCCCCAATACATTGAAGCCTAACTGTCCCATCTTCCTCTCTTCTAATCAAATTTGAACACGATAGGTGTCGCTTTCTCTATCTTTTTCATTTCAACATATGCCTCCATGACCTCCATCTCTGACCCACTCTGGGGACATATAAATAGCCTAGTCCTAAATCCTGGTTTCTACCTTCTGTCCATGAGGTAAATGAACCCGTGAAGCATGGAATTGAATCGATTGACTGAGAAAACTAGTTGAATTGAATTAATTCAAGGTAGGTAGATATTCTGATCTTTACATTGTTTTCCCCTTTCCTCTAGGTAGTCATCCCAAGCCTTCTTTAGTTGCTCTCCTTTTGCATCAGCATACCAATTTTGCTTCTGGATTATGTTCTGTGCAGTATTGGAATCAAGATTGTAACCTTATATTCTATGCTTTCCTGTCGGTTTAGATATCCAATCATAATAGTTCTATTTTCATTGTTGAAAGGAACTTCACCGTTGCTTCTGAATTTAATCTGTGCATCACTCTCACTGTTATCCAGAATGTTCTCTTGGTTTATAGTTTAATTTTTTTATTTTTCCTCTATACAAATGTCTCACAAAAGGCAACAAGGACCAGTGTTGCTTTCTTTTGTTCTGTTGATGGTGGTGTGAGCTACAATTTTCAATAATATTATATGATTCCGTTACAATAGAAGCAAGTATAATCCCAGAGAAGGAGCGTCTACAACTTCAATGTCATGGGGTTTCATAACCTCATATATTGTCATGTCACATCGTGAAATTGGATTATGATTGTTTCGTTAATCATTATAAACTTCTGTGATAACATTTCTATCTGCTTCATTGAAAGGCATTGATGGTTTCTTATTCAGGTTTCCTGTGGCGGCACCCACTCGGTTGCGTTAACAAAGGATGGGCGCATGTTCTCTGTGAGTGCTTTGATGCTCTTCCGGTGGATCTTAAAAACAAACATGCTTTACGAACAAATTATTTATGCTTGTCTGGCCCCAATATAAATTGAAAAAATATTGGCAACTTGACAATCTATCTAAAGTTCTTGAGTCTGTCCATTGGGATTTTTTCGAACAAGCATCTGAGAATTTTCTTTTTTTGATATTTTATCAACCATTTACCCTGTGTCCCTAGCTTTGATTTTCCTTTCTAAAGCGGAAAGAAAACCATTCCAAACCCAAAATTTGCTTCTTCTGATTAATGCATTAAAAAGAGATATTCCTCCAGTTTGATGGGGATTAAACTACTGTTCGATAAATATTGAGCCATTTAAATTTGTTAAGTAATGAGCTTATCTGGTTTCTATCAAGCCCAAAGCTTAGACTCCTCAAATCATTAGCTACCCTCGTTTCTCAATTTATGTTTCTATTCTTGCATCCTAAGTTTTTTCATGGCTGTCTAAACATTTACATAAAACTGACATTTTCCTGGTGTTGGCAGTTTGGCCGAGGAGATCATGGACGTCTAGGATATGGAAAAAAGGTGACAACAGGCCATCCAGCGGAAGTGCCAATAAACATCCCACCTCCCAAGGATCTCAGTGGTGACAGTGATGAAGGCCGTTGGTGCGCTATACTCGTCGCTTGTGGGGGTCGCCATACGCTGGCTGTTGTGGAATGGCGCGATAATGAATCTTTATAGACACCTACCAAATTAAGAAACAAATGCACCTTGAAAGCCAAAGGTATCTGGCTATTCTCGCGTATATTATTATGTTGTTGAGTAGGCATTGGGTTGTATGCGCGTTTTGCGCTGTTAGTTACTGTGCTTGTAACATGATGAGTTGAATTCTATGAGTGATGATAATGAAAAAGATCAGATCAAAATTCGGCACTGAGGATTATAATTCATACTTAAATTCGTAGATCTCATTCTTACAAAGAAATCATATAGTTTCTAGCTATGGGGTATCTGAAGCTTACATACATGAGTTTCGAGTGTTTCTTGCACTCTTGATTATGGTGAAGAGCTTTTAGTCTATATTGGAGCAATTTGGTGTTGCTATGGAGTGCTTGTTGGAGTTGGAGTCGAACATTATATGTTTTTAGCATTTGTTTATACTGTCTGAACATAGGATTCTCCTGTGGTATTAGTGTATGCCGGGCCATATCTGGCGCTGAACATGCCGGCATGAAGCAGCAGCAGGTAGAGTAGCTGGCTAAGCCCCGATATGGCGATAAATGCTTCCAGCGTTTGCTGTCATATACATATATATATATTTATATTGTTTTGATCCATGCTATATATATATATATGTATGTGTGTGACTCACCAAGCGTTTGCCTCTGTGACCTCCCATTGTAATCTGCTTGCAGACAAGCCTGTTATATGTGTAAGATGAGTATGAGAATGGAAGAAAGGTAGATATATATATATATATATGTGTGTGTGTGTTTGTATGTACCCGAAGGCTAAGGCAGTGATGGCCCAAGAAATGATGGCGGAAGTGGAAGCAGGGGGGAGGGAGGCATTGTTCCAGAGATGGAGATGGAGGAAGCCGAGGAGGATGGAGGATGCGCCGATCACTCCTGCGATGAGGGCGTACACCAGAAGGAATATCGTCGAAGGGTTGCCACCCAGATCTGCGATGATCATCGAGGTCACTACTACTACTACTACTTGTGAATGTATGTGTGTATGTATAATGTATGTATATATTGATGGTAGAAGTAATGAAATGATGTAAATATGGAATAGGGAACGGACGGGGATGATCCTGGTGGCCATCGATGTACTTGTCGAGGGACCATGAAGCCAAGCCGACTGTTACGACATACACCACTGAGTTCACTGCTAGTAGAGGTACCATCAGCCTTCTTCCTTCCCTTCCCTCCATTTTTAACTTCTTCTACTGTTGCTTTCTTTCTCTCTCTCTACATGTTTGTTTGTTTGTTTGTTTGTGTGTTTATATGGAATGGAATGGAGGTTGGGGTGGGGTGGGGCGGGATTGGTAGTAATCACATTGATCATAATCTTATGATAATCATGGTTGTAATTGTTGGGGTCTGTCAATTTCATCAACTAACCAACACTAGAGAAGAAAGAAGAAGAAAGAAGAATGAAAAATTTAAAAAGAAATAAATAAAAAAGAAAAGGGGTTACGTGGAAGACACATTAATTGAACGGCAACGGATGTTGGTTGGGTTGTTGATGCATGCTCCCACCCCACCCTACCCCATCTCATCTCTTTTCTTTACTTTTCTTTTCTTTTCTCTCACCCCTCTTATCTTTACCATATATACCTGCTTTTTTAGTATCTATTACATCTCTCTCTCTCTAGAATAATGAGAATGATGAGAAGAGGGTTTGTTGGCTGGTTGGTGTCGTCTATCAAAAAATAACTATAGTTCCCATTATACATGTATTTTTGGAAATCTTGTCATTATTTATTAGTTTTATTTTTTTTTTCTTTTATATAAATATCAAATTAATTTATATGTTTTTCTTCTACAAAATATAAACTCATATATATATATATATATTTTACTATTTTTATTTTATTTTATTTTATTTATTTGAATGGAGCCCAAACTTGTTTAATTAAAGCTCTGAATTACCAATCACTGCTCTCCCTGGATATAATTTAGCAATTCTATTCTTAATATATTCCCAAAATGAGTTCGTTACAAAATTTGAAGATGATGGTCATTGTAGAATATGAAGAAGATGAGGAAGAGATGCATGTCTGCCATTTGGCATTCATTCAATCATTCTGACAACAAAATTATTAGTATCACATCACCACCACTACACTACTTGCTTTAATTTGATCTATTATTAGTATTTATTTTATTTTTCAGAGGGATGACATAATCTAATTTTAACAATTTTATTATTAAAAATAATTTAAATTTATTATACATTTTTAAACAATATTCAAAATTTATTACTCCCTCCGTCAGTATAATAACAATAATTATAAATTAAAATAATTAATTATTCTATTTAAAATTTAAAAATTTAAAATGAAAATGAAGTAAAAAAAAAAATAATAATAATAATAGAATAAGTAGAACAGACACGATCTTTTCTGGGCTTAAAAAATATTTGACATGCATATTGGGCCCATGGGCTGTCATTCAACATAAGCCCGGGGAAAATAATTAAATTTGACTGGAATTGTTTATTCCTTTTTAATCTAATGGATTAACTCATTATGCCATTTAAAATCATTTTGGTTTAATTTATTACTATTATCATTATTACTTTTGCCTTCTTCGATTTTATTATATACTGTTAGTTCTTTCTCAAAGTTTATAATAATTTTAGCTTTATTAAAAATAATAATGAAAATCAAATCTTAAGAAAATGATGCATTAGGTCTAAAGTGTTGGTTTGGTTCCCAAGAAAGATCCATAAGGACAGAGATATGACATTTGAAAGATTTTGATCCCACCATCATTTGTCTCATCATTTAAAATATCATTCATCTTACAATGCTCACAACTATAAAAATATGCCCCAGAAAGTGATTTGAAATTCTTGATTGATTGATGGCAATTTCAATTATTTATTTATTTATTATTATTATTATTATTTTTTGCATGGATTGTACGTATTTGAAAATTACTATTCTTGTTTTTGTGATATTTATTTAATTAAAATGAATTTCTATTAGTTTCTATAGTACATTAAAATATATATTAGGGTTTTGTTTCGACGTTTTATCGCTTGGTGCGGTGCAATGGTAAATAATGTGAATTAAAATAGATTTTAAATATCTAAAAATAAATAAACTCTTAAGAGTCAACAATGGATTGAACTATAATACTATGTTTTTTTTTTTAATATATATATATATATATATATTCAACTTTGACATTATTTATTATATCTTTCTCTAAAATATATCATATCAAATATTTATATTTTTACTAAAAACATTAACTATCAATAACTTGTTCTACGCGCAAAAAACACTACCTATTTATATCTGAATAAACTACTCATTTATAAAACTGATCCAAAGGTTATTCACAAGATACAATAACCTTTTCAATGAATCTAGAATTAATCATAGATTGCACATTGTGGGGTAGAGAAAAACAATAAGGGATTAATGAAATAATTAATACACATGTAATATAAATACTCGAGACATGGGAGAATCTTTCTATAGTGACAAGCTAGCAAGATTTTACCTTTTTTTTTTTTTTTTACCAAAAATATAAAAAAAAATAAATAGCAATTATTCTTTATAACAAGCATTGATATGGCAAAGAAAGTTTGGTGAGGAGGTAAGATTGGTGTTTCTTGGTTTATTGTGCCTATGCCTGTGAAGCAATCCCTTTAATGATAGGCATCCTCCATGGCTACTGCTGCCATCACACCTGCACACCCTCTGCTTTCTCATCACTTTCTTTCTCTCACCTCCTCCATTCATCTCTCTCTCTCCCTCCTGTTTCTCCCCTGTGACTTCTTCTTTCCTCTCCACCTGTTGTAGGCAACACCAAGCATTTCAATGTCAGCATCATCAGTTTGAAAACCCTCTTTGGGGGAGGGGAGGGGAGAATAGAGGGAATTAATTTGAAAAGATTTCTGGGCAATTAATGTGCAGACACTGGTCCAGGGAGGCATGCTAATTCATCCAGGACCATTTATTTTATCACACCTCACCACACCACAACTGGTTACACTGAGACCAAGAAATGGAAATATTGTACTGGATGGATATGTATCTTGATGACCCCACATTTGATCATAATTGGTATTAACAGCATTGTAAAATGGGATGAATTAAGGAAACATATATAATCTTTTTTACCTCTGTGGTTTCTGATCTGAATTTCCCACTGGAAGCAGATGAATCCCCACCCTCAGCCTTGGTGTGCTTTATTGATCTTTCTTCAATTGATGGAGTTTGAGCTGGACTTGGACTGCTCCCAGAACTTAGATCAGCTGGTGTGCTTTGAGTTCCCACATCCCTTGTTGAGCTCTTCCTTTTCTCTAGATTATGGACATGATGAATTAGGGATTGATTGATTCATTCATTCATAGGGCTTTGGTTTTTGAATCTGAGCAAATGAAGCAAAACTAATGAGGAAGATTGAAGTTGAGCTTGTTGAGACAACCTTGGATTGTGACAATGGCGGATTCGTTGTCCTGTTCAATGATTGGAGACTTGGCCTGAAGCTGTGGCTGCAATTGAGAAGGATAGATGAGTGGTGCAGACATGGTGATTCTGCTTGTTATGCTCCGGAATGATCTTCCGCTGAGAGTTTTCGTCGAGAGGCACTCCAGAGGGACTTCTCCTGATAGAGGATTGCATATGTATTTCTCTGCATCATTCCACTTTGGATTGAGAGTTACGCCGCCCCTGTCCGGAGAAATGTACTCCCATGTGTAAACAGTTTTTGCCTGTAATGCTGCAGTGATATTGAACTTAGAAATGATGATAAAAATGGCAAGAACCTGATTCGTTGGACAAGAAAGTTAGTTTGAGCTCAAAAATGTCACCTTTAAGAGCAGTGGTGAATGAATATGTTGAAGGGTCAATTTCCTCTGCACATATTGCAACATCAAATGAGAGATTATTAGGACAAATTACATACATGTGTTTGGTTTTGATCTTCGAGGGTGGGAGGGTGGATTACCTCTAACAGTGTAGCCAGGGGAGGAAGCAGTGCTGGAAATGCTTAAATTTGATCTGAAAGATCTTTCATCCTCTCTGAAACTCCTCAGATTCGACGCCGAGAACCTCCTCGAGCTTGTGTTTTCGCGGCTGATTCGAGCCTTGAGAGCCCATTCTTTCAAGTCGAATTCGGTCTCATCATGGCGACGTGAACCAACACAAGATTTCTCCATAGTGTTGGTCAAGAATACAATGCACTTTATATATGTATATATGTATATTACCACACCTTGAAGCTGCTTAAACTTTGAATCAGCCTTAGGCTATATCTTTATAGCAGTGAAAAAACACTTGATGAATCCCACTGGCTGCAGAATCAGCAAATTAAAAATGAGAAAGAAAGAAAGAAAGGAAGCCTGAGAGCTGCTTTTCAATGGAACTTTTAAACCAGGCCAAACAATTCAAACGTAATACATACTGTATATTCTTTCCTCATTAACTTTTTCTGCTAACATATTTTTAGGTGATGGGCCATAGTCCTCTTGGCATATACTGGTGAGGGAATCACAATTCACAGGGAAAATCTAAGCCTAAATACACTCTTTCTAGATTGCACGAAAATGGCGCCACTATTTGAAAAGAAAACCAGAGGATTTGGTGGAGTGATGATGCTTAAACAATGGGCCTTTCTGAGGAGACTTAAGTGTATCTGTAAGAAAATGGTCCTAGTTTCTCTTACAAAGTTTGTCATAATTACCTGTGGGGCATCAGAATTTTGTTGTTTTGAGTTCCCTTTCTGGTTTGGAAAAGATATTGGTGGCCATGGAGGATGAGCCCTGTGCCCTGCAAGTATTTGGTACACAAAAATGGTCCAAGAAGGATGAATAGTTTTATTGGATATACTACTTCAGATCATCTCATGTGTTTAACAGTATCTGTGTGAGAATTTTGGTTAAATTACAGAATGAGAAGTGAAAATTGTGTGTACTTTCTTCTATGGAGCTCAACACACTAAACCCTAGGATGAATTTCAGCACTCCCTTAATTATCCCTGAATGGCATATCAAAAGTGGTCCATGCAAAATTGCAATGATTTCATGTCAAGACATTATCCTGTGAAGGTTAAAAAGAAAAAGATAATTTAAAAAAAAAAAAAACCCATGAAAGGAAATGGGAGGGGGTTTGGAATACAGTTGGTGGTGACATAAGTACATCAGTGTGAGGTTATTTTCAAGCTTGGATTTTGACAGGTAAATAGAGTGGGGGAGAAACTAGCAGGCTAAGAGGGGGGGGCGGGGGGGGGGGGGGGGTGTGTGAAGAATGTCTACATGTATGTATCTATGTAAACATGCCTGCATGTGCATGTCATGCATGGTGGGGGTAGGGAGTGTCATGGTCACCATCATGACAGCCACCACCACCACCACTATCACCACCACCACCACCATCCATCCATCCTTTCAATTCAAAATAATCTTTGTATCTTTCAATTGTGTGTGTGCTAAGTAGGTTTCAAGGTGGCCCAGTTTATTTGGTGTCTCTTGGCTTCATTTAAATTTGCCATTCTCACTGCTATATCCACTTTTTCATTCTTGTCTTACTTTCCACCTTCTAATAATAATAATATCATTTCTCTGAACATGTGAGATTCAAAATTCGTTCAGGACTGACATATTATATACACATATATGTATGTATATATATATAGATATATTTCTTTAATGTGTGGATCTTGATATCTGTTAATTAAAATCCTGAACAAAATACAAACACGTGATGGAGTTTAGCCACAAAAGTGAAAACCAGTGATAAGATTTTGTTTGGCTCTGCAGATATGGCTCCTGTACTTTCAACCCTTGTGTAACTAATAAGTTCACCTTTGTGGGTTGATCCCATTTATGGTCCCAAGAATGAATTATATTGATGACACCAAGAATGTCGCTGAAATCAAGAAGGGTTCTTTAAATTGTTTCTAATCCAAACCATTATGACCTACCATGTACCTTAAACAGTGCAGGACAATCTGCCCAGCATTCCTACATCCCCACCTACATGCTTTGTACCTGTAGCAAAACTGTAGGAAAACATGCTCAGGTTGATCATGTAGAGAGATTCATTTAATGCCAAATATCCATCAACAAGACACTAACAACAACCCAACATTCTGCAGTTTTGCCATGAGTTAAATGGGAGGGAAAATGAAAAGTAGCTTTAGTGAATTGTGACCATTAGTTTCAATGAAATCAGAGACCAAACCAATTCATTGCAGGAGACAGAAATTAAAAAACAAGCTGTCCTAGAATCCATAAATGATTCACAGAGAGTCAGTAGCACTACAAACAGTGTTCCATTCCCAAGATTCTTATTGAAATGAATCAGCAGCAAGACTTCATCCATTTGGATGTGTCTTGATAATCAAACATTATTCATTTCTTCCTATTCAAAACAATGGCCTTCAGACAAAGAGAACTTGGTTGAAAGAAACTCAAATATTCATACAAGCTTCATTTATACAAAGAAGGAATTACTTTTATCAAGCTAATATTACACCACAGCTAGATTCAGCAGATACATCATGTGGAACAAGTGGCTGACCCTACATTTGAGAGGATATGGTTTCACCACAAACAGCCATGTGATCTCTAAGGCCTAACCTTCATAATTTTGCATACAACTTCTGGAGGAGAAGGAAAGAAGATCGGGCATTATTATAGGAAGTCAATGGTTCATCACTGATGTAGAAATTCTTATCACTCAAGACACAAAGAACCCACTCCATCTTTCAAGAGCACATTTGCCAATTGTCATCACTTGAGTTGTCTCACAATTTGTTTTATTATAGAAAGTTTTTCCACACAGAAATCATGGCATTACCAAAACCATAAACAACAAAAAATGGCTTCAATATAGACTATGGTGAAGTGTTTTCCATGGAGAATATAAATACATGCACAGATTGATTCCAGTTTAGAAATTTGGGCACAATGAAATCCAAACATCTCTCGATTGATTCTACAGAGGAATTATAAGAACAGAAGAGATTTCTGCTAACTGAGAAGAGACCATTCAATTCTACTACCAATGAAATATAAAACGATTAAGAAACTGCAAACATCTCCACAAAGCAAATGACAGAAGAACAATAGAACAAGAAAAAGGGTTATGCTTTTGCGTGATACAAAAAGGGCCAATGCTATCAAAAGCTACATCAGCTTCAAGCAGATGAAGTGATTAAGTCATTTCAAGAACGAAGATTCATCTATGTAGTTCATTTTTAGGCTTCCAGCGATTGCAACAAACCCCCTTTTCCGATCAAAAAAAAAAAAAAACCCCACTTTCATGCTGTGTAGACGCCAAAACTGCCGAATGCCGACTGAGAAGTAGCCGGAGAGGAGGTAGCAGCCGGCGAGGAAGTTCGCAGCAGAAACTATGGCGAATGGATGGGGACGCTGACTTGTCAATGCCCTTTTTCGTCATTTCATATAATGAATAAACCCTTTCCATTTTCTTGATTATAAAGAATTTTTTTTTTCTTTTAGCTCTTTAACTACTCGCAAGATTGCGAATCACAGTGGTGAAAGACGCCGGTGAGGAGGAGGAGGAATCGAGTTTTGCAAGAGAGGTAGGAAGATGGGATACCTAGACGAAGCTAGAGAAAATCACGTCAAGAAGAAAGTTGAAGAAGGTAATAATTTGTTCATTAATTGTAAATTCTTGAAAAACCCTTTTAAGCAAGTTCGATAGGAGGGGTTGCATTGCACCCATTGCTGATACGCAGGAATTTGTTTTGGTTAAAGTGTTCGCTCTGATGGTTTCAAAAATCTGTCCAAAAAAAAAAAAAAAAAAGAAAGAAATGATGCTATTTCAAATTTTCGAACGTATGGCTATTTCAAAGGAAGAAATTTGTTTTGGTTAAAGTGTTACAAATTGTTTGTGTTCTGATTGGCACCATAAATTTGCGAATGTTCAGTATATTCAAGGTTCATCTCCACATTTTCCCATCTGCAGCTCCGAAGCTTTTACAATTGGCATTGGTCTCCTTATGAATTGATGCTTAATTTGCTTGTTTGTTTGCAGCCCTGAAAGCATTTCTTTCTGCTTTCATTACAATTTAACCCTTTTGTTTTGTGTTCTTCATTTTTTGTCATATTGTCTTTCCTATGTTTTGCATCCAGATTGCCGAAATTAAGCCCCAACCTTAGATTTTGGTAGCATGTCTAATTCTATGTTTCTTGACTGTATGGATATATTGACATGTATATTCTGGTAATTGGTTGTGGCAATATATTTGAAGTACTATGGAATTTTCATTTGGCAGTGTAGATTATTATGAGTTGCATTTGAAGATTCACGACTATGCTTTCAGTATATTCACCCAACTGAAGAATAACCTATTGGATCACCTATAACAAATGTAGTGTATATGTTGATGCCTAGATTGTCTAAGATCACCCTTGACCGTGTTTTATGGATAATCCACTGTGCATTTGAGATCTGGAAATATCTTGCATTAGCTTCTTACATAATTGGTTGAATTTGTATTTTAGTTCCTACAACCTCCTTTGTTTTATTTGATCAGCGTGGCATTTCCATAATGTTCATAACCCGAATGTATGAGCTGCATTTTTTATTTTTTATTTTTTTTTTACAAGTTTTGAAGTTGGTTTTTTTCCATATACCGGTATTAATTCAGAAAAACATCAGCTTTGCGCAGTAAAATGAAGCAGAATGCCCTAAAAGAATGTGATCACCTCACGGCTAAATATGCTGAATGTGCTGCCGGAAGAACCTTGTCTGTTGTATGGAAATGTCGTCAACAGGCTAAAGAGTTGAATGGGTGCCTTCATCAATAGTAAGTTTTATCATACTTTGTTGGCTTCCTTTTTGTAGATCTATTTAAATATTTTGGGGTTCGACTAATCCAGTATCATTGTTGCTTCAAATTCCTTAAGATTTTACATTACTAATAACTGCAGTATTGGAAATGGAATAAGCAACATTTGAGATATTTGAATTTTTGTTAGCCATGTAGGCTTCTAGCTGCCATGGAGAGTAATTTAGAATATATTGTGCAATGCGTCGCGACCTACCTCTGCAATTCTCGTCTGTCAAGTTCTTATGCAGCGATATTTTGTGTTTTTTCGTCCTAATATATATCTGCTGGCTTGATTTTGTTCTTTTGAAGCACAAACAACACGGTCTTGGAACAAATGAAAAAAGAGTATATGCTTCAACAGGAATAAAATGAGCCTCTCAGCCTCAGAATTGATCGGATTTATACCAGCCTTGGAATGTAGTTTTCTATTTTCTTGAAGAAAAATTACGTTTCGATTTAATGAGGCATAAGTTGCAAATTCTTGTGAATCTGTGATCCATTATCCATCATTTTGCTAATCTGGTAATGAGTGCATAAAAGCATGAAGAGCAAGGATTGTACTTTTGTAATTTTTTGGCCTTTGTTTAGAGAGTTGAAAAACAACTTTTGAAAAGAGGATTAACAAGAAGTCACCTTTAGCGCACTGATATTCTAAGGACAATTTGTTGCACATCATCTAGAATAGATATATGCTTGTGTCATTTGTATTGAATTATTTTTTCAAATTAAAGATCATCTCAAGTTCATAATGAGTGGATGAGTCGAATACAAGACTTGTATTCTTTACTTCTCTATCGAAAATTTAGTAATATTTTGGGAATGAAAACAAATTGTTTGATATGATATTTTTCTAAAATTATGTAGTTAAAATTTTAAAAATAGTTGTGTAAACATAACATTATTTTTAATATTTCATTTCTTAAATACTCTATTTGATGTGATGTTTTTATAGGAAAAATTTTAAATGAACAATTATTTTGAACAAAATTGTGATACCCTATTCACTGATCTATGATATCCATTGCATAAATTTTGAAAGATATGATTAATATTTAAAATAAAACCCACTTTAATTTCTATTGAAATTATCTACAAGTATTTTTATAATTAGGGTGTGTTTGTTTGAAGGATTTGATTTAGATTCAACTATTTATCCAATTTTTTTCTCCTTTTTCTCCAAAAAAAAAAAAAACATCAAATTAAACACCTAATTTTTATTTTTTATATTATACTAAAAATCAATTTTACATTTAAAACATCACATCAAACACCTATTTATATCACATCATACAATTATTTAAATTCAAAATTTTTACTATTCAAATCTCAATTCAAAATCCAAACTCCCAAACAAACACACCCTTACTATAAATATACAAAATATTTAGTATATAGTATTTTATTTATTGTATTAAATCCCTTGTTTAAATTAAATATGTAAAAAAATTTCTATTTTAGTTCAAAATTGATACTTAATTGCAAATGTATATTTATTTAAATAAAATAAATAAACAAAATATATTAACACTGGTGTTTTATCATAAACTCATGGTTCAATTACTTCAATTTTATACAAATAAAAAAATAAAATATTTTAAATTGTACTATGTCCGGATAAAGATGTGTTGTTGGATGCAAAATGAGAGTATCACATAAAAATTAGAATTCTCAAGGAAATAAACAATTAATTATATATTCGCAGACAAAAATTTCCCTTAATTGCAAACAGAGGTATTGCACATACATATGCCACAAATAGAGACGTGAGACACTTAACCTGATACCATGTTGGATGAGAGGGAGGGGGCTGACAGTCTCTCCCATATCGAGTGCATAATGACACCTAAAGTCCGCCTTCATCATATTTGCTAATTGAAAAGAAAGATATAAATAAAGAGATTTAATTAAATTGATTTATATTTACTTTACGTTACCTTTTTATGGATAAAAAGAATAAATTAGTATTTTATATATTATTGTAATAAATTAATATAATGTCTATTTTATTCTTAAATACTACTCTCTCCTTCCGTTATATATTTACCGACCACTAATATAATACTCCATCCATCCGTCTCAATAGTGTTGTTTATCATTTTTATTTATTATTACACAATTGCCACTACTTTTTACACACAATTATTCCTACTTTTTACTAACTATCAATCCGTATCCAATACAATAAGATTATACTTTTCGCCGGGAATATTATAAAATAAAAATTATTTTAGAATTAAGAGTACGTATATAATCAAATATTAATATTGATATTTTATCTTCGATTTACTCAATTTACTTTAAAATTAAGCTCCGGAACGAAACGACGTCGTCGGTAAGAGCCAGCCAGCCTTGCGCCAGAGGCTAGATCCCTTTATTAACTACTAGAACAAAACGCCACCGCCATCGCCCAGACCAGACTCGTACGTTACCGTTGGAGATGGCGAGGGACTGGGTAAGAGAGAGCCAGCAGTTGTCAAGATTCGGGGTGCTGGTGGCGCAGCTCGAATCAATTGTGGCATCCGCCGCGCACAAGACACCTGACCCAATTATGTGTTTCGATCTTCTATCTGATCTCATTTCAGCAGTCGAAGAGGAGCCCAAGGTATTGAGTTGAATCTCTGTGTTCAGTTTGTGTACGCTGAATGTCCAGTTAGGGAGGGCTTGCTTTCTGTTTTTTGGGAAATCTTGGTGATTGATCGCGGTTGATCGTGCTTCTCTGCTGAACTTCAATCGCCTATTTGATATCAGTCGTTACTCGACTCGCTGTATTCGATTCAGTTCCAATTTCAGTTCACTTCGTTGAATGTAACCGTCTTGTTGGAACTTTAGTTGTTTAGACGAGGGAAAAAGGAAATGTGTTCTATTGGAAGGATTTTTACTTTTTTTCTTTTCGTTTCAGTTAGCGCTCAAACTGAAGTTTCGTTTTATTATCTCCCTCTCTCCGCTGTTCTCCGGAGCACTGACTAGACTTATGCCTTGGAGCCTTCGAGTGTGTGCGTGCGTGTTTTCTTTTTATTTTGGTCGCCATCTTGGGAAGGATATTGTAACAATCTGTATTTTAATGTTAATTTCTTTTACAAATTTCATTGATTGAAAAAAAAATTTATAATCACTTTATAATTATTAGTTTCTTTCTTGCTGGTCTGCTGGACATGCAAGAAGTTTTGATGACATATTTCCAAAATTTCAGGAATCTATACTACAGACGCAGAGGAGAGGGGAGGATGCACTTTACTCTTTGCTGGTTCTGGGAGCTCGTAGGCCTGTGCGGCATTTGGCCTCAGTAGCAATGGCAAAAATTATATTGAAGGGTGATGGGATTTCCATATATTCCAGAACAAGCACTCTTCAAGGTTTTCTTTCAGATGGCAAGAGGAGTGAGGCTCAGAAAGCGGCTGGTATGTAATTCTTTAATTTATTTCAGGAAATACCTCTTATAGTCAAGAAAGTTGTGCTGCTCTTTACTGCTCTTAATTTTACCTGTGGGAGCTAATTTGGTCTTGTTAGAGTAACCACCGTTGTACTTTTCCAATTGGGTGTGTATTAGCCACTTCCTATGATAGCTCATAGTCTAATTGAAGATGGCTTCTATGTCTTCATAATTCTATGATCCTTTTGGTAGCAATATTATTCCCCTAAGCAGAAGCACTTTATCCTCACATGCTTGCCGAAGAATGACTATATGTCTTCTATATTTTCTTCAGAACGTGGAATAATTGCAATTATATTTGTTCATTATTGATATCAATTTAAAATCTACAATTGGGACTACAGATTCTAGGAAAATTATTTACTTTTCATGTTTTTATTTGAATGTGGCTAAGCATGAAGCAAATTATAGCTTGTTTTGCAGATTTTCATTTTTGTTCTTGTGATGGTCTTGTAGGTGTTGCGCAATGCTTGGGAGAGTTATATCACCATTTTGGGAGACGAATTCTTTCTGGATTTCTTGAAACAGTAAATATTGCTACGAAACTACTAAAATTTACAGAGGTATTAAAATATTTTTATTTCATTTGGCTATTATATTCTCTTGAAGCCATCTTAGCACATGTTTATGTCCCCAACAACAAATTACAGTTTTTTTAACCTCGATTGTGTTGGATCTTGTGCAGAAACAATTTTATCTGTCAACCATCTTTTTAACTTTGATGTCACAAGGCTCCGTAGAACCTCCACTACCCAATAATATCATATGAATGTCTGAATTAGAATAGTGCACAGAATAATTGATATATTTTCTCACCTAATGACCGGTTGGATTAGGATTTTGTGAGGCGAGAGGCTCTGCACATGCTTTATAAAGCTTTGGAGGGTTCTGAAGGGAATGCTGCACCAACAGCCTATTCGGAAGCCTTCCGTGTAATTATGCGGGTTGGAGTCTGGGACAAATCTTCGTCTGTCAAAATAGCTGCTGCAAGATGCCTGAAAGCGTTTGCAAATATTGGTGGACCAAGCTTGGGGACTGGAGAGCTTGAGAATTGCTTGTTTCATTGCGTCAAGGTTTGTTATTTTAAAACTTTCGGATTGTTTTTACCTTTCTATGTCTCGCTAAAATGTCATTTTAATAGGAACTAGTTTCTTTTTTAATGCTTGCGTTGTAGGCCCTGGAGGATCCCGTCAAATCTGTGAGGGACGCTTTTTCTGAAGCCCTTGGGGTCTTGCTGGGTCTTGGAATGAATCTTGATCTGGTATTAACTTTTCGTTGAAGTAGCTGATTTTTATTTTATGTCAAGCCTGACACTTTCTCATCTTGTATTAGGTGCAACCTAGGGGAAAAGTTAATGCTACTCCTAAAAAGCTTGAAGGCGGTTTGCAAAAACACTTGGTTAACCCATTTACAAAAGGTATATTTCAGCAAAAGGTTGATTTAATGAACTACTCACCTAGGGTTGTCTCATTGCAGTACATGTGTGAAGGTTCAGTTGATTATTATATTGACCCCTTGAAAAAGTTCTCATAAAATTTGGGTATGTTTTTTTGGTTGAGTGGTGTTTATGATCCCTGAGGCAGTATGTGCATTAGGAGTTCTACTGTTTGGTCAGGCAATAATGTAATGGCATCATACGTAAAAAGATGAGCAAACTTTTTAGAAGACAGTGGAAAATAAATCAAGAGTAAAAAAACATAATTAGAGAAGAGGGAGAGAAGTTATCCTTTTTTCATGTTGATGTGTTGCCTAGAAGTGGATCGATCCAATCATGGTTCAATTGAGGGACCTACTTCTAACATGTGGTTTACTTACAGCTATCGGACCTCGTTTTAAAGAAATGAGAGTCGGCATCTCCTTGTCATGGGTCTGCTTTTTACAGGTACTCTATAAATTTTGCTTAATTAATAATTTTCTTTTTGAAAAGATATAATTTTTAAACAATGAGAGTGGCTTTTCAGAGTTAGGTCCCACATTTGGGTTACTGGTATGATCGATGATTCTTTTCCATCTTTATATATGATTTGTTAAGCATACTTTTTCTTGTGCATTGTTTGCTGTTAGTTGGTTACTCCATTTAGTATATTTCTCCTTATCTGATGGACACTGGCTGTACGGCTAGGAATGAATTTTACAAAAAGTCACTATCCCTACTCCTTTAATTCAACAATGTTCAATGCTTTGTGGATTTAAAATGCTGAAGCTTCTCAGTTCTGGTCAAGGCATTTTAATGGAGTCTTATGCACAGATTTATAAAGGTGCACTGTGTTTTTCCAAGTATTGTGCATTTGTGATGAATGAGGGTATGTTTCTTTAACCAAATTTTCCCAGATTTTACTATTTGGATTATGTTTTTCCGAAAAAAATACATTTTTTTCTCCCACAAAACATCTCATCAAACATTATTTTAATCAATCCCAAACCCAAACTAATTTTTCCCAAACTTAACCAAAAGAAACATACCCTGAGAAAATATAAAACATGAAGGTTATCTACTTCTATGTTGGAATCTATATATATAAATATATGCAAACATGATCATTGGGTAAGGTCCAAGATCTTAAAACCATAGAAGTAGGAATCTATTCCTATTAAATGAAACCAAAAAATGATGATGTCATACTTTTTGGATTTTGTATGAGAATGCTTCATCATTAACCTTGTCATTAAAGCATCCAAATCTTTTGAATTTTGTTTTTAGGTGATAACAAATGTATTATTTGAGGTGTATTTTGTGGAAAATAGGAGTTTAACTGTCCAATTCGACAAAATTTGATTATCTCATATATATGCAGACAGTGTGTTTAAAGTATCTTCACCCAGATAGTGAGCTGCAAAACTACACACTTCAGGTTATGGAAATGCTTCGTTCAGATGCATCGATTGATGCTCAAGCACTGGTAATTCTAACACTCACATGTTTTAGTGTATTTATTTGTGGAAGTAGCTCTTTGCTGTTGATTGTAGTTTGTATTCATTTCTTACTCAGCAGGAATAAGGGGATGACTTTGTATGTGTAAGTGTAATGGGAATAATATATGATCATTTGCTGTATACAACTATTTTTTAAAGAAACATGGGTGTGGTTGCTACTTGCTACCAATTTGTTAAAAAATTGCCCCATATAATTGTATTTTCCACTAGCGTTGCATTAAATTGTGTTTCTTGTTTAGGTATGAACAGTTATCTTCTCTTCATTTGGGCCTCCCTGTCATCATAGTACACAGGATAAAAATGTGAAACTTGGTTATAATCGTTGCTTGTCTCTTGAGATTCTATTTCATACTTTAGACGTTTAACAATGTTTGATCGGTTATAGCTATCTCTCATTCCTCTTACAAGTAAAAAAAAAAAAAACCTCTCTCCCCCGCCCAACCCCCCCCCCCCCCCCCCCCCCCCAAAAAAAAAAAACATAGTGAATAAAAGAAAAGTGAAACAATTAACAACTTGTCTTCAGAAGAGTTTGTATGGTTTAGTGGCAGAGCTGCAGTGTAGGTTCTGTGTTTTTCATAATATAATGCACTCCAAAGGTCATCACACTCGAAGCGCCATAGTTTGCTACTTAAGTGACTTCCAGTGTTGCTTGTCAACTTTTGCAATCAAGCTTCTGACGTCTCTCTTATTTTTCTGGAAGGCTTGTGTGCTCTATATCATGCGAGTAGGCATAACTGATCAAATGAGCGAGCCAACTCAAAGAAGCTTTTCAGTTTTCCTTGCCAACCAGGTTATCCATGCAGTCCAATTTAATTTATAATTTTATGAGGCATGCTTTGTAATAAATGAGTTAAAATCTTTTGCAGCTTGTATCTTCCGATTCGACCCCTTCCATGCGGGTTTCTGCTCTGCGAACTTTAGCATATGTATTGAAAACACTTGGAGAGGTGAAGCTCTTCTCATTGTTTACATAGTTTCATGATCATTGGTTTATCTATTTAAGTTGCGTGCATTTCTATTATGGCTAATTAGTCTAAATAAGTTGGTTACATGACATATTTGTGAAGGTTGAACAGTAATGTATTATTATTATTGTTTTTTGGGAGAATGATATTTTATTTATTTGGGAATATGGAGTACATAAGGGGGACTAAAGGGAAAATTCTGGAGTGATTAGTCAAAAGCTTATCACAACCAAACTGAAAGATTGGTATACCCTGAAGCATTATGCTTTGCAAAGTAATCTTCTATCTCGTTTCTGCAAAGAGGAATGCGCTCAAAAGGATGATGGGACACTTTGAGATATGGTAGTTCCATCATCTCTAATTTCAACTTCCACTGGGGAGCTGTCCCTGGTAATGCTGAGGTTCTTAGTACTGATGGCATGCCCTTGGTGGGGCCCCTCACCTTAGGTACTGGAAATAGCTGTAGTTATTTTCAGATGGGTTATTGAGCATGATGCCATTCTTCTGATTGTTGATAATAAATAAATAATGAGACCTAAAAAGCTCAATTTAGCAGCATTGACAACTGGTATTCAGCGTGTAAATGTTAGAAACAGGTTCTAGGCTTGGAAATGTAGGCCGTTATGTTTGGTACTATGCTAACATGTTCTACTGCAGGTTCCACCTGAATTCAAGGAAGTTCTTGATGACACAGTTGTTGCTGCTCTTTCACATCAATCGCCATTGGTAAGCCTGATATTAATGCTCTGACATTGGGACTACTTGTTTTTTGTGGCTATTGTACTTACTGGCAAACAGTGCAAAAGTGCTAGGTTTAGGCTGTATTTTGGCAGAAATATTTTGATCCTCTGTAATATTTCGACTTATGGTACTAGTTGCATGCATCCTCTTAAATGGTAAGTTGGCCACATTCTTGGTTGTGGATGCAGGGCTATATCCGTAATAATAAGTATTTGGATTCATGTGGTTACTTTTTTTTTTCTTTCTTATTTTCTCTTGTGAGATGAAGTGACAAAGCTTGATGGGATCTGTAAATGCTGATTACTTATGGCTTTTCACCATTACAATCTCAAGCTATTTTTTGAGTTGCTCAAGCTACGGTAGCTTTTAAACAACTAAAAGCTCTTGAACCCATTTCCTTATGGCTAAATAATATAATCTTCACTGCTTGGTCATGCTGAAGCCATTGCCTTCTTGGTGTTAGATGCAACTTTAATTTATATGTACAAATTAATGTTTTTTTAAACAATTTGGTTGGAGAAGTTGGAATAGTGTAAGTAGGTCTGCACTGTTGGTGCCGGAGGTGTGATGGGGTTTTAGCTTAATCCTTGTGGAAGTGGAGTTGCAAGTGAAGGCATGTTGATAACTTCTAAGATGGTTTCCATTAAAAGTCATCTTAGCTACTGATTGTAATCTCTTTGATGTATTTAGTTCTTCCAATTCACTATTGATTAGGTAAGAGTTGAAGCTGCTTTGACTCTTCGTGCGCTGGCGGAGGTTGATCCTTCCTGTGTTGGTGGTTTAATTTCTTATGCAGTGACAATGCTTAATGCAGCAAGAGAAATAGTTTTGTATGAGAAGGTAAATATCATTTTGGAGGATTCTTCATCTTCTATTTAAATAACTACAAGTTTTTGTTATGGTGGTTATTGGTTGTGCATTATATTAATGTAATGCTTCTTCTACCGGTGTCAGTTTAAGTGATTGTGCCGACAAAGAGTTATATCTATTAAGAAGGGAATGGATGATATGATCCATATAGAGAAGCATAGAAACTGTTTGAGAAGTGGACATCACAATTAAAAACATGAGTTATCAAGTTGATTCAAGCTAGTGAGATCACTGAGCCAGAACATGACCTTCAATTTTCTTTGGTATCTATAATACATTCTCTCACACACATATAAGCATTGTCTCTTTGCTTTCCCCTTATCTTTTGCATTTGATTGGCCGGAATTGCTCCATACACTTGTGGAAGTGATAAGCACACCTAATTATTTGTATAGATATGCTAAAAATGTGTAAAACCATCTAAGCAGTGACAATATTTGTAACATGCAAGGATTCCAATGTATCTCGGCTAATCTATGGAAAAAAGTTATCTTAAGGATTAAATATGTACTATGACTGGGCTTCTAATTTTCATGGTTAGCTGCTTTTTTCACACCCTTGGTTAGGTCATCTTCACCCTTGGATATGTTAGATTTCTATTAGAGATCCGGGGAAATACTGGAAACTAGACACGCACCTTTTATTTATCCAGATATGTTAAAAAATGTGTAAAAGCATTTGAGCAGTAATAGTAATCTGTGACCCACAAGGCTTCAAATGTATCTCAAGTCTAAACTAATCTACAGAAAATGTTTTTTCCTATGAAAATTAAATGCCTGTGCTATAACTACTATCCTTTTTTCAGTTGTGATCACGCATGCACTTTCTTATTTTCATAGTGAATTGCTTTCTTCACGTCCCATGGGCAGGCAGGTCAATATTCGTAGTTTTGATTATATAATTATTTTGTTCTTTCTTATCATAACATGTTTTTTTTTTAAATCTTATTATTATTATTGTTATTATTATTATTTTATGAAACCATTTTTGATCATATACATATCCAGGGGTCTAACTTTAAAAGGGAACTTGATTCTTTACATGGGCAAGCATCGGCTTTGGCATCACTAGTGTCTATTTCTCAGAAATTACCTCTTGGATATCCAACGAGGTAAAGTTCTTGGCCCTTCCTTTTAACACCCCCATTCTCCTGAACATAGTTGCAGGACTTGCAAAGTTCATGTTCCCTTCCTCTTGCTGTTCTAAATTTTTAACTATCGAGTTGCTATGATGCTTCATCAATTCACCACTCTGAATTTTGACGAGTGTTCAATGCAGACTGCCCAAGACCGTGCTTGAAGTCTGTAAAAACTTGCTGAACAAACCTAGCCGGAACCATGCAGCAGCTGCTGTAGAAAAAGAAGCGGGATGGAACCTTCTTTCTTCGCTGCTGAATTCCATTCCGAAAGATGTATGTTATTGTCCTTGTTATATTGGTTTATTTCTAAACTTGATTTCCACGGATCTAGTTTTGAATCTTTTGATTATTTTAGGAGCTTCAAGACCAAGTTTTTGATATTCTGGCATTGTGGGCTTCCACATTTAGTGGGGATCCAAAACAACAGATCAATCTTGCACAAGATCTTGCCTCAGAAATATGGTTGGTTGAATTACACTAAGGTTTATCATTGTCTTGTGCTTTTTGTTATTGCAGTTTTTTAGATTTGGTCTATTACATATAGCAAAGTTACATTTTCTAATTTAGGTGTGGAGAGCTTTCATTCTATAAATGGATATTGGTGATAAACCTTTTTTTTTTTTTTTTCAATAAAAGAAATGTCTAGGCAGTAGTGTCAAGAGTTGTAATAGTCTGAGCCATTTAGCCTATTATGGTTATGTATGCTTTAGTGATTTTGAATGACTTAGGAATTTTCTCAACAAGTTAATTAGGCTTTCGCTTTTGTTGAATTTTATTTTTTTGGGTGCATGGATCATTGTGGAGTGTGGCTTGAGCTTCTGTTTGCTGACAAATAAAAGAACTTCTACCCATGTTCTGCCTTCAAATTATTATGAGACTCTTCACATTTGCTAACCCTCCATCTAGAGTGTTGACTCAAAAAGCTCTCTTTACTTTATATAGTTGAAGGGTCCCAATGTAAATCCAGTCTGAGCACATATTGAATATGAAGCTATTGATCTCTGCCCAGCACCCAAGCTTTGCCATGGTTTGGTGTCTGAATTGAATCCTGAAATGGCTCATCTTCTGTTCTGATGGTCGAGATTTAGAAGAATGCAATCTTTATTGTTGAATATATGGATACTGTCTTCAATCTTGTGTACTCTCAATGGTAGAAGTTTGAATTCTTGAAGGACATATAATATCTTCCCTTTTCACTAATAAGCTATACACTGGCGTTGAAAGTTCTGCACGGATACTGATAGTCAGTATCTATAACTGTACAAGTGAACTGCATGGGCGTCAATTAGATGAGCATACTGAAATACCTTCTTATGGACTTGTGATTACTATTATACTTTGAAGTGTCAGTGAGTTGCTTTGCCTGCTGATTACCCCTCTCTTTTTTTTTTTTTTTTCTTCTTTTTTTCTTGGATTCTCAAACCTCTATTATGGCGTTACTTGAATTCATGCTATTGTTTTCCTCTGTAGCGTGTGGTCAGCAGCCATTGATGCACTTACTTCATATGTGAAATGTTTTGTTTCTTCCGACTCTGAGAATAGAGGAATCTTGCTACATCCAGTTCTTTACTACCTAAGTGGGTATGTTTGTCTTTTAATATTTATTCTCAACAGAAGCTATTATGTTAAATTATTTGTTCCAGCCGGGTGGTTGTTTTGATTCATATATTAATTCAAGTTTCAATATGTTTGAATTAGGGCATTGTCATATGTATCACAGTTAGCTGGAAAAGAACAACCTGGAATAAAATCTTCGATGAATTTATTTATTATCCGACTGCTGTTAGCCTATCAAACAGTGTCAGAGCCTTCTTTATACAAAAGTGATCATGCGCAAATAATTCAGATATGCACCACCCCTTTCAGGTAATATTTTTTCTATGAAGCGCCTTTCCTTGCACATTTATTAATATCTTTCTCTCCAAAAATAAATAAATAAATAAATAAATAACAACCTAAGACTTGAACCAAGGTATTAACACACTTGTTTGCTTCTTAAAATGACTTTAGTTCATTATCTGTTGGTTTTTCATATCTGGGATTCAACACAGGGAACCTACTTCATGTGATGAAAGCTCTTGCCTGAGGATGTTGTTAGACAAGAGAGATGCCTGGTTAGGTCCATGGACTCCTGGAAGGTAAAATTGGAGATGTTTATTGTGGTCTCATGTTTCATTAACTGTTAAAGCGGCCATTGGATCTGGCTCTTTGTCCTCTGTTGACTCTCATTTCCCCTGCAGAATACTCTTCATCTCCTGTGAAGAAAATGGTCTTTAGTCTTTACTATAATAATTGGCCAACCCCAAATACATTCCCCCACCCCTACTCCGTGTCTGAAATAAATTTGGTAAAGAGAAATCTGGTTTGACATTGAATGATATCCCACCCTGTGCTGTTGAAACTCTACACATCTTTTCTCTCCCATTGAGCTCTAGAATGTGAACCCTAAACCCAAAAAACCATCACAGTGGTCATTATATATATTTATATATTTAACTCATTCTCAAGAACTTAGTTCTAAATAATCTTTTTAACTCTTCTGAATTTGGTTAATTAGAGATTGGTTTGAGGATGAACTTCGTTCCTTCCAAGGGGGTAAAGATGGTGTCTTGACCTGTGCTTGGGAGGACGAACCTCCTAGTTTTCCTCAGGTAGAAAGAATCATCACTCTTTTATGACTTTTATGTTTCTGTTTGTTGGCTAACTTATTGTAACTTCTTCGCATTTTTCAATATGTGTTTACTATTGAAGCCTGAGACTATAAACAAGATGCTGGTGAATCAAATGCTTCTATGCTTTGGAACTATTTTTGCTTCTCAGGTAGGCAATATTATAATTAATCTATTGCGTGAATTTTGTTTTGTGTACTCCTGTAGATACATATATTATTATATGATTCTCCATGTTCTCTCAGGATAGTAGTGCTATGCTTTCTTATCTTGGAATGATTGATCATTGCCTGAAAGCTGGGAAAAACAAAGCTTGGCATGCTAGCAGCGTTACCAATATATGCGTGGGTTTATTGGCTGGACTGAAGGTTATTTTGTGATCTTGTGTTCATACATGCATCCAGTTTTAGGTAGGTCTCTTATCATTCTGCCCGCCACTCTGTTTTCATCCCAGGCCTTGCTTGCTCAACGGGCTGGGCCCCTTGGAATGGAAGTACTAAGTGCTGCTCAGACCATTTTCCAGGTTTTCATACTGCTTTCTAGTTTCAATTACATTCTTCAGATATATGATTATCTATTCCTTTCTTCCTGGATAATAACCTTTATATAATTGCAGAATATTTTGGCTGAAGGTGACATCTGTGCATCGCAACGTCGCGCATGTTCAGAAGGGCTTGGTTTATTAGCTAGACTAGGGAATGACATGTTTACTGCCAGATTGGTTAGTTGAATTCTTTTTCTTTTTCTTTTTCTTTTTTGGGAGAGAAAGATTTATATTATAAGAATCCATAATAGGGGTACAATAGGATGATAGAGAGAAACATATAGCCAAACGCTAAGTCTGGCATAGTGCTAAGAGACAAAAAGTTAGAGTCAAACAATAAGATCCGTCCCTATAGATCTGCCAGACCATTTCTACTTCTCAGCATGTGAAGGAAAACCATATCTGGGTGTCTAGAGATTAGTTGATTTCGAAATGGAGTTTCCAAGGGCCTGGGGCCTCAGCGTAATCTATCCAAGGGCATTTGTTGAATGACTTTCAAGCATGATTTTTGGATCACCATATTTTTTCTCTCTTTTCCTTTTACTATGGAGTTGGGTCCCTATTCCCTAATTTGGGTAATGAATTATAATTTGTTATGCACAGCCACACCTGGGATCTGTGTAAATTCATTTACAAACATCTCTTTCTGCTGATTTTATGTTCTGCATATACATATTTTTGGAAAAGTATTTTGGATAATTAGCTCATAAATCATGAGGTTTAGTGAGAATGAAATGATTCTTTGGTTTTTGTAACTGCCGTGACATCCTTTGGTTTGAAACAACTACTTCATACTTTTCTTTAATCACCGTATGTTTTTGATCATTGGTACTCCATTAGTAGTCATTTTATTTATTTATTTTTTCGGTAGATTTTTTTTACATGATCTTCATGTATTCTTTATGGGGCATCTATATTATTATTTTGACTGATTCATATTGTTAACAGACAAAACAATGCCTTGGTGATGCAGCTGGCAACATAGATTTCAACTATGCTGGATCAATTGCTCTTGCCCTTGGCTGCATTCATCGCAGGTAATAATAAAACTTGTGGCTGAAAAGCTACTTCAGCGGGCAAAAGTTTATTACTCTCTCAACATCTCACTTCACTCTATAACTTGGAGATACACACATAGATGAGAACAGAGAGTAATACTTGGTTTTCAGTAAGTTCCTTGCACCAAAAGGTACTACCAACTGATACGATGTCTATAATTGCTAAATGGTAGGCTGATAGGCGCTATCAATTCATACCTGTATACCTTGTTTTCTTCTGTTGTGAATGCATGTTGTGCATTTTGTAACCCTGGAGATGACTGTTACGCAGTGCTATAATGCTATTTGACCTTGGTTTCATTATTTACTTCCTAACAACACATGGAAATGGTTTGTATGCCAGAATGATAGAAAATACTGTTGTATAGTGCTCAACTAATAAAGTCTTAATAATCAAAATCATAATCAGACAATTTACCTTGGAAAATCATAATTGATTATTGAGCATTTACTACTTCATGTTGAATTCTACAACAGTTTATTTTCAATGCATGAGGATATGTGTAGGCACCTTTATTCTGTTCTAAGAGTTAATTGTTTGCAGTGCAGGAGGAATGGCTCTGTCAAGTTTAGTACCTACTACTGTTAGTGTTGTCTCATCACTTGCTAAAAGCTCAATATCAAGTTTACAAATTTGGTCCTTGCATGGACTTCTTTTGACCATTGAAGCAGCAGGTTTGTCTTACACGTCCCAGGTTCAGGTATGCATGCACTTGCAGCACTTGGCTTTTGAGTATAGTTCACTTGTATATATTTTTAATTTTATACCAATGATTAATTTTACTGACTGATAGAAACAAGATGAATGGATAGGAACAATCAAACGATATCAACCGTTTGCCTAAGGAATGATAAAACTGAATCAACTGTTTGTCCAAAAGCCTTCAAGCTACTATGTTTCCAAGATCAAGTATGAAGTCTCAAACCCTAGCTACTATTGATTAAATACTACTACTAAACCGTACTTACTAGAAATAAATAAGCCCATCCATTAAACGAGGGACAAAGCTAACCCAAAATATAACCCAAGACATAACAAACGATAAATCCACCTAAGACTAGCAAACATACTAATGGACATCTAAACCCACAAATGGTAGGCCTAGACCTGTCCCTGTCGTTGATATACAAGCAACGGCCAGGACTCATCTTCCTTTTTAATTTTAACCTCATGCTCTCCTTGATCCTTCTCTTTATTACGGACACTTCATACTTGCTAATTCAAGAGCCCAAAAGTAGTCGAAAATTGCGGAAGTGTTTCCAATGATTTATGTTGCAATAATTGGATTGCCTCCCTTACAAGCTCATACTATCAGAGAGATACATCGTATTTATATTTATTTATTTTTTAGTTGCTCCAACACACCATCACATGCACATTGTGGTCATCTTATATGTTTTGCATGTGGAATAATACTCCACGAATGTATGGTAGTGGAGGTTTGACAATGGACCTTTTTCGTTGTTACAACATTAGCATATCTCTAATAATAACTAGCTACCTACCTCATCTAGGGGGTCTAATCATTTCTATGTTATTTGTGGTTTTTAGTAGCTCCAACAATGCCAGTGTTTTTCATTTTAATGTTGTCATGCATATTTAGATTATTTGGAATAGAACATAAATATCTTCTGTAGAGAAGCTTTAAATGTAGTGAAAGTTGGGGATTTCATGTGGATATGCAGCCAGCATATAGAATACGAATATATATATATCTATATATATAATTCATTTATTTGAAGAACGGATTTGCAGCATTACTTGGTAATTGGTTTGTAGATAGATATATTGATAAGATGTGAGGTCTCAATTTCATATATTTCTGCTAAAGATACTTGTGATTGTTGTGAAAAAAATTCATTGGAGAGTGGGATGGAGAAAAAAAACTAGGAGAAAGTGTGTATGCGTTTTTTCTCCCTATATGAAATTGTAAACCCTGGTTATCTCTAGGATATTCAACAATATTGAAAGGTTTTGTAATTGATAGGTTTTTTTGGAATTTTTAAAGTAAATGTAATCTCTTAATCAGAATAATGAGTTATTTTTTTGTACGTTGCGCAGAGGTCAGTGTGTTTGTACTGTGTACTGTGTCAGCTGAAAAATGTTCACTTAACTATTATGAATCAGAATGAGTATTCAGCCATCTCTAGGATGTTGCACCAATTTTGAAATGTTTATTGCATCTGATTTTCATCTTGATTGTTTTTCAGGCAACTCTGGGCCTTGTGATGGAGATTATCATTTCAGAGGAAAGTGGTTGGGTTGATCTGCAGCAGGCAGTGGGACGTCTTATTAACGCCATTGTTGCTGTCATTGGTCCTGAACTTGCCCCTGGGAGCAATTTTTTCTCACGCTGCAAGGTTTGTATTGATTTTTTCATGCATCTTGAAACTTTGTGTATTGTCTGCTTACATGTCTCTCTTACAGTTTCCATTTCATATAGTTCCAGGTATCGACAGTCACAAATCTCTCCTCTATTTATGTCAAAATTAGAGATAGGTAGCACTACCTCAATAATGTGTTTTAGAATTAAAAGAGTTATATATTATAGCAATAAGATAAGAGACATAGGTAGCAAACCAAGATGCCCTGAGATAATAAGCCAGCCATTGCGGAGAAACGAGGCACATGATAAAAAATACTGAAAGGCTTGTTGAGCCGAATAATGTTGACTAGGGCTTACCTCTTCTCCAAAGTTTACTACTTCAGCGGTTATAGGATGGCCGTATTTGGACTGTCTTCAGTGTTCAGGCTGGAATATCCTTATTGCAAACATGGTTAAACAAACATGTCTTTCGTGATCTTACGTGTAGAAAAGTCTACATATGATTGATGTTGTAATTAATGAAGACATGTCGGACGTGTGTTGCTCTGTAAATCTTATTTTTTCACTAGTTGTGTTATTTTCATTTTTAATGCAACTGAATATAATCTGTGATTATATTGGTAGGTGTTATTCATTTGGCATTCTTGTTTGTTTCTAAGATTTTTGGACACTACTTAATTGATTTCTTTGTTCTTAGTCTGCCATTGCAGAAGTCAGCTCTAGCCAGGAAACAGCAACACTTCTTGAGTATGTAGAACTGATATATTTTCACTTTTATTTTCCTATTTGTAAGGACATCATAACCCAACATGTACACCTGGTAACTGGGTTGTTATTGTTGCCCTTGTGATTTGCGTTCATTTTTATCTGCTGCATTGAATATATTTTTCTTTTTGTGGTGTTACCTTTTCTTTATCATCTTGATAGGAGTGTGCGCTTTACACAACAGCTTGTGCTGTTTGCACCACAGGCAGTTTCTGTGCATTCTCATGTTCTAACTCTTCTCCCGACTCTATCCTCAAGACAGGTATGCTTTTAAATCTTTTTAGGGAATAGCTTTCAGATAAACCTTTTATTGTTTCACTAACAGATTCATTTATATTGTGTCAGCCAGCACTGAGACATCTAGCCCTGTCTACTTTGCGACACCTTATAGAAAAGGATCCAGTAAGTGGTTAGCCCATTTTCCGATACAATATCTAGACCGCTAGTCTGCCACAGAAGTTGGGAAGTTCTCAATCTTCTTCATTGTGTTTGAATATACTATGTGCATTGTCAGAAGATTAAATAATAATAATAATAATAATAATTAGTGATAAATGTAGGCCATACATGGGAAGCATATCTAAATATAAATTGCAGCTCATATGTCTTCAAAGATGAAATAAGTGTAGCATACTTTTTTAATCTAGCTGCAAAACAAGAGCTCGCGCGCCGAAACGCGAGAGATCTTGCGGAGAAAGAAATAAGGACTGTTTGTCCTACTGCGATATTTTGATTTTATGGAAAATCTTATAGTAATGTATATGCAATCAATTACAACATGTGAATTTGAATATATTACAGGATTCAATTATCGATGAGCAAATAGAAGAAACTTTCTTCCACATGTTGGATGAGGAAACTGATAGAGAGTGAGTTTTTCCCTATCTCTGCTATACATTTTCATATCTGGCAATTTTGGATGGAACAAAACTATTGTGGTTTTTCTCTTATTTGTCTAATCACGTTTTTGTATAAAATTATTTATAGTTCTATTGAAAATGTATGCAGGTTTAGTTAATTTAACTCATTTGTTCTTTCCATATTTGCATATGAATGATATTACTTGATGAAATCCTCACAATTCCTAGTAATTTACATGAGTGCAACTCTGCTCATTCTCTTGTTTTTTTGATGTTATAAGATCTTTGTTTTAATTTGGATGGATAATTCAGCGCTGTTTTGATAACTATGAGTTGTCATTCATGCGAGTGATTGAACTTGGGCATCTGTTGATGTATTAACAGTGAGAGTTGCCTTGCCGGAGGCATCTGTAGAAACTGATGTGATAATTATTACTTAAGTTAGGGACATTGCAAAAGCAAAGAAATAAAACTAATGATCAAACTTGATCCAAAATCAAGTCCCATGTCTGGACTTGTTGAAGCCTTCTTCTTTTTACCTGAATGCGGCCCCATGCCAGGTGATTAAATGACGAAGGTAGTGCAAAATACTGCAAGATAGGTGAAATTTCGGATTACTTGTTCATTTTCATTTGATGTCTCTTGAAAGGTGAATAAACACTGCCTTATGATATTATATTCGTTAATGTCAAGGCTTATTTTTCTTTAAGGGGTATTGAATTTCAGTTTTGCTGAAAGATACCTTTAAAAATTTATGATCTTGCTTCTGTTTGACATGTGGTGCTTTGCATTTGCCATGACCTAACTTTTTTTCTTCCTCAGCATTGGCAATCTGGCACAATCAACGATTATGAGATTACTTTATGCATCATGCCCGTCACGTCCGTCGCGTTGGTTGTCAATATGCCACAACATGGTAAATTTTTTGGGTTAGATTAATTTATGGAGATGCAGTGCCTCAATCATGTCATTAAATTTTTTGCCTTTGCTTTCAGTAACTTTCACTGAATTTGAATAAATGATGTTAAATACTTCTCTAGAACACATGTAAGATAAACTCATAATAGTAATCAATCTCTGTACGCATTCTCAACATTTGATCACTCAGTTATTATCCATTCTTAAGTGAAATTCGTAAGTGCCCCAGCGCATATTTCATTACTTAAACATATCCACATGCTGAAAACATATCTTTACTTCTATTATCTCGCACATATGTAGACTCCATATGTAAACATATACATGTCAAAAGTAAAAATTACTTCTATCATCCCATACATCATCATGATTCCACCAAGTATTGATGTTAAATTTGCACTCAACACAGTTTCCATTTGTCACACATACAAAAGATAAGAAGTGGGTGCACAGAGAATTTGTATCGGATAGATTGCATTATCTGAAACTGTTGTGTATTATGACACTTATTTTTTATGAAATCCATGTAGATTCTTTCGACATCATCAAAAGGAAACAAGGCAAATAATTCTTCAGTTGGTCTGGATGGTGAAAAAAGATTGAATTTTGGGGAAGATGATGAAAACATGGTTTCGAGCTCCACTTCAAACTTTTCAAGAGATAAGCACCTCCGATATCGCACAAGAGTCTTTGCTTCTGAGTACGTTACTGCACTCTGTCTGCCATGCAGTCAATGCATTTCATCTTATTTGTGTTTTCTTTGAGTTGCTGTACCAGTGGTCAGTGATCTTTCTTCCGATAAGTGATTTAATTCTTATCCTCTGTGCATGAATGTGATCTCTTCCCTGACATCTTGTTCAAATTATGGTGTACTTTAAAATTGTAAATAAATTATATGTTCAGTAGAGCTTTCCGCTCTTTGTTGATTGAACAACAGTAATTATAACCGTCCTTTTAATTATCAGTGTGAATAAAATAATGTGGTTTTCTGTCCTCTGAAGTCTGTGCAAAGAATGTAAGTTACTATAAGCTTAATTTTCCTTTTCCACAATAAAAAATAAAACGATTCTGCATTGCTCAGTTCTAATGCATATGATAGAATCTAGTCCAATCATCTGGCAATAGAACCAAAAATAATAGCATTAAGGATTTTAATGTGGCATAGTTCTAGCTATTGGGCACACTCTTGATTCAGTTTTACATATTGAGCATGGCCGACTCTACAAAATAGTGGTTTAATGTGACTCAATGACTTCCTTTGGATGGATTCTTGGTTTTACACCTACCAGGAAATTGAACTTTAACAACAAACTACATCTTTCTATTGAAAAGCTCCCCTACATCACTTTGCAATACTACAGCTTGTTGCAACTTGGCATGGATATATGCCATTGGAAGCATCATAATTTTGGAAAATAATAAATTCCGAAGTTGTTTGGCTTTCACTTTATTCTTAACCAAACCATGTTCTCCATAACTAAAAATATTTCTACTCCAATTTCTAGTTGTAGACAGATTGTCATATAGTACTCAATGATGATTGTGGTTGGTGTTCAAATTAGGTGCTTGAACCATCTTCCTGAGGCTGTTGGAGAAAATCCTGCTCATTTTGACCTCTCTCTGGCAAGAAGACAACCTTCTAAGGGGCCATTATCTGGAGACTGGTTGGTGCTTCAATTGCAAGAGCTCATTTCTCTTGCTTATCAGGTGCTGAATATGAACCTGTCTTGATTTTAGTCATATTAGTTTAACAGATATTGATTTTCATTGTTGATATTTCTGCTGAATGTCTCGTAGATAAGTACCATTCAGTTTGAGAAAATGCGACCAATTGGTGTCTCACTTCTATGTACAATTATGGACAAGGTATTTTCGCAACACTTCAGCACTTTTGTGACTTTCATGTTTTTCCATGACTTTAGATCCAATAATGATATTGTTGCAATTATCTGTTTGATATGCCATTGACTGATTGATGAATTTCTTAAATTGTATGTGTGATTCATGTTCTTAGTTTGACTGTCCAGATTTATGATAAAATTAGGAAATAATCTGAACAAGGTGGAATATTCTTGCACGGTTGTGCACATTATAGATATAGGGCTTGTTTACTATGCTGGATAGGATTATATAATATTTGTTTGTTAATTAATAAACATTTATGGGTAAATTATATAACACCCTTTTGTGTTATAGTAAAAATGTACAAAACACTCTATGTTTTATTTATTTCGTGAAACCCCCTTGTGTTAATATAAAGTTTGCATGAAACACCCTTATTGTTCAAAACTGATGTTTGGTTCTAAATAAATATCTAAATTATGCAAGTTTTATACAAATAAAAATGTAAAATATTTTAAATAATTTTTTTGAATAGAATAAATAAATAAATAATTGATCAATCATTTAATTTATAATTTTTGTAAAAATTAGATAAAAATTTATCTCTAAAAAATGAAAGGATTAATCAATTATTTATTTATTTATTTTATTAAAAAAATTATTTAAGATATTTTACTTTTTTTATTATATAAAAACTTGCATAATCTATGTTTTTATTTAGAACAAAACATCAGTTTGACAAGGAGACTGTTTCGTGCATATTTTACATTAACACAAGTGGGTTTCACGCAATAAATAAAACACAAGGTGTTTTGTGCATTTTTAAAAAATACAAGGGGTGTTATATAATTACCCAACATTTATTATAGAATCATATCCTATAAAAGCATAGTAACACCCCCGTAGTGCTTTCTATGAACTCTTAACTATGGAGTAATTTGCTATATTGAGGTCCGTCTGGATGGGCTTCTACAAAATGTTTTTGGCTTTTATGTTTTTATAAAAAATATTTATTCTTGTTTGTAATACTTTTGATCAAAAGCATAGGTTTTCGGCTTTTTTAAAAGTGCTTTTTTCAGAAGCAACTTAGGGATGCTTCCCACAAAAAAAAAAAAAAAAAGAAGAAGTTTTTAAATTCAAATTACTATTTTCTTCTTAATAATAATAGTACAGTATAAAAAAAAAATTAATTTATATATTATGTTTAAATTAAGATTTAATATATAATTATATTTTTATTGTTAATTTATATGTTATACTTAAAATTTAAATCTATATTTGAGCTATTAAATTTAAAAAATATAGATTTTTAATTATATTAGACAAATTAAAATTATTAAATTATATTTTATAAAACTTTAAAATAAATTATGGAGTAACAATTGATTTATAGTTAAATTGTAATTCTGTTTTTAATTTATATATTATACTTAAATGAGAAGTTCAAATATAAGTTACAAATTTAAAATATACTTCATCCGTCACAGCTAATTTGTCCACTTTAGCTGGGGGCACGGGATTTTAAGGATTATATAATTAGTAAGTAAATGTATTAGTAAAAATTATTATAATATAATAAAAATAATTATAAATTAAGACTAAGATAACTAAATAGTTTAATACCAGTAAAAATATTATGAATTTTAAAAATATGATTAAAATGTTTAATTATATTTCCAAAAAAGTAAAACGACATTATGTGAGACGGATCAAAATAGAAGTGGACAAATTATGTGGAAATGAGAGTATTTTTAATTATACTAGATAATTAAAATTTTTTAATATAATTAATAAAATTACAAAAAAATAGAAAAATAGAAAAATTTAATAGAAAAATACATATACATTAATTACATTTTGAGTAATCATGATAGTTTAAAAGTACTTTCAACTTTATTGCTTTCAAATATATATGTTTTTTTTTCAAAAAGCTGCATTTATAAAAGTTTATCTAAGTATAAAATCAAATTCCTTTTGCTTTTAACTTCTAGTTATTTTTTAAACCATGCCAAATGGGCCCTGAGTACCTTTTGAGATTGTATTGTCTGGATGAGTTCTTGGAGATGGTTAATACTGTTGCTTCTCAAAATAGTTGAAAGTTATGCACAAATGTTCCATTGAAAACTGTGTTCCATCAATTGTTAAATGTTCCATCGGAAACTGTGTCTCATTCATGTTCTTGTTTTCTTAGTTTGCAGCAATTTCGGATCCTGAGCTTCCTGATCACCTTCTTCTGGAACAGTATCAGGTTTTGTGCCATATACTCTCTATTCCTGCTGGGCTACCCCCCCCTTTTTTTTGGCATTATTTATTGATTTCTTAATGGGCTCTCCAGGTAGTCTATTAAGTTCACATTGTTGTTTGCATGTTTTTCTGGAACTTATTTGGTTGTTTGAATAACCAGGCACAATTGATGTCTGCTGTTCGAAGTGCATTGGACTCACTATCAGGCCCAATTTTACTGGAAGCAGGTCTGCAGCTAGCCACTAAGGTATAATGCAGGTTTAAGTTAGTGATTGTTTATTTGTTGTGTTGGCAAATTGAGATGGTTTGACATAGACTGGAATTTCAGATGCTGACAAGTGGGATAATTAGTCGTGATCAAGCTGCAGTGAAGAGAATATTTTCATTGATTTCACGTCCACTGGATGATTTCAATGACCTCTATTATCCATCCTATGCTGAATGGGTCTCATGCAAGGTTATTTATTTATTTTTGTATGTAGCTCCATCACAGATACAGATAAGTTAATATTGGTTTTTTACTCAACATTAATTGGTTTTTCTAATGAAAGTAAGTGATAAAGCCTGGGAGTCATTATCATGCTTGTTTGATCTTCTGTTTCTCTTTCTGTGGTTTCAGATCAAAGTGCGGCTTCTCACAGTCCACGCATCTCTCAAATGTTACATGTTTGCATTCATAAAGGAGCAGGGTGATAATATTCCAGATGAGTATCTAGCTCTTCTGCCCTTGTTCGCAAATAGTTCAAGCATTCTTGGGGTGTATTGGCTTTCCTTTTTAAAGGACTATTGCTATATTCACTTCCACGTGCATCCGGAAAATGTGAGTTTGGATATTTTTATTTTTCTTTATAATTTTCCTTTTTAAAGGTCTGTTTTTAAATTCTCCAAATATTTGGCGAATTGGATTCTCAGCATGAAGATTCTAACCTTTACTAAACTTACCCTGCTTCCTTCACTCAGTGGAAACCGTTTCTCGATGGAATTCAATCATCTGCTGTGTCAGTTCAGTTGCAACCATGCCTTGAAGAAGCTTGGCCTGTGATTCTTCAAGCACTGGCCTTGGATGCAGTTCCTGCAAATTCTTATAGGAGTGAATATTCTACAACAGAAAGATCAAACAACATCCCATCTTCCGGATACAGCATGGTGGAACTGAAATTAGACGATTTTCAGTTTCTCTGGGGCTTTCTGCTTCTAGTCCTGTTTCAGAAAGAAGTTCCTAACCAAAGAGCGCATATGGTTTCTGCCCATTGGATAAAATCCAAGTTTGGCAATGATATCTCAGAGGATGATTCTATTTCTATATCTTCAAAGTTGAATAATATATTCATTCCTGTGTTTCAATGTCTGTCTACTGAAAGATTCTTCAATTCTGGATTCCTCACTTTGGATTCTTGCAAAGAGTTACTACAGGTACTTATGCATTTATAGTTATTATTTACATCAACTGTATTTTTTTATTAGTGAGAGCTTCTCTTGCTTCACATCCACAAATGGTACCTTTGAGTAATTTTCAATGCCACCTGAATGTAAATTTTATAATGTGAACATCCAGACTATTTTAACAATCTATTATAGCTTTTAGATATTTATTGTCTTCATGTCTTTAAGCTTACAAACAGGTTAAGGGGAGTATGCATGGTTCTAGTGTGTTGGGTGCATCTACTTGTATGAATTGATATTTTTCTATGTATGACATTCTGATTAATCTGAGTGCACAGTGATCAGACATTGACTTTGTGAAACTTACCTTTTTGTAATCTAGTACAGAAATTGAGATTTTCATTCATGCAAAATTAGAATTTTTAATATATCTTCAGTATATTGCCCCTCTCTTAAATTTACCTTAATTCTGTAGGTAAAAATGTGAATAAAAAAAAAGTAATAAAAATAAGGAACATTGATGTTAGCAATTTCAATATCAATATTGGCATCTTGGAGGTTCTTATCAAGTTCTGGATATATCTTCTTGTTATTGGGTTGCTACATGGTTTAATCACTGTGTTTGTGTGTTTGTTCTTGTTTTAATTCATCAAATTTTGTGCAGGTTTAAGTTGTGGAATTTTGCTAAATATCATCTAGAATTATGAAAGGTTTAAATTTTGATTGTGTTTCATTTACTATTGTAATTGTGTTTTATAAAGAGAAATGTTTCTATTTTAATTATTTTATTTAATGAAAATTCAATCCTTTAGTATAATACAAATATTCTTGCTTAGTATCAGCAAGTGAAATGTGTGATAACCCTGTGGCAATGTGACTGAAGTTTGCCTTGTAGCAGCTTCTACCTCTTTGCCCCAGATCAACAGAACAGTTAGATGAAATCCCTGGTGCAGAACATTGTTAAATACATAGATATTCCTGATGTGTTAGGTTACTAGATAGTGATAACCCTGTGGCAATGTGACTGAAGTTTGCCTTGTAGCAGCTGCTACCTGTTTGCCCCCAACAGATCAAGAGAACAGTTTAATGAAGTCCCTGGTGCAAAATATTGTTAAATACATAGATATTCCTGATGTGTTAGGTCACTAGATAGTGATAGATGTTTAATGCAGTGCTTTCTTTCTTATGTATCCACTTGGTAATTATATTTTCATGTATGAATAACCTGATATTTATCATTGTTAACAACTACAAGGGTAAAAAATAGTCTTATATAATTCACTTAAGACATCACTCATGCATTGTTTTAGTTTTGCTGAGTTTCTTCACTGAAGACATTAATACTCATGGGTTGTTTTGTATTATAGAAGAACCTATTAGTTGCATCTCTGTGAAATCTCCATAAACTGCCATCTTGACTGGTTGCAATACCATATCAACTATATCACTCTTTTGATATGGCCATGGATGCAGGTTTTTTCGTATTTGATTTTTGGGGATGATTCTTGGGATTCTCTTGCTGTCTATTTTCTGTCACAGGTAATTATCTTCCTTTTGCCAAAAAATGAATCTCAACTAGCTTGCATATAAAACTGTGAAAATATTTGAACAGTTAGTTCAATTGATTACTTGATTGTGTAAAGCAGTCTCAATTCTGGAATAGATGGACTAATCCTTGAGTTTAATAGGCAGACATAAATGCCTAAACAGTTCTTGCATTTCATTCTAAAGATTTTCTAGCGGTCTTATGGTTTTATCTGTGATTTCTTGGCTGGCATTTGCAGGTTGTTCAGAATTGTCCTAAAGACTTCCTCCTTGTGGAGAATTTTGCATATGTGACTGGAGAACTATGCTTGACATCACTTTTCATAGTCTTGTTAAGGTAGGTATTTGTATCTGTTATTGTTTTCCTAGTTCAGGAAGAACTAATGGCTGAAATCAACTCATGTTACCTTATTTGCAGTGGCAATTTGAACTCTCAATACCCTTCCAAATGGGAAAAAACTCTTTCTGTTGCTCTTATTGCTTCTTCAACACTATTGGAACGGCTAGAAGCGCAGGTATATAATTCCATTCCTAATGATGATTGGTGGATGAGTAGAACTTTATTTAGCCTATGAGTGATTTCAGTTGCACAAGCTTGAGAAGAACCAATTTTCTAAAGTGACCTTTGTGCTTAAAATTCTGCCTCTAATTTGTGAGCCAATTTATTGTTGATGCTGATGCAGCTGGATTTGTTCCTACCGTTTCTCTTGCTTGGTTACAAGTTCATTGGAGAAGCATCAAATGAGATTACCCTCTCAAGAATTAGTGATTTTGTCCAGTCTATTGCTTCCTCGTTAAAGAGACTTGGTAAGTAGAGAATAATATTAGTTTCATGAGAAGGCTTAAAGTCCTTGTTTTTCAACTTGTTTAAGCAGTTTTTATGTGGTTAATTTGTTGACTTTGTTAGGCTTCAGTCTAGTCATGAAGCTTGTCCTGGTTTTATTAGTGCTCTAAAATTTTCTCTGTGCCTAATTTGTGCTAAATGCTCTTAAACCTTTCTTCTTAATGATTACAAAATCCACTTCATAATTCTAGGATTTTATGCAAGCCTCAACTAAGTTGCATGAAATCTGGTTACATATAGTGAATGACGGCCTAGAGACATTCATATTAGTCTTGCTGTTAGCAATTTGTAAAGATTATCAGTATGCGACATTTAGTAATATTAACTCGAATGAGAAGGAATTTAATTAAAGATGCAATAACATATTAATGTAAGTCTTTTTGTTCAAATGAATTTACAATGAGCACAATACCTGTAATTGAACCCTCTTCAATATCAATTTGTTTCAACTGAATGCAACTTAGTCAACATAACAAAGTAGAAGGTTGTTCATTTGTATGAATGGGTGAAGAGGAATCTAGTTGTGATTGTGATTCTTAATGACACTTGGGAAAGGCATAGTAATGATGATGATGATGATGATGATGATAGTTTCATTTACATGTACTTTGCAAGCGGAACACATGTTGCTGATGTAAATAGTTTAAAGCACTCAGTTGATGAGTAAAACTGTAGATGCTGTTGGGTTCCTGAAATGTTATATTGAATAAAGAAGCATGCAACTCGTGCTGATGGTTTCCTTATTACAGGAAACTCTGAGTTTGTGGCTGATGGCACTGCGCAATTGGTATCAGTAACAAGATCCAGTCTCCATGCAACAGCTACTCTGACTAGTGACTGTGTTCGAGAAATTCATCTGCTGGAAAATAAGCGAACCGACATGCACAAGATGCTTCTCCTGAAGTTGGCCTGCTCTGTTGAGCAACTCTTCTCATATACAGCTTTAGCTTTTGATTTTACAATGCCTTATGAATGCAAAGAGCACAATCCTATCCTATCCAGACTGCTTCATCTTGGCATTCAGAGTATCCGCAACATTCTCAGTGATTCTAACATGCAGGTTACTAGATTGTAGATATTTCATGTTTAAGTGTTCACTTGAAATTAATAGCAAGAAGTTGTGTGCAGATTCAAGCTGTTGGCTTGCAAGTTATTAAAGTCAAGCTACAAAAAGGGCTTGCTGCAGAGTGTAATGATTTCTTAATATTTTTTGTTGGGGAGCTCATTGAAGATTTGTTCATCATACTGGAGAAAATATTAGAGGTAATACTAAAAATATTAGAAAAACAAACAGACTCACTGAGATTACATTTGGAAATGCCTCACATTCTGATGTTGATTTCAGAACCCAATTACTCGTGAAGCAGTTGCTGTTGCTGGTGAATGTCTTAAGATCTTGATGCTTCTGCAAACTTTTTTGAAAGGCAGTGAATACCAGAAGTGTTCAATACATCTGTTTTTGGAAGCCATTCTCATGATTTTATCAACATCTGACGGTTTTCTTTCTCAAGTAATGTCTACACACTATAGCCTTTGACTTACATTATGTGTATTTAAATGCACTGCTAATCACCGACACTTATTGCAGGAAGCTAATGATTTGCGAAACATATCCATAAATTTTGTTTCACAACTTGCTCAAATTCCTAGTGCTGCGGCTCACTTCAGGGATATTCTATTAGCAATGCCTGCTGCGCAAAGACAGAAGCTTCAGGTTAGCTTTTTGCCCCTAGCAGTTGAGATTTGACAATCTTTTAAATATACCAGAGATGCATGTTCTGCCATCACCAAGTGGTTTATCAGATAAGATCTCACTCCTGGGATTTTTTACTCGAATTTTGGGTGTGTTACAGTGGGGGATGCAAGTGTTGCTTCAGAAAAAAGTCAAAAAATGAAAAAAGTTCAACTTCTTGCTTCAAGGTTGATAGAAGCAGTAGAACCTTATCTTTCAAATAATCATTGCGATAGTAAAATGACCTCTTTTTTGTGAAGTTGCTGCCATCCTTTACAGTATACTACTGTTTTTGTTATTGTTGGCTTTATGTGATAACAACAGTGCCCAATTGTGTTAAGCATCAACTTGAAGACTTTCTCCTCTCGTTTTTATGCCATTGATGGTAGTAAACATTTTGGTGGTGTTTATGGGTTCTGTGTAGGAAAGTCATTTTAGAAACTGTGAAATAAGTTGTGACTCCTTATTCCACTATATGTTTTCAGGACATTATCCGTGCTTCTGTGATTCAAGATAAGAATCCAAAGCCCATTTCCGCTGGGCCGCCCTTGGTGATAAAGTTACCATCACAGTCAGCACAAAACGAGGAGAAGAAATCCCCCCCATTGGAATCTCCCAAGGCATCTAATGACAGCGGTATAGATGAGGAAGAGGACGAGGACGAGGAAGATGATTGGGATACTTTCCAGTCTTTTCCAGCCTCAGGAAACGAAACAGCTCCAGCTCCAGCTCTAGATCCAGAGGCACCTGCCTCCATGTCGGATACTAATACTAGAGACAGTGGTTTCCATGCATCTGTTTTGCCCTCTCCGAGCAAAGAGGAAAATCTCTATACAGAAGAACTGAAACTTGGTGAAGCTGCAAGGGAGGTTCAAGTTACAGATGGCAGCAATCAGATGGAAGAATCTCCGAATCTGGAAGATGACGAGTTGAATGCTTCTGCCAGCTCTATTAAGGCACAAATGGAACTCAGCAATGAAGATGATCAACCTTCATCAGATATTCCACACACACAAAGCACGGATTTATTCCTGCAAGACATCGGACCTTCCCATGAAAATGTACAAGATTTTCCTGATCCCAAATCTCCCGAATTTCCTGCAGAGCTTGCTGAGCCATCTAGCAAAGAGGGCACAGTCATACCCGGCCCTGGAAACACCGAAGCAGATCATGAACAAGTAAGGCCCACTGCATCAACAGTTGATTCTGATTCTGAAGTGAACACCGGGCAATGCGGATGATAACTTGGAGCATCACAGTAAGATACCTTCACCCTCCAGCTCCTCCAGTGCTGAAGGTGTAGAAAAACTGCCCAATAATTAGTTTGTTTACTTGTCTACCGACGGAGATGCAGATGCAGTTCTGTATTGCAACACGTGGCTGCGGCCGTTGCTATAAAGGTCAGTCTGCGTATTAATCTTCATATGGTGATAGTTAGATGAGTGGCTTTTGTGTTTGGTGTGCATTTGTTTGGCTTAGATGAGTGCCTTCTTGAGTACCAAATCATTTTCAGGTGATTTTTTACTACAGCCATTTCACGATGGCATTTTCCTTGGAATCAATCCCCCTCGTATTATTGTCTTCGATTAATTTTGGAAAACAACTTATTAATACGTTAAAATGTTGCATTTGTGAGTGTGAAATTTTTTATTTTTTTTCGTTGTTGAATATATTACTAGTCGTTATATTACGAATTCATTATTAAAAAAATTTGCTCATTCAAATCATTGTTGCAATATGAGGTTCGTAATTTTATTTATTTATTTTTAAATAACCCATATTTTGTGTTTACTAATAAAAACCATGGAGGATTCAGAATACATTTAAATTAATATGTGCTATCCATTACATTAATAAAATTTGGCCACTCTCAAATATATTTTGCAAAAAAAGTAATCTACTTATCCACAGAAACTCTTAAGTTTGTAATGTAATGTAAAAATAAGAGTGTAATTTTTAAGTATTTACAATTTTTTTGTATGTTTACTAATTTAAAAACTTTGAAGTAAATAAGTCTGCAGCTGAACCTAATACTCTTCAATTACACATAAAAAATATGAATATTTTGAATGAATTAAAAATGAGATTAAATAAAAATCAAACAATTGATAAAAATATTCAAGTAGAAATTATAAAAGAAAAAAAGAACGTTTAAGGCAAGTTTTGATAAGAATAATATCGGTTGTAAAATATTTTTTTAAACATAATTTAATTTTTCGAGGATCAGAGTGAAAAATTTTATCAAAATGATAATGGTAATATTTTGGGTATAATTGAAATGATTACAGAATTTGATATAATAATATAATATTATATTAGACTATTCATTATTATTATCTCAGTCACAAAATTCAAAATAAATTAATTTTTTTATTGGCGGTTTACAATTTTTTAATGAATTAAAAAGTGCACTTAGCTTCAAGTCTTGATATTAATAACACAAGAGGTCAAATGTTATGATAATGGTTCCAGTATGAAAGGTAAATATGGTAGAGTTCAAAAAAATTACTTAATATAAATCCTAAATATTATACAATGCTACGTGCTTGTCATAGTTTAATAAATAAATAAATTAATATCCAATCCGGATCTGAACCGGTACCTATTGGCTATTTTCTACTACTGGAAAAATATCGTTTAATAAATAAATAAATTAATATATATGTATGGATTACTCAGCTGTCCGAAAACCTCAGGGCAAATTACGATGGATCGCCGGAGCCGGAAGACCAACGCCGGCCCCAGCAAGCCCGGGTCAGAAACGGATCCACCCACCAACATCTGGTCATTTGTCGCCGCAAGGAGTACAAAATCTTGGTTTGTCTGCATCAGCCTCTTCGCCGTTTTGATTCGCCTTGCCGTTGCGCTTCACCCCTACTCCGGCGCCGGCACGCCTCCGATGTTCGGGGACTACGAGGCTCAGCGCCACTGGATGGAGATTACGGTCAATCTTCCAGTCAAGGACTGGTATCGGAACACCACAGTCAATGATCTCGCCTATTGGGGCCTCGATTACCCCCCTTTAACTGCGTACCAGAGTTATTTCCATGGAATTCTGTTGAGATTATTCGATCCTCCCTCCGTTTCGCTCGTCACTTCTCGTGGTTACGAGTCCTACATTGGGTATGCACACTGTCTTGTTCGTTCCTCTGAGATTTTTGGATTTCTCAGTTTTGGGTTTTCGATTTGAACTTCTTTTGACTCAATTTATCTCTTCGACTGGCATAACGTGAACCAGAATTTTCCCAATTGCTTCTCAGTCCTTTACCATGAACATTTTTCTTTTTTGGTGTGTGTGTAGGAAGCTGTTGATGAGGTGGACGGTTTTGATGTCTGATGTGATGATATTCTTTCCTGCTGTGCTTTATTTTGCAACTGTGTATTACTCCGGGAAACTTGCCAAGGACAAAACCTACATGGCATGGCACGTGGTGATGATTTTGTTGAATCCATGTCTCATTTTGATAGATCACGGCCATTTTCAGGTATTCTTTGAAATCTACACTAAATTTTTGCAATTTGTGTCGCTCATTGTTAGTGCCTTCTTTGTTTCATTTACATCTTTAATTTCCTTCCATTTTGTTTGATGCCTTTATTGTTTTGTTTCAGTACAATTGTATCAGTTTGGGCCTAACAGTTGCAGCTGTTGCGGCTATTTTATCTAATAAAGACCTTGTTGGCTCCTTTTTGTTCTGCCTTGCTCTCAACCACAAACAGGTGCTTTCAATTGATGATTTCATGTTCCTCTTGAAATTTCTTCCATTTCGAGTGTTTGTATGGTTGAAGATAATCATTCTTTAACCGGAAATCTAAGTTGAAATTTGCTTTGCTATTAATGCCGCATTTGTCAATGACTCAATAGTTAGAGCTTATAGTATGAAACTTAAAACCAAGACATTGTATGTGCTAGTCTTCTTGTAAGATGTTTTAGAAAGTTAAAACACAGTTAACTTGGCCGAAAACAGATTCATGTTAAGCTTAGTTCATAACTTTCATAATTTGGCTTGACATTCAATTAGGTATAATTAGTGTGGTTCTTTAAACTAATTGGGATCCTAGTTGATCTATGATCTCTATTTGGATATTTGATACCAAAAAATGTACACACCTATGCCAATGTAAACTGGACTTGGCCTTATTACAATAGTGAACCACTGAGCTATAAAAACATTCACCAGCCCAAAATAGGCTGCTCCTGGTACTAGCACTACTGGATTTTAGCTCCATATCCGGCACGATAGGAAGTGAAATGATGTGATAAAATAAAGCAAGTTTAATGATGGAAGATGATAATGTTATACCCTAGAAATAGAGAGGTCAGACCCAAAATTTCTTATGCATCGCTATGTACTTTTCCTATGTTTTATTTATTTATTTACTTTCATTTGCAGATGAGTGCATATTATGCACCTGCCTTTTTTAGCTTTCTTTTGGGCAAGTGCCTCAGGCGACATAATCCACTGTTTGAGATTTTGAAACTTGGTTTTGTGGTGATGGGGACCTTTGCTCTTGTTTGGTGGCCGTATCTTTATTCCATTGATGCATTTTTGGAGGTAATAGCTATTTTATAACTCTTGTTCCTCTTCCTATATTTGATTTTTAATACATGTACTCAAGTGATATATATATTTTTTTATATGTATATATATATATATTTTTATGTATGTAGTCAAATTAGCTTCGGCATATATAATGTGCAGCATGCCCACATAGATAATACTGAAGTAATATTTATCTTAATTGAGGATAGGGGGCTTCACGTTATCCTTTACGCCTTACATATTACGATGTTCATCATATTACACCCTTAGAACATCTACACAAGTTTTAGTGTACAGATTTTTCAAGAACTTCCATTATAAAAAAAATTGTTTTGAAAGTTGGCCTCACAATATTTCTTATTGTTGTTAAATTAATGTGAATGTTTTAGCTGCAACATTAACTTATTGATTCCCTATAACTCACACTGTTGAATCCTCCATAGGGAAGTAGAATGATACTATTTCTTCCGTCCCAATACTATTTCTATGTTTACTTTGGGCATGATTTTTAGGTAGTATAATTTTCAATGTTTTTCTTATTGTTTTACCCATACTTTTTATTTGGAATGATTTTTTTAATTGTATTTAGAAAGTTAAAAGAGGAAAAATTTGGTATAGATAAAGGAAAGTTCCAAAAATTTTGGGACATCCTAAATTAGAAATAATAACAAAAGATTTGAGACGGGGTACTACTATTTTTTAATTGGAGTGTTATAATGGACTGTTGATTTAGCAATTTCTTCAAAAAAAACTGAAAGTGTCAATACCCGATGTCGTCATAGATAACTGTGACCGTAATGGGAACTGTTTCTTCCCCTGCCCTGTTCTCCCCCAACCTCAAATGAAGTAGGGAATGCTGTTATCTGAAGAACTTCAGATGTGAATTTTGCCACCTGTAGTTTTCCCCTGTTCCTATTGTCTGGATTAATGGATCCATGACTGCAGGGAGACATCATATGGCCCTCTTATGTCTATATCTTTGAATCTTAGTACAGATAATGTCACATAAAATTTCGTATTCGTGTCAGAAGAATTGTTAACACTTGCCTTGGACAATTGTATACATGCATTGATGATTGATATTTCAAAGAAATGCTTGGAGCAGGTTCTTTCTCGCTTAGCTCCCTTTGAGAGAGGCTTATATGAGGATTATGTAGCAAATTTATGGTGTGCCACTTCAATCATCATTAAGTGGAAGCAATTGTTCTCCACGGACACATTGAGGCTTTTTTGTCTCGCCGCTACTGCTTTGAGTTCTCTTCCTTCTATGATTCAGCTCGTGTGGTCTCCAACAAAGCTTGGTTTTTTACATGGATTGGCAAATTGCTCTTCCGCATTCTATCTATTCTCCTACCAAGGTACACCCCAGAAGCATTTTATGTTTTGGATACCTCATTTTCACGTTTAGTGTTTCGATCCCTTGTAATTGATGGCTAAACTGAAAACTGTTCCAGTACACGAGAAATCCATCCTGCTTCCACTCCTGCCTGCGAGTTTCTTGGCCATGGAAGAACCCTTTATTTTCCAGTGGTTGATATTTCATGGTTTGCTCTCGATGTTCCCTCTCCTAAAGCGTGACAAACTGGTAATACCATATACTGCTCTATATCTCCTATTCATCCTTCTCTACCGTGCTCCCGGTGGAAGAAATGATACAAAAGAGACAGATTCCATTTCCTCGATTTTAAAGTCAGTCTCTTTCGCCATTTCGATTTTGCTTCACATGATCTACATGGCTATTACCCCTCCTGATAAGTACCCTTTCTTATTTGAAGCTATAATTATGATGTTCTGTTTCGCTCAGTTTTTGTTGGTTTTTATATATCTTAACACTAAGCAGTGGCAATTTTCTGAGAATCCCATCCAACCTGACACCAAGAAGAAAAAACTGTAATTTTAGGATTAACATTTACTTAGAAAAAAACATAGTTTGAACTCTCCATAATTTGAATGGATTGGAATATTTTTCTTGAGGCCCTTTGAGGATCTCTATCTGTATGCCTTTACTTTATTAACAATCCCAGTTTCCATGGTACGGGTTTTGGCATGCTTCGAATAACCTTTGTTAACTAACTGATAAATGCGTCTTGTGGTGATCCTACGTAATAACATACGTATTTGCTTTAGCCCAATAAATTCGTGCTTGTTTGGTTACGTCTGCGCACATGGACTTGTTTGTTGTTTCATTTTCAACAAGTGGATCATTTACTCATTTTAGTACAGTAGCGCCGAAGATGAGAAGCTACCGATATGCTCTGGGACCCTGCTCCCCGGGCAAACATGCCAGTTTGACTACACCTGTCTATAAACGTGTGTATGTATATATATATATATATATATGGTTATGCATGACCAGACCAGACCGGTGCTGGCAAAGCATGCTGCAGGTTTTTTCGAAGTGTCGTAGCGTAGGCAAAGTTGTTCATTAACTGTTTTTTTTCTTTATGTGTGGAGCATAGCCAGCTTGATTTCAGAGAAACCTGTAGGGCATGCTTCATTCATTGAGTAACTTGATGATATTTGGTGTGGTCATATTTATTTTATTTTATTTTGTATATTTGCTGTCAAGTTTAGTTTGAGGTCATTTTCCCAATTAATTTGATCATGTGTCTCAGCTTTTGTCCATTTCTGTGCTATCTTCTTTGCTAAATCAATACACTTGCTGCTTTCTTGTTATTGCTTTGCCCAATTCATTCTAGCAATTTCTTAATTGTGTGAATTAATTGCATTGATTGAAATTGAACAGATGACAGGCATAAATAGGATGGTAAAGTTTTCTTAGATGTAGTTTATGTGTGCACACTATTATATATTAGGACATGGAATTGATGTATGGATGGATGGATCCTATGACAATTGTCCCTATGTGTTTAATTTCCATCTTTGTCAACTTATTTATTACACCTACAATGATGAAATTAAATAAAATAAAATTGATTGAAATGTATGGGAAAATCAAATCAAAAATTGGGGGGTCCCTTTAGGGTAGGTAGAGCATGCCCATTGCCCCCCCTATTGCTTGATTCTATCTTTGAGCCCCCAACAGTGCCACTGCAAAATATGATTCATGCAACAACAATTAGGAATTATAAGAGGGAAAGAACAAAAATAAAAAATAAAAAATATAATGGAAGTATTGGAAAGTTAACAAGACAACTTTTCAAGATTGTTGATTGAGAAAGTGGTAAATGAAATAGTTCCCATATTTAGGGAGGCAGCCACTCTATGGCCTAAAAGGGAGATCCCATGTAAATAAACGATCCAGATTCAGTGTTACTGTTATTATTTTATTTTATTTTTAATGAAATTAAGTTTATATTTTATACAGAATTTGGAAATAAATATGGTTAAGATATATATGAAAAATGGTCCAATTCAAATACTTGACCAATAATAATAAATGAATTGAGAAGAACAATAATAATAATTGTAGTAGAAAAGAAACGTAGAAGAGTGGAAGTAATATGAATACGATATATATATATATATATAATATGAATACGATATATATATATATATAATATGAATACGATATATATATATGTGTGTGTGTGCATGTAATAGTGAGGTCTGTCTGAGTCAGAGTAGTTGGAAGTTGGATTACAAAGCTTGACACGCCTCCTCGTCCTCATCCTCACCTTCTTCTTCTTCTTTAATTTACATTAATATATATATATATATATATGATGATATTCATATGGATGGATGAGTTATAAATGCAAATCGTATGTACGAGTTGACATTTTGCCACGTTGACCAACTACTAAAAGTCCTCGCTTACCCTTTTCTTTTTTTTTTTTTTTTTTTTCACCCTTTAAAATATCACAAAAAACCCTCTTCTATTTCACACTTTGATTGCCCATGCATGCATGCATGCATATATATATATATATATATATATGTTATTTAGCCATAATTAGCATAGTATTTATATTTTGTTAACATATAATTCATATTGTTGGTTTATGCTTCATGTATTGCTACAATATATTTTGTACATGCTCCAATATATATATATATATATGAATAATTTTGTTGTACATATTTGAAAAAGTTAGTGTGTATTTACACACACATATCTACATACATATGTTGTATGTATTATGTATGTATGTATGGATAACAGTAGATTAAGGGGTGGTGTGCCTGAAATTGAAAGGTAATGAGATATAAAGAAAGATGATGAAGGCAACCTATAACTACTTTGGTGGAGCATAGCAGCTTTCATTAATTAGAGGACCAACTGCCAATTAAATTCCATCTTAAATAAATAATAATTCAAATTATTAAACAATATAATCTGTAAATCACAACCCTAATTAGTCCCTTTTATTTAACTTTCCACACTCATCATTTTCATACATCAATTCAATATATCATTAATTCTCTTAAAGTCTATATGTAACCATGCATTCAAGTCATCTTTTTTATTTGTGCATGCATGAAAAACTCATGTTTCTATTATAAGATATATATTCTGATACAAATTAAATTGAAAAAGAGGATCCTGGATTAATAACATTCAAATTTATCCATGCATGTCCAATAGTGTATTACATATTCTATTAATTGAAATGTTTGTATTTAGGAAAAATAAATATGAAAACCCATTGTTGCTATGTCTTATTATCTCATATAAATTAAAATCTACCAAATATATATATATAGGTATATAAAGAATGAAAAGTAGCACTTACACATATATAGCTACACTACGTACTAATTATTAGCTATTGATTTAATTCATCTTTATTATGAATCCATTTGGTTTTCAAGTATTTAACCATGGTGATTAATTAACTAGGGTTGTTATATAATATGAATGTACCTTAAGATTCATACATTATAAATGTAACGAATTATTGGTTTTACTAGCACATATCTAACCCTAATTATAACACAATTTTTGGTTCAAGAACGTGAGGGAGGAACTAATTATTATAATTATAATTCTAATCGAAAGAAAAACCTAATATTAATTATTTGCAGGATTATTATTATTTTATATAACAAAAAAATGTGTATACTAATTAAGGAATTCAATGAACATGAGCCGTTATAATTAGTGTTTGAAAAGTTACGCTTCAATTCTATCAGTTTTCTTCAAAGTGGCACAAGATTTATTTAATGTCGAATTATTGGTGTTAAAAAATACTAATAATCTAGCTTCATAAATTTATTGACAAATCATATATTACAAAAATGGGATTAAAGTGGCTTGGAATTAAAGAATCATGCATATTTTGTGAGGGAAGAAAAAAAAAAAACATTTGAGAACCAAGATTAGATGGCTATTAATTAAATTTGATAATGTAATTTAATTCAAACCACATGCAATGCCTATGAGATATAATATATATATATATATATATATAGGTTTATGATGTTGATCCTACAAAGTAAATATGGGGTCATTAGCTTGTGGTTATGCATCAATTGATTGATGTTGAATTATTCGTTTGATTGATATATTAAATTAATTCTTTTGTAAAATTAGTTAGATTATCTTGTCCATTATTAGTTACAATAATTTATGGCTCATTTAAGTCCTCTCAACATTAAGATAGTGACAAAGACAACAAGAGAAAGTACTATAATATGCATGTGTTATTAAAAAAACTGTATAGTTATCATCAAGAAATTTATAACAAAATAACTTTTACCCAAGGAAAAAAATAAATATATATATATATATATGTTTATGTAAGGTTTGGAGTGTGTCACATGTATACATAAAACTTCCATGACAAACATTCATATTATTTGTATTTCAAAGGCTAAACATCCTAATATTATCCTAAAGAGAAATTTTTATTTTTTATCCTTTCGTTTGATTTTTTTCTTATGTTTATGGTAAATTTGTTTTATGATTCAATAAATCGATTTTAGCATGATGCTACATATACATATATTTAACATGACAAGCTTAATTCTTTGAAAAGTTAATTTCGAGAATATATTTCTAATATGCTTGCTGTTACATTTCACGATCGAGGAAATTGTTAAAAGTACTTCTTGACGATATATAATTTCCATGCTATGATTCCCATATTCGAACTTCATATTTTTATTCAAGTAGTGATATTTAATTGTTGGTTCTCGAAATTACTTATTGCAAAGAAATTTTAGGGTTAGGGCCTTAGGATTTTTTAGGTTTTAGAGACCATAAGATTATTCTATATATGTACATGTATTAATATTGAATATTCTTTTGGAATAATTTTTGGCATTTTGTAGATTAATGGTTCCTTTTATTTTGGAAAAAAAAAATGCGGTTCAATATAATGATTGCGATATATGATCTTGTGAAGGAAATTACGTATGGACTAGTGCGCGAAACCAATAGGGTTTAGTGAAAATACTACACTAGAAAATGAGATTGAAATTTTACCCGAGATTTAGTATTCTGATTTTTTTAGTTTTTTATGGATATGAAGGAATAAACCGAGGTATACATGCTTGTTTTGTGTTTAAACCTGTCGGACATAATTAAAAAAAAAAAAAAAGAGTTGACAATTTTACGGATTGGATACTTGTACTAGTGTCGGCATCACTGGGTGGTCATGTGATTAATTAGCTTCTTTGTCCCTACGAAAATATGGAAATTTAATAACAAAATATTATATGAAAAAGAGATTGAACATTGACAAATAAAAAATATCTAATGGATATTTGAATCTTCTTGTGTTTCTTCACAATAAGTGATCAGTTATGTTTTCCTCGTCTCTATTATAACAAAACCCTTCGTCATCTCAAATATTTGTTCGATAATCATATATCGAATTTGCTTTACTAATTCTGAGAGTGTTTTGCGATCATATTATATTGTTAATTTGTATCGGATAATTTCTGTTAATTAAATCTTAATACTAATTTGTTAAAAGATTTATCAAATACGAATTTGCATGCATATGTTTTTTTTTTTTTTCATCTCTCTCTAATTTAATTTCATTGAAGCAATCCATATCACTGTTGATCTAAAAGTTGAAATTGATAAAATTCTACACTGTTCTATTTGATTGGACAATATATATATATATATTGTCAACTTTCGTATTGAATAAATTTGATGGCTGGTCTCAACTAAAATTTGTACACCCAAACAAGTAACAATAATTAAATTCAAACAAACACATAATTTTTATTTATACAGTAATTAGTTAATTAATTGGATGTTAGGTTTAGGTGTAAGTTTCATGGTAGAAAATTATGCTTGATCGAAGTAATGAACTCCAACTGAATGATCTGGACATAAGCAAAAATAATGGCATGATTTTTTTGCATGATACAAAAATATCAATAAAAATAAATCAAACATAAGAGTTGCTACAATATTTGATCCTCTGTGAATCTGTCTATGTACCCAATAAATAATTTAATTTTAATTATATATTGGTTAGGAAATTAAAATCGTACACTCTATGTGAGCTAACGTAACAGTGATTCAGGTTTTTAAATAATATGACAAAGTTCAATAAAAATATATTATTTGGAAGAATCTATAAATAAATAAATATATATATATATATATATGTTCTGAGATGCCAGATTTGGGGCTGATAATTATTTAATTTGGCTTCCTGAAATCGATTAAGGTGCAAAAATAGGAAGTGGTATACACATAAATAAATAAATAATATATAGTTTCCAGAAGAAGTAGATACAACATTTCACACACATATACATATACATATATATACTCTAAGAGAGAGAGAGAGAGAGAGAGAGAGAGAGAGAGGGATGAGGTAGGGCCAACATTTCAATTTATTAGCCACTACTTAACCAACAACCACCCCCCAACCGGGGAATTAATATTAATATTAATTATAATAACGATGATGATGATAATATTATTATTCTTAATAAAATTAATAATTTATTTGATTTTTCTTCACCAGCCAGCCAAGCCAGTCAGTATGACCATGCAATCCAGAACCTTTGACTATTTTTACTGTTGACTCAACTTACTGATCATCAATTGACTTCTTTGTCAACTTGTACGTTATTTTTATTACTCTTTGGAATATTTTATTTTATTTTTGCTGTGAAACAAAGTTGTATGAGATGTGGATCATCGATGATTGAGAAATAATAAATTATAGTAACTAACTAAATAACTAACTGGTAACCAAAAACTCTTACATAGGTAGTTTTTTTTGGACTTACCTTTGTGGACGTCAATGGTTAGTTGTACGTTAATTTCTATTTTTTGAATAATTAATAATGATGATTTAAGTTCTTCTCGTAATCAATCATTTCCGTTTGTCGTCTTCCTCTTTTATAAAAAATAATAATAATATTTTTATTTTTTATTTTTCTTTGTGTTAATGGAGCGGCAATGGCTAACCTGCAGCTCATTTATATATATATTTGTTCCTACAACTGCCACTGCCACTGCTGACCAGGAATTATGATGTAGTAACTAGTTCTGATGAAACGTTGTATGTATGCATGTATGTATGTATGTGTGTGTACACGTACCCATCGATCTTTATTTGATCGTTCATCTGCTGCATATCAAAATTGTACACTACTCACTGCATGTAGTTTCGAGATTTTTAATTATAAAGAAGTGGATGGTCGCGAATTGGATAAACGAGGCAATGGAAAGTACTGGAAGGGAGGTTAGGCAGTGTGGCTGGAAAGAACGTATTATTATGATTATTATTATGATTATTATTATTATTATTATATATACATACGTGGACACATATAATATAAACAAATATATATATATATACAGTATTACTTTGATTTACTATTATCTATAATTTAATTTAATGTATGGTATGGTATTATAACGTAGGCTGCAACAGCTAAGAGAGCGTTGTGTGACGTGAAGTGTTCATTAAATCTTCCTACCTACCACCTCCACCTCCACCCCCCCACCCATCCTTCCTCTTCCCCCGCCCTTTATATGCCCTGCCTATCTTCCTCCACTCCCCGCCTCCTATTCTTCATTTTATTAATTCATTAATTAATATTACAATCCCCTCCCTCTCTCTCTTTCTCTCTCACAGATACACCGATACACACACTTTAATTTTCTCTCTCTCTCTCTCTCTCTCACAGCTCCATACATCGAAGAAAGAAAATGCCGGCGGCGGCGGCGGCGGCGCACAGCTTCTCCTCCTCCGTGAGGCTCAAGTACGTGAAACTAGGGTACCAGTACCTGGTGAACCACATCCTCACCTTCATCCTCGTCCCCGTCATCCTCGCCGCCGCCCTCGAACTCCTCCGCCTCGGCCCACACGACCTCCTCGCCATCTGGCGCTCCCTCCAGCTCGACCTCCTCCACATCCTCTGCTCCGCCTTCCTCCTCCTCTCCATCGCCACCGTCTACTTCATGTCCAAGCCCCGCTCCATCTACCTCCTCGACTACTCCTGCTACAAACCCCCCGTCACCTGCCGCGTCCCCTTCTCCACCTTCATGGAACATTCCAGACTCATCCTCAAAGACAACCCTAAGTCCGTCGACTTCCAAATGCGCATCCTCGAACGCTCCGGCCTCGGCGAGGAGACCTGCCTCCCGCCGGCGATTCATTACATCCCTCCGACGCCGACCATGGAAGCCGCCAGGGGCGAGGCCCAGATCGTCATCTTCTCCGCCATTGATGCTCTCATGGAGAAGACCGGAATCCGGCCCAAGGACATCGACATTCTTATCGTTAATTGCAGCCTGTTTTCTCCGACGCCGTCGCTGTCGGCGATGGTGGTGAACCAGTACAAGCTGCGGAGCAACATCAAGAGCTACAATCTCTCCGGCATGGGCTGCAGCGCCGGCCTGATCTCCATTGATTTAGCTCGCGATTTGCTCCAAGTTCACCCCAATTCCTACGCCCTCGTCGTCAGCACCGAAATCATCACCCCCAATTACTACCAGGGATCGGAGCGGGCAATGCTCCTCCCCAATTGCCTCTTCCGGATGGGCGGCGCCGCCATCCTCCTCTCCAACAAAAGCCGGGAGAGCCGCCGCGCCAAGTACAAGCTCGTCCACGTCGTCCGGACCCACAAAGGCGCCGACGACAAAGCCTACCGCTGCGTCTACGAGCAGGAGGACCCTCAGGGGAAGGTCGGAATCAATCTGTCGAAAGACCTGATGGTGATCGCCGGCGAGGCTCTGAAATCGAACATCACCACCATCGGCCCGCTGGTCCTGCCGGCGTCGGAGCAGCTCCTCTTCCTCTTCACCCTAATCGGCCGGAAAATCTTCAACCCCAAATGGAAACCCTACATTCCCGATTTCAAGCAAGCCTTCGAGCACTTCTGCATCCACGCCGGCGGCCGCGCCGTCATCGATGAGCTCCAGAAAAACCTCCAGCTCTCGTCGGAGCACGTCGAAGCTTCCCGGATGACTCTCCATCGCTTCGGCAATACGTCGTCGTCTTCCCTCTGGTACGAGCTGAGCTACATCGAATCTAAAGGGCGGATGCGGCGGGGCGACCGCGTCTGGCAGATCGCCTTCGGCAGCGGATTCAAGTGCAACAGCGCCGTCTGGAAGTGCAACCGCACCATTAAAACTCCGGTCGACGGCCCATGGAAGGACTGCATCGACAGGTATCCCGTCCACATTCCAGAAATCGTCAAGCTCTGATCATCCGCCATTAAAGAGGGCAACAACCAAGGTCGATTAATTCCATACATACAATTAAAGATTTACAATATACATATATATTATTTATATATATATATATATATCGTCATATATATCTATATCATATTGGAAAGTGAATCAATTACTGTATGTGCTATTCTCTCCAGAAATTGTTGATGATCCATGTTTAATTTTCTCTCATTATCATTAATTAGGGTTTTAGATTGATTTTCCCCACTTTAATTTTCAAATTTCAAACGACATTTGACATTAAATCGACGGATCCCTGAATAGTGTTCTTACACACATATATGAAAAAGGGCACACATAGATGGATAGTAAATTAAAGTTGCATTTAATACAAGAAAGATTCAATCAACCTCAGGCTAGCTGTAAACAGACTGCTTCTTCACACAGAATTTAAGAGTGACAGACACTTGATGCTGGATATATATATAATTGTGGTTCCTATAAATGTCAATTTTTATTTAAATAATTATAATTATTGATGAAAATTGAAAAAGGTAAGATGAGGTAAGGTAAGTTAGGTTAAGAGATAAATTGAAGTCACATGAATTATATGCACCCTTTCCATGTCCTATTCATACACTCCACAGAAAGGTCATGGATAAGTTTACTTTTTTATTGACTTGTTCTATGTATATATATATAATGTGTTTAAGTTAAAATTCCGCCGTAGGATCTAGATTGGACGGCCCCGATTAAATGAAATTAAATCGATTATTTTGTTGAATTTGGACACATGTAAGATAATTAAATGCTGTCACCAACTTTGAGTAATACAATTATGCAAAAAGGTATATATATGTACAGCTGCAAGGACTATGCATTTAATTTATCAAAACTACTACTGCTGCTATATATAAAATTCAAATTGCAGTAAATGTATGTCATTAATGTTTAACCCAGCTGGCTAATCACACCTTTAAATACATTTTTTATACATATATTTAAATTTTATTAACCTTTCTACCTCTATATATCAATATGCATGCATGATTAATTATTTAATTAGGAAGAGATGGAGATTATTTTGGTTCTTATTAAATAGAATTAGTACAATACTATTAGAATTCAGCATTTTGTGTAGATATTACAATTCATAATATTATTCAAATAAATTATATAAGATAATATTAACATTTAGAACAAAAATTACTTCTGATAAATCAGTTCAATTCATCTGCATGGAATGAATTATATATTATTCATAATTAGTGAATTATTAAATAAGATTTTAATCAATCTCGAATTTTAATAAGTTAACAGAGTGATTAGATTTAATAAAATAATATTATATACTTTAATTATGCAAAATGAACGCGTAATTTCACGATCACGAGTCTATCACATACCACCGTATTTTTGTTTTATTTGTTTTGGAAATGGTACTGATTGTAAATGTTATATATATATATATATATAAATATGTAGTTAGTATTATAATTTTATGAAGTTACATAATGCGAAGCGACATAATAATAATAATAATAATAATAATAATAATAATAATAATAATAATCATTTATGCATCGGAAAATTGGGCCTGCAAATTTTGAACATGGGCCCAAATACGAATCAGGGTCAACCACTCTTTAATCATTGCTATTCTTTCCCAAAATTGTGTTCTTAAGACACTATTTACCTACGTATCTTTGATTTGATATTGTTCAATATTTATTTTTATCTAAAAAGTCACGTGGAAATAAAACTAGCAAAATAGAGTTGATATAAATATTACATTCGTTCCAATATGTTTTCTACGTCTATTTTTAAATGATTTTCTAGACGATATAATTTTAATTGTTTTATACCTTTTTGCTCTTTATTTAAAAAATAAATAATAATGTTATAAATTGGATTTGAAGTGGTAAAAGAAGAAAACTCAAGTAAAACAAAGAAAAGTTACAAATATTTTAAAATATTCTAAATTTAAAATAATATCAAATATATTCTGATCGAAATCGTATCGTGTGAAATCAATTATAGGATGTGAATGTGAATAATTATAATGTTGATTGGGCAAGTAATTATAAAAATATATTTATTGTCCTGAAATCAATTATAAGATGTGTCGGTGGTGTGAGATTGTCTAATGTGTTGGTAATTCACATTCACATACTATATTTATATAATATTAATATAAGTAATGTATTGTTTATGTGTGTCTTATATATTGTTTATATTCTATTTAATTCTTTATTATTTTCCAATCTATCCATCACAAATTCTAAAACAGTCTCAAAACATATCTAAATGTACATGTAATCATATATATAGTACTACTCTATTTATAAGAAATAATTAAATAAATGGTTAATCTATACGTATCAAGGCTTAGTATTTACTCCCTCCGTCCCATGTAATACGAGTGTATTACCGTAGACACGGAAATTTAGATAAAGTATAATTAGTAAATAATTAAGAAGTATATTAGTAAAAATAATTATTATTTAGTAAAAATAATTATAGATTAAAATTAAGATAAGTAAATAGTTTAATTAAAATTAAAAAAATTATAAAATTTAAAATGCGATTAAAATGCATAATTATATTTTCAAAAATAAAAATGAAAAGTAATGTGGGACGAACGAAAATAGAAAATAGAGACAAATTATGTGGAACGGACAAATCAGCATTAATTTTGTAACGTGCTTATTGATTATTAAAGCATGTGAGAATGTGGGAAAGTCAAAAGAGTCAAAAGTCAAAAGTCAAAAGTACGTTGGTAAGGATATTTGTATGAGAAGAAAATCGCGTTTAATCAAAAGTGCGACTTCTTTTGTTTTCATCAAAAAGCGTGAAGCAATTATCGTCTAAGATTTTGAATAATGATGAAATAATGCTTTTTTGACATTTGGACACCCTTAATCCCCATTGCTTTTTTCCTCTCCATCACCTAAATACATTTCCATTTAATCCCATTTTATTTATGTGGCTACGGTTTTAGTAAAATACATCTGTTACGAAAATTCTCAAAAAATCAGGATGAAATAAAAAAGACAAAAAGAACACAAGAATTTGGTAACTCAATTCGATCACGATGATCTACGTCTGGGGCGCTGTCAAACCAGGAATTTTACTACGCATACACGTGTTAAAGTGAGAATACATAGATATTTATAAACTAAGCCTTTGACAATAATATCCAAATTATATCTCTAAAATCTAAAAAATATAATATCCAAATCATATCCCTAAATTTTATGATATAATCAGATTTCATATCCCAACAACATCAAATAAACTAACGGGACGTGACAATAAAACATATATTATATATTATTATTATTATTATTATTATTATTATTATTATTATTATTAATGTCAGTACATTACATATCTTAATTCTTTCATATTTATGTATAGTATCCACTGTACATAAGTCGCAATATATTGCATAATTATAGATCCACTGATTTTGAAAAAATCAATATTTGCACCATATTTTGTCTATATACATAATTAAAATATTTTTTCAGAAGATATTTCATTTTGAAACTAGTATAAGGTAAATAAAGTTAACTTTGAATTTTCACTGATGTGACACCTAAAATAAACTATACTTTGTTGAAACAAATTTGACTTATAATTGTTATTATTATTAAATCTCACATAAATTGAATCCTCAAACATGAACGTTTGATGTTTTATTTTGACAATGACCACACTATTATATTTTTAAAGTATAATAACAGTTGCAACTACCCATAATGTATTGTTTATATTATAGAAAATTAATTCATTTTTGTTTGTAATACTAACCTGCATGTATTTATGGTCGGATCAGCACATAATCTACAGTCATATATATATATAAGGATGTCAAATGTGGTAGGTTAGACCCGGATCCACCCAGGACCCGATCTTAATGGAGCGAATTCTGGTTTAAAAAAATTTAGTTTGGGACGGATTGTAGGTTTTAAATTTTAGATCCGACCGGGTTCGCGAGGTTACGGGTTTTATTAAAAACTCGCCATTTCCCGGACCCGGACCCGGACTCGAACCCGGATATTTTAACAATTATTATAATTTGTTTATATTTTTATATAATATAAATTATATTATTTATTTATTTGAAAGACTTTAAACATAAAATAAAAGTTTAATTTTAAATCAAATTTGTCTTCGCATTTGTTTCTCCGACAATTTTTTTTTTATAATTGGAACTATTGATGACAACTGTCAATAGGGACTATTGTTAATATTTGATTATTTTAATTTTTAGAATTATAATTTTTGTGTATTTTGACGCATATTTTTTTTAGTATTAAATTATTTTAAAAAAATTATATTTTATTCTTTTCTTAAATTTAAAAAAAAAAAAAAAAACAAGTTTGTCGAGTTGGTCCTGAATCCGGAGGGTTCGGAGCGAAACGGATCCTGGAGCCGGATTGAAGCGGGGTGAAGCGGGTCTTGAATTTTAATATTTTCCAGCGAGGTGGGTCGTCTCGAGGCCTGCAAAACCCGTCCCGAACCCGCCCCATTAACATCGGTTGTCATATATCAGATTTTGCAACGAAAAATATACAATAATACGTGATCATTTCAAATGTGGCCTTTACGAATAAGTTTGTGGGAGTTAATTCATCTTTATTTGTAATACTAATAAAAAAATTTATATATTTTATTTTCAATTTTATTTTGTAATTTTTTATAACTTAAAATGAAATTAGGCCTATATAAAATAATATGATGAGAGATGAACGCAAAATTATTAATTACGACCAATAAAAATTATAATTGAAGATTATAATGGCATACAACTGCTCTTCTTTTAGAAATGGGTTGTGTTTTTCTTTTTAATAATGTATAGGTTAATTTATTATACCTCCCGTCCACGAAATATATATATATATATATATGTGCACGTGCACATAAAATGGCGCGGCCGTGCTGATTTTTCAGATAACACTTATCAAAACTCTATAGAGCATCGAGCAATAGTTCAGATGAGACAAGTTATGTGTAATAAGAACATATATTGTATTTAAAATATTTATTTTTTGAATTTTTAACCGATTCTTTTTAGATACTTGTTCGATATTTTCTAAACTCTTGCATCAATGTTATTTAAAAAATTATTACGATGCCATGTGCTATATTGAAGTACATAGTCTGCTCTATAGGAGCGTTTCATGTGTTCTTCATTCTTGTATTATATTTATATTATATTGTCATAAATGATGTACTATTTAAATTTTTAGGATGTATTCTTTTCAAAAAAATTGTCACATTTCTGCTGTTCATCAATTTTTTTTTTCTTTAAAACCATCGATCAAACATTTATTTTTTATTTTTTGAAATTATATTAAAAATTAATTTTATGTTTAATACATCACATAAACACCTACCTATTTATATCACGTGATACAATTATATTTCAACTCAAAATTCAAACCTCCAAACATGTTAGAATTTTTATCGATACTATTTGGAAAATATATACAGATTTATTCGAATCAAAAAATTAACACCGTAACCAAACCGCATAAAAATTATTAGCATAATAATAAAGTTTTATACTGTATTGATTACGAAATACACAGAAATTTTAATAAAATAATTTACTGAATATTAATTATTTCTTTTGAGTACGTGGTTTTAAGTACTTCTTGCTATATTTAAAAAACAGAAATGAATAATACCATTACCAAATTACATTTCTACTGGATAAAAGTTTGAACATAGAATGAAGGTAAGTCAAAGGATTTTGCTTCCTCTAAAGAATTTGATCTTATCCCATGGCAATAATAATATTCAATCATCTCGGCTAATTTATCCACCTTATAAATTGGAGTGTGGAGTTTTAAATATTATGTAATTGGTAAGTAATAAGAATTATATTATTAAAATTAATTATAAATGAAGATTAAAATGACTAAATAGTTTAATTAAAATAAAAAATATATAAATTATGAATTTTAAATTGTGATTAAAGTATATAATTATATTTATTTTTTTTTAAAAAAGACAATTTATGTGGAACAGACGGATATAGAATAAAGAAATTAAGTGGAACGGAGAAAGTAATACTTTGCTTGTATTTTTTTCTTTTTGTTATGTTATTTTACCGAATAGAATATTCTAAATAAAAACAATTAAATATTTAGAGTTTGTTTCTTTAGCGTCCAAAACCTAGTTTTGACTCTGTGTTTTTTGAAAAAATAAATACATTTTTTTTAGTTAAAATGAAAGCTATCGTATAGCCTTTGTTCTCTCAACATATTTCTCAATTCCGATTTTTCAAAAATAATACTTCATTTGTTTTTATTTTTTATTTTTGTCTATCTTACATTTTATGTCATTTTTTTTTTCGAAAAGTACTGCACACTTTAATCATATTCAAAAATATCAAATTTCAATTTTTAAAATTTTTAATTATACTTATTAGTTATCTTAATTTTAATTTTTAATTATTTTTATCATATTATAATTATTTTTACTAATACATTATTAATTATTTACTAATCATACAATTCCTAAATTTTCATGTCTACGGATATTATATCAAGGATGGAGGGAATAATAAACAATACAAAAAAATATTTTACAAAAGTCAAAATGTCAAAATAAACTTCAAAATACACTCTAGAATAATCAAATATTTAAATTTAAAATAATATATTTATTACTTTTGACAAAAAAATCAAATATTCGTAATAAAAAATCAAAAAAGTCAAATATTAAACTTAAAATAATATATTATATATTTTTAATACAATTTTTTATACTACACACCAAAAATCAATCTACAGGTACACAGGGTTTTAGACTTTGCTCTTCCTATTTTTTCTTCTCATGTTTTCCAAAAATATGAATACACTATACACATTTATTATTTTTATATTCTCTACACATTCCTTATATTTCACATAAAAAAAAAAAAATTACTTTTTCAACATTTCACAAAACAAACACACTCATTATAAATATCAATAATGTTTGACGCTATTCAATAACAATATACTTTGTCTCGGTTCAACGAGGCCCTTTGGGATTTTATAGTAGAATAAAAAATAATAGTATTTTATTAGTTAGTGAGAGTGTGTAAGAGATTTTGACATTTTTGTTCTTTGATTTGATTTTATGTAAAAAGTAATTATATGGATGATGATATATTTGTAATTTAGGTAAACGTTAAGGGTATTTTGATATTGATGTATGATTACTTTTATTAAAATATGAAATTGATAATTTTGAATGAAACGAACGAAAATGGTTAAAATGGATACTTTTGAATGGAACTGACGAAAATGATAAAAATTGTTATTTGAATTTGAACTGTTGGAATAATTAATAACATATTTTTATATTATTCAAAAATAAAAATAATGATATTTAACAATATATCACACTAGGCCAATATATTCTTCAAATTATACTTCCTCCATAGAATGTCAAATTATCTTATAGACTTACACTAGTAAATAAAAAAAAATTATTATTTTTTAATTCATTAAAAAAAAAAAAAAAAACAAATGATCTCTTTGAAAATGAGATGCAGGGAGTATGATGTAATGTTAATTATTTTTTTAAAAAAATAGTAATTATTAAGTAACTAAAATTACGCAGTGACCGTGTAGACGCCAAAATTTCCCATTGAAATAAAAAACATGAATAAGCAATAAATTGATAGGTATTAAATTAATGAAATTTAAACTGCCCATATTTAAAATTTCAATAATAATTAATACTATCAGTCTCATTTAATTTTTTGTATATTTGATATTTGAATATTAATTATTATATTAAAATATATTATAAATTAAAAAAATTGTAATAATATTTTAATTAGCGACATCTGTACAATAAAAATTATATAAATATAAAAATATTTTTAATGTTAAATACAATGACAACTAAAAATAAATGTGACCGTTAGAGCCGGACGGAGTATATCCTAAATGTTGATTCCAAAATTTGCTTAACTCAAAAAATTCCCAATCAAAATAAAAATCACGAACAAGAAATAAATTGATAGTTATTAATGAATGAAATTAAAATTGCACATATTTAAATTTTCAATAATGTAATTCCTATATCCTAAATGTTGATACCAAAATTTGATTAACTCAATAATTAAAATAGAAAAGGAATTATTTCAGTTACCCATCTTGAAATTCACCGAACGTAATCGTCTTCCGATGTGCACGCACGTATCCGTATGCTTCTAGAAGCCCAGGTTAAAGTGTACGTTACAGTCGTCGCCTTTCACTCCCCGCTATAAATACAACGACGCTTCACACGTTGTCTCTCGTAACACAGAAATAGCCGTCCAGACATCCTCGGATCGGATCGGAGAAATTAAGATTACTACTTACAGTAAGTAAGAAACATGGATTGGATAACAATGGTGTCGACGTTGCTGGCATTGTTCTCTTACTTTATCCTCAAAATCGCATACCAAACCCTATCGTTCTACTGGTTAACTCCCAGACGCATCCAGAAAACAATGGCGAAACAAGGAGTGTGTGGCCCTCAACCGCGCTTCCTCACCGGAAACTTACCGGAAATGGCCGCCCTCCTCAGTAAAGCCGCCGGCGGCGGCGGTGAAATCAGCCACGACATCGTCCCCCGCGTCCTCCCCCATTATCTTCTATGGTCCAAAATATTCGGTACTAATGATTATAATGAGAATATTTGGTAATTTGGTGATGTTAATTGATTTTTGATTTGAAATTTGGTGTGGCGGGGACAGGGAAGAGGTTCATATTTTGGAATGGTGTGGAGCCGAGGATGTGCCTGACGGAGCCGGAGATGATCAAGGAGCTGCTGACGAAGCACACGATGGTGACGGGGAAGTCGTGGCAGCAGCAGCAGGGCAGCCGGCATTTCGTCGGGCAGGGGTTGCTGATGGCCAACGGGCAGGATTGGTATCACCAGCGCCACATTGTTCAGCCGGCATTGATGGGGGAGAAGCTTAAGGTATTAAACAATAATTGAATAAATTAAATGAATTGGCCTGGCCTACCTGGATTTGTGTTTGGATTGCAGAGCTTCTACGGGTTCATGGTGGAGTCGACGAAGACGATTCTAGAAGCTCTGGAGAAGTCTCTGGAAACAGGGGAAACAGAGGTGGAGATCGGCGAGTACATGACACGGCTAACCGCCGACATCATTTCCAGGACGGAATTCGACACCAATTTTGAAAAGGGGAAGAGAATATTCGAGATGCTCACAAATCTTCAGAGCCTCGTCGCTCGAGCAAGCCGCCATTTGTGGTTCCCTGGAAGCAGGTCTGTTCTTCCGTCTCTACTCTCTACTCAAATTCCTCAATCGTTTCTGTAAATTCAATTCATTTATCGTTTCTCCTCTCTTTCGTGCAGATTTCTGCCGAGCAAGTACAACAGGGAGATTAAATCGATGAAGAAGGAGGTGGAGAGGCAGCTGATGGAGATCATCCAGAGCCGGAAGGACCGCGTGGAGGTCGGCCGGAGCAGTTCGTACGGAAACGATATGCTGGGAATGCTGCTGGAGGAAATGCAGAAGAAGAGATCCGACGGATTCAGCCTCAATCTGCAGATCATAATGGACGAGTGCAAGACCTTCTTCTTCGCCGGCCACGACACCACTGCGCGGCTCCTCACCTGGACCTTGATGCTGCTCGCCACCAATCCTCACTGGCAGGAAAAGGTTCGCGCCGAGGTCCAGGACCTCTGCCATGGCGGACCGCCTTCCCTCGACCACTTGTCCAAGCTCTCTCTGGTAAGTTATCAATTTCTAATTATTCAAATTATTTTTAAAATTTCAATCATTTCCATTCTACACACTCACTTTATTAGGTAGATATTTATATTAGGATATTTTTATTATATATATATATATATATATAATTCCTTTGACTAATTACTAATAGAGTGGAATAATTCATTTTTCATAAAAAGAAATGAAAAGCTTACCAAATTATAATCCTACTTAAACTATTACTCTTTCTGTCTTGTATTGAAAAATATAAGCTCTGTTTTACATAATATATTTTTATTACATTAATACACTTTTTCTCTCAAATTGAATATTAACTTTTTATTTTTTCTTTCAAACTTTTAAATTTCAAAAAATCCATATCTAAACAAACATTATATATTCACTATTTTTCTATTTTTAAATTAAAATTAATTTTTTTTTTTTTTTTTTTATGTTTGCTGAAACAGTTAAACATGGTGATCAACGAGTCGCTCCGGTTGTATCCGCCGGCGACGCTGCTGCCGCGGATGGCGTTCGAGGACATAAAGCTCGGCGATCTGCACATTCCGAAAGGCCTATCGCTGTGGATTCCGGTGATTGCGCTCCACCACAGCAAGGAGATTTGGGGAGACGACGCCAACGAATTCAATCCCCAGCGGTTCGCCTCCAGGTCCGCCGGCGCCGGCCGTCACTTCCTCCCCTTCGCCGCCGGTCCACGGAACTGCGTCGGCCAATTATTCGCACAGATGGAAGCTAAGATCATATTAGCCATGCTGCTTTCCAAGTTCAGCTTCGCCATTTCGCAAACTTACCGTCATGCCCCTGAGCTCGTCCTCATCCTCAGGCCCAAGTACGGCGTTCAACTTCACGTCACGAAAATCCAGTCCCAAACCTAATTAACGCCAATGCAGAGGGGTAATATGGACTTTTCGTGGCGGTTGTTTTCAGCAGCTCCCGCGGACGGAGGTCCAGCTATGGTTGTTTGAGGCCGTGGACCCGGAGTCCAAAGACCTGCCAAGAATTATTTGTAGAAAACTGCCTTTTTGAATAATAATAACAAAATACATTTTTTTTTTCTTTTTCTTTTTTTGATCGGAATAATAATAATAATAATAATAGTATTATTATATTAAGCAACGAGGTTGAGACTGCTTCTGCTTTAAAGAAATGTCATGTGACACTGTCAATTAGGACTAATACTATTTAACAAAATATACAAACATAAATAAAATACAATGACAATGATAATGATAATAGTAATAGTAATATAATTGTGATGATAGAGATATGGAGTGATGTGACAAAGCACACACACATGTATTAGTGCACAATAAAAATGAGAGACCACTTTAAAATAGTTTATAGGATTTGCCTTTTTTGTACCTGTTTCTTGAAAAGAATGGTAATTATGTCCTAACAACAAGAATGATTGATATTTGATGGGATAATGAAACTCTATTACTAATTCATTTAATTTAATTTAATTTTTAAAATTACACACTGTATGCCACAAACTACTGATGGGCTTTGTAGTTAAAAAGGCTTTCTTCTTTATCTTTTGAGATATCTCTCTCTATATATAATAATGTGATATGATATGATCCGATATGGTTTGTAATTATTGTTTTGTTCTCATCTATATTCAATAATTAATATATATATATATATATATGAATAAGATATATGTACCACTAAGTAATATCTATCTAAGTACAGAGAGGCAATTGTTGGTGGATCAAAAAAAATTAATTGTAGCATAAAAATCAGGTTATAGTTTACTATTTATCTTATATGTATATATATATATATATTCATTTTTATAATGGTTAGCTTTAATTATACATGACTATTCAAATATTGATTCACCTATAAAAGAAGAATCCTCAACAACCATGAATGTGTCATTTAAAAAATATATATCACTTTTGAAGTTATTTATAAATATATCATATGCTTCTAGCTAGGGCAGCCACATAAAGTTTACATTTTTTTTTGTTCAGAAATATTTTATTTTGAAAATAATAGTGACAAAAAAAAAAAAAAAAAATGCATAAAATATTTGGATCTTGATCAATAATGAATTATTACAAGTATTAATATTTTTAAAAGGGCAATTGCAGCACTGAGAAATTAAAAAAAGTTATCACTAATTGAGTGATCAACCTTAGAAAGGAGAATGTGACAGAGTGGAAGACACAAACACTCATAACCACTAAACCAGAAATGCACAATGATAAAAATAAAATAAAATAACCTCATTGTTTTTATAATTATAATTTAATTTTTTTTTTCCATCTTTTATTTATTTTTATAATTATTTTAATTACAATAATGAAATATTGGTTGCATATATTTGACCTGCCATTTTGTTCCATACACTGTATGTACGTGATGAGTCAAACAAGCTGTAACAGCAATACCTACTTAATAATTATAAATCTAATGAAGGTTGAGATAGAATATTTTTTTTATTTATTTTAGATATATATATATATATATATATTTCTTTTGGGTTTTTGCAAGGATCAGCTAAATTGTCGTCTTCTTGAAGAACTTTGAAGTAAGTATTAACTAATTTTGGGTCAAAATTAGGCATCTTTGATTGTGTTAGAATGTGGCAATGTTTCATTCTAGAGTTTGAAGAAGAACATGATAATATGCTACAAATTATTGATGACCAAGTTGCAATGTCAATTTGCTAATTACCCCAAATCGATGATATGTAGACTTCATTATTAATTCAAATTACCTAAGAAAAATAAAAATATCGATCACCTTATAGTCGGATTATCATTTCTTCTCATGTTGAAGATTAATTTAAAAATAAATACTTAATTAAAACTTATCTTTCAATAGTGAGGTTCATTATCTATAGGTATTGTTTAGATATAGTTCTTGAAATTTTTGAATTTTTTTAAAAAAATAAAAATAAAAATCGAGTATTTTGTTTGATATTTATGAATATAAATAGATATATATATATATTTGATTTATTTATTTTTTTAAAATGATATTGTAGATGAAAATTGTGTGTATGTAAATGTTTGGTTAGTGTTTGTTTTATAAATTACAAAACTTACTTGTTAAGTATTAATAAGTTTGTTACTATATAAGTTCATATAAATTATATGGTTAGGGAGATGTCTTGATCAAATTGCTTTGATACTAATTATTAAACCTATATATTTGTATGGAGTCATCGATACCGACAAAATTATGCAAATGCAAAAATTTTAACACGAAAATATTTCATCAATAATGAAAATTTTATTAACAAAGAAAAAGAATTGAATTTCAACATTTAATTGGTTAATGGGCAATAGAAATTCATCATTATTTATATTTTATTTCAAAAATATATCACTATTTTTTCTTTAATAAACAACTATCAATCTATTTTGCTAAATGGTTTCTTCTTAACATAGTTATTCAAATGTATGTCACCTCACTCATACATCTTTTAAAATTTCCATTTTAATAAAACATAAAATGTGGTCAAGTTTCTTGTCATTCGAATAATTAATTCATACCAAACTATGGCAACTTACATAATAATTAAATTAATAAATAGTTTAATAAATAATGTTTTAGCATTAAAATTAAATATATAGTTATTGCAAGTGTTGTAATAGTGTAGTGCGTAGCTTTAGATGCACACCACAATCATATCATATCATATCAACTTACTTAAAACAAATAATAATAATAAACATTGACATTAAAATATCACTCTTAAAAAATAAAATAAAAAAAAAAAAAAAAAAAAGACAATTAAAATATTCCTCAACTTAGAAGTGCTTCATTCTTTGGGAAACAATAATATATTGTACTATTATTATTTTTAAAAGCAATTTTGAACGATTAAATATTTGTTGGGAAATAATAATTGTTAGCACCAATAAACTCTCGAATACTTATTCAAAGGGTCAACTCCCAAAGCGTAGTTATATTACAATTATAACGGTAATTTGTCAACGAAATAAATGAAGAGACCAAAACAATAAATGTCAAGTTATTTGGTAACCCGGTTCGATTATAACCAACTTACATCCGGGGATTCCAATTCATGAGAGGTTCATTAATCAGTGTATTAAAGAACAAAACATCCAAAACTCCTTCAACCCAAACTACAAGCAGATTACCTAGAAAATTCCCTCAATAGGCATACGCTGTCACAAACGCATACCGACAACTAACACATAGCTGGGCAGCTCAGATTCTAAATGTTTCCCTGATCGGAACTCCGATTTCCCTTCGACCGACGAACTCTCCGGCGAGATAGTAGTGTGTATCACTCACTCAATGCATGGAGATGGGAATGGTTGAGGTTGAAATGATTGTTACAATATTTCTCTCACTACGCACTCTCTCAAAACCACTAACTCACCTTCTCACCAATCTCGAGTTGTGTAAGGCAAGCACAACAAGCATGTTGCAGACATGCAATTAATTCCTTTGGTACAGAAAAGGAATGGTGTGTATCCATACACTTCTGACCACAATATGACAAACTCAAAGTGTTCATTTTGTCGTGAGAAACCATAATTTCTAAAAAAATACAATAAAAGATAATTTAAAAAAACTGCACAGCTGAGTCAAATGTTGTTGTTTTTTGTATCTAGCGACAACAGCAGTAAAAAATTTGTCAATATGTCAAAAACAGATGATGGAGTTTTTTAACTTAACAATATTAATGATTTTATTTTCTATTATGAAATCAAATATAATATTCATGCAATTTCTCGAGGAAAAAAAATGATGGGTTTGTTTGATTTTGATTTGAAATTAAGTGTTAATTTAAATTTTTATATGATATTTTGTGAAATAAAATAGTTCTCCTTTTATTCCACTTAATTTATCCACTTTTTTTTGTTTTCATTCGTCTTACATAATTTGTCATTTTTATTTTGAAAATATAATTATATACTTTAATCACATTTTAATTTTATAATTTATAAAAAAAAAATTAAATTAACTATTTTGCCATCTTAATCGTAATTTATAATTATTTTTATTAAATCATAATTTTTTTTACTAATACATTTTTTTAATTACTTACAAATTATACAATATCTAAAATTTGGTGTTCCGACTAAAATAGACAAATTAGCTGGGACGATCGGAATATATAAATATATATATATATAGTACCAGATTATATATTTATTTTTGCCTATAATTTGTACTATATGTATATTTAAATAAGTGGTTGACCGGTGGATGCTTTGTAGTGTTTACGGCTGACTGAGAGTAAGCTTTTTACGTGAAGTATTAATAATTAAATAATTAAATAATGGTAGGTGGGTGGGTGATCAAGTTTAATTAGGGTTTCCAATCAATAAATAAAAATGATTATTGGAGATGAAGATTAGGACCCTTTTGGCTAATCTATTGTCCACATTTAAATTAAAACAAAATTATCCCAAATTAAGGCAATCATTAGCCTTTTTTTTTAATTTAAAATAATTCTAATTATTTTTGTTTAGTTGTAATTTTACTTTTTCGTAAATGCAGTTTGTAAAATGTATATGTATATATATTATTGTAGAAAATTAGTATTAAAACTAGGTGAAAACACAACTAGCCCACTCTTTTATATCATTTATATTTTTTCAATCATCATTTTTATTTTTATTTCTATTTTTGAATATGCGATAATTTTAAGAATATTTTATTATGCCACATATTACTAATCCCCAAGTTAAAAAATATAATCCTATCTTTGATTTCTATATAGGTAAACCATGGTAAAAAAAATTTAGGTGAGACTTTAAAAATATTTAATTATAGTTAGTAATATTTTGTTCTTCAGACCAAAGACAGGATTCCTTGGGATGCATAATGATATGGTGAAGTAATTTGTTTACAAGGGTGTGTTTGTTTGGGGGATTGGATTGGATTTACATTATTCATCCAATTTTTTTTCCCAAAAACATCAAATTAAACACCTATTTTTTATTTTTTATATTATACTAAAAATTAATTTTACATTCAAAACATTACATCAACACCTATTTATATCACATCATACAACTATTCAAATTTAAAATTTTTACTGTTCAAATCCCAACTCAAAATTCAAAGC